CCACCCACCCACCCCAAAAAAGATCTTAAAACGTAAAACAAGGTAATCTAAATGAGGAAACTTTATAACTCATCATATTGGCCAAATGTCAGGACACTGCAGGCTACAGCATACCATAAGCTCTCTTGAACTACTGTATGTATGCCATTTAATTAATCCCTGAAACTCACTTAAGTGTTAAGGCCTCTTTGGCCTCTTGTTTCTATTGCAACTGTGAGAAAAGTTCATAATCATTTGAAATATAATTATAACACTTTTTAAATATAATAAATATTTATTAATCACATGTCCAGTCCTCCATATTTATTAATAAGAACAAGTACCAGGTAGTTTAAGGTGATTGAAAATACAAGTTATTTTTCAAACTGTACTCTCGGACAACATATTTTTACAAACCCACAGAAAAACCAGTAACAATTATTTCTCCCATGGTATCATCATTTCTAACTTACTGCTTCAAGTTCCAGCAGTCTCATAACTACAATAGCTTTTATCACTCAAAGCCCATGGCTGATCTTTTGGATAACTTTACATGAGAAATAACCTGATACAGCTCAACATACTTTTTTTATCTTAATTTCGAGTTATGGTAGAAACAAAATCAGCAACTAACTGACGATAATAGAAACAAAATCAGCAACTCACTGACGATAATAGAAACAAAATCAGCAACTCACTGACTATAATAGAAACAAAATCACCAACTCACTGACTATAATAGAAACAAAATCACCAACTCACTGACTATGATATTTATCTACTGATAATCTTCTTACTGAAGCTTGAAATTACATTCAAGATTAAAATTAGTTCCAGAATAAAACTCTTTATCATTAATTGCTTGTTCAATATCCTCTCTGTAAACAGAAAAAAAGTATTTAATCTGTACAGTATTCAATAAGCAAAAAAATAACATTTCCAAAATTATTGATATTAATAAAAAATTGATTAACAATTGGACAATGTCAAGTGTTCTCCATGGTCATACATACAGCCGACGTGCTCGAGAGACTGCCCCTAATAAGAAACCATGTCTTTGGCTGTATACTGAAATACGTATAAAACATGACAGAGAAATGTAGGTATCGGAAATAGGTATAAAAATACTGACCGTTTGTTGCATATATTTTTGCAACTCTGCTTTTCGATAATTGAAATAAAATATTACAGCTGTTTTAAAAGGATTATATGCAGTGTACTAATGAATTACAAGATATAGCCCAGTAAAAGGCAAAACTTGTTTGATATAGGAATTGTTTTTTTGAAAGCACTTTCATATTTAGCATATAATAGTTACCCCCCTTCGGTATACTGCAAGTGTTCTATCTATATGTTATACACCACAGAGACCAAAATGGCTTTAATGCGGAGGTTACATTCTCAGGTGGAGTGAGCCACTTCAAAAGAGTTTTCTCTTTTCAATAAAATATAAATTTATGTGAGAATAAAACAACCACAATAAAGGTGCATAGAATTATAAAGAATTTACCTGGTATGTACAGCTATTTGAATATATTTCATACTTGTCAAATAGTAGTATAGAATTAAGAAGTCAAAAATCTACAACAGTGACAGAACCAGACTTGTTTGAAGTGATACACAATTTGTGCAGTTACAACATTTTGTATGCAAAATAAACATTTTTACAGTAAAAGAATGAAATCTGCCCCCACTTCCCACTTTAAGTGTTCCAGCTTTATGATGTAGCAAATGATATTTTGACTTATTGCTAAAATGTCCCTGATGAGCAACTACAATACACTATCAGTACACAAACATTTAAACACATTTAGATGATGTCAACAAAATTCATGTCGTTTATGCTTTAAACATAGATATTCAATTGTAAGCCACTTATATTTCACCTAATATCTTGCAAGCCTTATTCACAAACTTAAAATTTTGAACACAGAACCTGGTTAAATCAAACTTTTCGCCCGAAATCCCAAGATAGAATATCTCTACTTACATCAAGCTTGATTCTTTTCTCCCATTTGTTACCCTGTACATTGATACACGGCAATTGCAGCAATTAATTAATAAAAATAGGGTAAATTTTTGAGATAATGTACAAATTGAAGAACATGTAAATATATGGAAGGTACAGATTTTCCCCCCCAAACCAAACGTATATTTCAAAATTAAAGCAGTCTGCAAATGCCTCAAAGCAAGCTTGCTTGATAATATTTCACATAAAAAAAATCACATTGTCCTGACACTGATAAATGTGATGCTTCTTTTGGGCCATCCAGAATAAAAACAGGTTAAACTTTTAAGGAATGGCATTGAAGGCGGTTTGAATGAAGCTGATTGCATTCTCCATCAGTGGCGTACGGTTTCATATTATGAGAACCAGCCAACAAGTAGATTTTAAAAATTCAACTAGTCCAATATTTTTCATAATAATAAAAATATTTTTACACCAGCCCAGACATAAAATACTACAGCCCCAGTCATTTAGCTAGTAGAAGAGTACAACTCTGCTCCATGAAATATAAGTGGCCTGTGAGTGGCCTATGGTATTGATGTCATTATCAGGAAATCATTAGATTCCAAGGGATTTCCGAACAGTTCTCTCCGCAATTTCAAGAAACTTTTTCCTGTCATCTCTCCAGGTTTTGGCTGCATCCACATTAGCGGCACTTTCATCATTTGGCTCTGAAACACAAAACAGCATGATGCCATCTTAAAGAAATAATCATGTGTTTATTATTGATACCATTCAAGGAAGGTATATCTTTATAAATTTTACGTAAAATCCCTAAACGCAAATTCTGTTTTTAATGTACTTCAAAACTTTAGATTTAGTAAAGTATGGAAATCAGATTACCGGTACTTATAGTGTAATATGTGGAAGTTGTATCACATTCGCATGTAAAACAAATCATTACATGTGTACATATTATTATACACAGTGCAGAGGAAGGTTCACACTCACCCCAATATTGGTGAAACTAAAGTTTGAAAATTTGTTGTGACCCAAGATCTCCTAGTATATTGTTGCAAATAACTTTGAATTACACAAGTAAAAACTATCCTAACTGAGAAACCAATTTTTGTTCTGTTCTCTAGCCGCGTCTGAAGTTACCTGCTAACATGCTGACAACAGACAGAAGTATTTTCTCCACACTTTGCACTGGACTCCATCTCTCAGCGCTTGTCTCATAACCCATTGGATCATCACCGGGGGCATGGAGAATTGATATGCAAACACGACCATCCGAATATACTGCAAAGTAATACAGTGTTCTTTGAGATGGAGAATCGAAGCATAGTGGGCTGTCAGAAATATACTGAACACCAAGCATGAACAAAATTACAAAATTTCAGAAGTTTCATTAAATCATAACCGTTGATCTTTGAGTGAGTGAATAGGTAAACATTTTTATTAGTAATTACCACTTAGACTGAAGGTTTAATTTGAAAAATTCTACAAGTCTAGCCAGTATTTTTCATAGTAAATGTTGAAAGCTTTCACTAGCCATGAAATTAAAGATCAAGAGCTTCTAATGTTGAGCTAGTGGAATGGTTCACTCCTGGATTATAAACATTTTGAAGTCCTTAAACATTGGCCTGATCAAAAGAAAAGAATTAAGCATCATCATGATATATAAAAAAAGAAAACTTCTGGACAGAAAAATTAGCAAAGATATTGTTTTAAATAAGAGTTGAATGTGTATTGCCAATTTCTATATGACCTACTGTAAGTACATTGTATTGTCACAGTGATGACATCTTATATAACAAAGTGTATCAAAACATCTTAAATCTCTTAAAAAAAATCCCATTACCACACAATGTTATGAGATACAATTGTGCAACTTACTATTAGGATGGAAAATATCACAAGTAAATTTCATTTTGGGAGGACTGAGAGGGTAGTCTGAAGGAAAGGTAAGTCTAGCAGGAAACACTCCTCCCTCGAAGCAGGTGTCCTCCGGTCCCCTAGATATGAAATGGTGTTAAAATACAATATTATGCAATACTAAGTATCCAAAACTTCAGATATTATTCAACAAAATAATGTCAGAGAAAAATCAAAATTTTAAATGATTATGATGTCATAGCTGAATACTTTCCATTTCAATTTGCTTTGAACCAAACCTTGATAACACCTCTTCAATGTCCCTTTTTTATCTTGACAATTTCTTTATGTCTACCTTGTCAATATATAATACTACGAAGTCCCTTTTTAATGCTAACATATGGCCAAATAAAAAGGTGATAATATACCCATATTTTACTTAATAACAAGAAATATTTATTGACCATATTACCAAAGAATTTTGTCTCAATCATTTGATAAATTAACATACGATTTCCACATCTAACACAACTACTAGTATATAAATGTCAGAATTAACTGATTCATATGATGCAGTTTACAGTGGCATACAAGTTAAGGACTATCTGTTTATGACAGATTATACCAGTTAAGGACTATATGTTTAGGACAGATTATACCAGTTAAGGACTATCTGTTTATGACAGATTATACCAGTTAAGGACTATCTGTTTATGACAGATTATACCAGTTAAGGACTATATGTTTATGACAGATTGTACCAGTTAAGGACTACATGTTTATGACAGATTATACCAGTTATCTTTCACTCAATTATGTTCATTACATAGCAGCTAGCTGCAATATTTCTGAAATAATTTATAAACCTAGTATTCAATGAAAAACCATTAATTTTCTCTAATTAAGGAACAATTTTAAAATTGACAAAACAATGCCACTAAGGATACAAATATTTTTTGAGATGCAGACAACAGCATTTTAAGTGTTTTACTTCAGTTTCAATTTGGTAAAATTACGTGAAAAGACATTACATAATGAGCGCTTCCCATTCGAAGAAATTTTCCTCATCAACAGGTCCAGCTATTATTCCTTCTGGAGGATTCAGCGTTAATTCTGTAAAAGAAAATCATGATGCTTGTATTATACAGGTTGGGCACAATGTCACATATGGGTAATAATCCTGCATTTGGGTAACTGCAGTTACCCTTTTACATTAGTACTAATATCAATATCCATTCAGTCTGACGACGCAATATATAAAAAAAATCTCTCGTCGTCAGAAAGCTACGTTAACGCAGCTAGTTTACATATATATATACATCTGTTAAAGATGTATTAGGACGAGGAATAGTGATAAAGATAGTGCTGTCGCTGCGGTTCGAACCCGCGACCCTTTGCTTTCCAGCCCAGTGCGCTACCACTGAGCTAAAGGGAAATTCCATACAGCTGACGCTTGTAAGGCAACCTAATCAATGCACATCTTTAACAGATATGACAAAGTCTTTTCATGTCTTGAATACACTTCAAAACTTTGATTGCAGAGTGCCTCGGTAGCCGTGATCGCTAACGTGAATTGTTAGCGTTATTGTACTACTGTGTGCAATCTAGCGTAAGTTTCAGACCACTCGCTCTCCCAAGAATTTCGGTTCGATGCCCAGCGGTGGTGGATAAAAAAAGAGAGTGATGTCTGATAGGGTTAGCTGGTTACCCTCCGATGGCACGGTGGTTTCCCCTGTGGGTTTCCTCCATCGTAATAAAAGCTCTACAGAGCTTATGTTAAATTTGTTGAACTGACAATTGTACACGACGTTCAATAAAGATTATTATAATAAGACACAGTTCTTTTATCTGTCGTAGGAGGAAGACTCAGAGGAATACACTCTACTAGTAAAGTTAAGCATATTAAGTGATTTTAGCACACCATGTTAAAATAATTTAAGAAATTAGTTAGTAAGTTTACGTTTAAATACTATTGAAGCCTACATAGCCCACGTCATCAGACATTTTGTCATGGGTGGCCACAGGACCAGATGCAAGTTAAAGCGGGTACTATTAGACTCCGTCTCTGAATGATCACAATGTTTCCGGTTATTCTACTGTGCAAATATCTCAAATGATTAAAATTAAATATCAATGAGATTTGGATGTGTCAATTTGGACAGATGAATGACATCCATCTTTTACCTGTGATACCTAAACACCGTATCTAAACAAATAAATTATATCACCATACGTTTGTATTCGGCTAACAGTCTCTTCAAAGCAGATCCAGCCATGACATCAGTGTTAGTCGGGAGATCAAACAATATCATAAAACATACTGTAACTAAACTGAAAAGTTCTCAACATTTCATGTTTTTAAGCTCTTTAGTGATGAAGGAACGGTACTGTGCCTGTAACGGGAATGTCGATTGGTCAATAATTTTTCATTCATCCAATGAAAACATGCGATACGATCGTTGAAAAATCTCTTTAATGGCGGGTGATAATTAGGGCCGAGTGTCTCGCATTGCGGCTTTTTATTCTTGTCGCATACACGAACTACATGGTGACCAACAGTTTAACATACCACTCTGTTAGGTCTGGCAAAATCCAATCAAATATGTGCAATGTGAATTAAAATAAGACGGTGTAAACGTAAAGGATTGTTCGTGAAGCACCGGCCATCTCATCACTGTCGGCTTTGTTGCGAGATATTTATTTGGGAATTGTAACCAATTCCAGTGATCTGGACATTTATTAAGGGAATACGTATGGCCCAGGCAAGCATTAACAATAGCCTGCAGTGGGTGGTAAGTACACAAACTGTTTTGGTCAGCATGTTGATAGGTTTTAGACAACCAGTTAGGCCTAGTTCACAGAGGGAGAAAAGGTTATGACCCCATGTCTAGTCACATGGGTTATTCCGCGTAATGTGATTGGACGCACACCGCGGGTGTTTTCAAATTTGAAACCCGTGCGTAAACACCAAACGCTTGCTTGGAATAGGGGGCAGATCGTGGAAAGGGTAGTCAACAAAAGATTTTGTCAATCTGGACAGAGAAATTTTGCTCTTCTTAATGGTGGTCGTCTTATAACAAAGAACACAATGGCAGACGGACCATTAAAGGTAACATCGCAATGCAAGGTTATGAATTTTACGAAATGGCACGGTCAGCCCATGTGACCACTGTTTTCGAACACAAGTCGGTTCTTTATCACCAGATTGATGCGACGAAAGCCTCGCAAAAACATACGAAGGGTGTCTGCAATTCGACTTAAACATAAAAACACCTTTTGTCTAATTAAGTAACTCTAAAGTTCGACATACTAACAGTATCAGATTCAAAACGCACGTGTACATCGCAGGGTCTTGTTGACATTGATCAGAAGATACAATGGGGTTTGTTACGTCACAGGAGATTGAAATTCTGTCAATAATAAATAATAATATTAAGATAATAAAACAGCACGTATAACATGCTTAAAAATAGCAATTTTGGCTAATAAACAGGTCGGGGGGAATACCACTAACTTGCGTATAATACCCAAACTCGCCTATTAATATATATGCCAGTTAGAGTATGGATTTGTTACTAAATTAATTTTCCAAAAGCAAATTAACATAGAATTCTATGGGAAAATGAAGTGACGTGAAAGACTTATGGTACAGCACTGTACAGGGGGGGGGGGGGGGGGGGGGGTAGCTGCGAAAACTCTTTTACTAAATTAACAAAGTCTGCCTTGGGGGGAAATAATAGAACGACCGCCATGACAGATCACGCGTGATGTTATCTCAATTATCCTTTCTATATATGGCCTGCATGGCCAAATATAGTATTACTACTGATGCAGCCATGTTTACTATATTGGGTCATGACACCCATATTTGCACGTCTGACCTATATCGGAAGAGAGATGAACTTTCCAACATGGCGGTCAATTCAGATTTCAATTACGCTTGCTATGTTAACTTGATAATTTAACGACATTTTAGGCAGAGGTAAACTTCAAGTTGTGCAGGATATCAACAGAAATAGTACATACTACAACCTTATTTATGGATGCGGACCAATGTGCTGTCAATTAATTCTAAACTTGCCCCGGTGTGATTCACACCGGGCTTGCTCCATTACAAGGCATGGGATCGATTTAATACCCGGCCGGGGCAGAGGAGGCCAGGTATTTATATTAGTACTAGGGGGCGGGGACCCAGGAATTAATTTTGGGTGTTGCCCAAAATTTTTATATTCAGAAAAAGACGTTTTTTTGCACTTATCTAGAACTGATAAGTTAGAATTGTCATGTCGGTTTGTACATGTATACTACTTTCTGGCACCGAAATATATATAGAACTTTTTTTCTCTCTGACGATGTAATACTAAACTATTTCAAGCACTGAAAGCAAGAGTTTATCAACATTATTTCCATTGTCAAACAGATCGAGTGAGGTGTAGAATAGTTAAAATTTTCTGAGTTTGCGTTATTATTCCAGGTTATATTTTATAACGTGGAGCATTTATATTTTATGATGGCCAAGAGGAGCGAGTGTTAACAAATTCTCTAAAAAAATGTAGGTTTTCAGTTAAAATGTTGATATTTGTATCTTGGCCATCATGTGCATGTAGTTCAGGCGAGCATTTTGGCAATTAAATATTGATTTATTTTGTCATAATATGAATTATGATTATTTTGTCATAAAATATGAATAATGATTTAACTGTTTGTTTGTCTTTTATTGTGAATTTGTAGGCATACATATGTACAAAGACAACACATGTTGAAAAAATATACATGCCAGGCTTTTATGATAAACTTGGTTATTATTCACCTAATAAAGTTATGTTTAGGAGGGTGCTTCATTGTCTTTTGAAATTGTTTATATTTATATTTTTTAATTGGTATTAAAAATCACTCCTGGTGATCATGTGTAAATGAAACCACAGGTGAAAATACAGGTTTATCTATCATGAAATTGACTCAACCTTTTGAAATAACACTTAACCTATATACCTAATTCCAACAGATTGTATAGTCCTCTCTCAACTGACAGGGTGAACACCACACCGCGATATTAGAACAATAAGATTAGGTAGAGTCAGTCCAGTGAGCCTTGACCACTGACCTATCTGGAGACCCTACTATTATATAGATAAAAGAGGAGAAATCCCCTATTGTTTAGAGTATAAGTAGTGGACTCCTTGTTTGGGCAACACCCTTAGGCATATAAATAGATATTCCAACTGCTAGCAAGGGGAAGCCATAGAAATTCATAGTTCAAGGGATGGTTAATATTAGAAGGAAATCCCATATGAAATAGAGGAAGAAATAAGTGTTTGATGTTACACAACAAATTCAATTATTGCACATATTTCTAGGAAGTGATTTCCTATGATGTGTATGATTCAATGAACAGCAGTAGAGTAAGGGCACATGATTTCATACACTAAATATGTTTTTCTTATTTTTTAACTGATCACTTTTGATGGAGGCCTAAAATTGCTCCAACAGCAAACCACCGCTATTGTCCTTTGGTGATACTAAATATAGATTTCACAAATAACCTCGTTTTCAAAACAAAACCAACGAGTCGAGCTGTCGTCTGCAGAATAGGCCCAATGTAACTTTATAAAGCATTTTCTTGTGATGACTTTGAGATCATTTAAATAAAACAATATTTTACCATTTGCGTCAAGAAGATATCAAATAAAAGCTCAAATATAATAAATAATGTCATTTTTTAATGTACACGCCCTCAATGACAGGGCACCTATCATATGGAACAGTCATTATTTTGAAACTAATCGAAACTATTTGTTTTTGGTCTCAAAAACCTTCTGGAGCATTAAAATTGTTTTATAAAACATCCAATGAAATAATCGCTAGTAAAATATGTATAGTTGATATTTTTTCCACAGAAAGGTCAATGTCACCACCAACAAAGGACACGTTTTGAAAAAAAATCATAATTTGTTCAAAAAACATTTCTGATCTATGAAAATTGGCAAATCTGAATGAAATATATTGAATTCATACGACATATACTTATATTCACTTTATTTTCTAAGAGTAGCACATTTGTAGAGTGTACAATATCACGTCCCCAACTGCCGCGAAACGTGGAAGTAAATTTCTGCGCATATGACATCACATTACCGAATATAGCGCAGATTGCATACATCTTTTAGGTCAAAGTAGATCCGATCTTCTTGAAGATGTATATGAAAAAAAAAATGTAAATCTGTTTCAAAAGTGTACGAAATCAGGTACCGGCACTCTAGTAAACGAAAAAGTCCTATGTGAAATTGATACTCTTTCCTTTATTGTTACACATATTTTCTTAATTTCATGTTATTGAACACTTGACTGTATGTATACTTACATTTATCTATTTTTGTCTGTCTTTCCTTTAGACTCTTTTTGATAACATGAACGCAAAAGCTGACAAAGAAAAAAAGACAAAAAGCAAAGGAAAATCCACCAAACCACAAACTATGGAATTTGAAAATACTGACATTGTACATCTGCCAGCCTCTGGGGATGCAGGTGAAGCCAAGGGATCAAAGAAACGGGTTTCAATTGAAAGAATATACCAGAAAAAATCACAGTTAGAACACATTCTGTTGCGTCCAGACTCATATATTGGTTCTACAGAACCTGTAACACAGGTAGGTGTGCAGTAACATTTATAATTAAATAGAATTTGCCAAAAAAAATAGCAAGATGCAATGAGATTTCCATTAGAAATAGAATCTTTCTATAATATTTAACAAATCTACATGAATGTTGCAAGTGCAAAGGACCCTCATGACCAGCATTTACTCATTCACCCCTGAAATTTCATAATTAACTATTCCAACCTTTAAATTGGAAGGGTTCAAATGTGTCTTAAGGGGTAAATGAGCTCATACAAGGTATTGATGAAGATTATCATCTTTTCCTTTCTGTTCATTTCCACAATTTGTTTTACATTCAATAGGGCTTTCAGTTTCTGTATAGCCTTGAGAATAGGTTTTTGATTTCCTGAAAAGACTGAAATATCTGTTTGACTATAGATATGACACGTGTTTGAGAACAGATTTCTGGGAAACTACTATCTTACTTCAGAAATTGCTAAATTTATGTCAATGGTCAACTGAAAACCATGATTCTTTTCACACCCAACTACTGTGTATGCATTTCTATACTGTAACCCTGAGTCACGTGATATTATAAAATTGTGTCAATGTTTCATTGAAGCATATTTAACTTATTCACCCATGAAGGCACATTTGAACCCTTCCAATTCAGAGATTGGAATAGTCCTTCAGGAAATTTTAGAAGTGAATGAGTTAATACACAAATTCTTAATTTCATTTGCTTTATTTACCATATATATATATGACAACCTCTGCCTTTTTCAGAGTATGTGGGTGTATGATGATATACAGGAGAAGATGGTGCAGAGAGAGATCACATTCGTGCCTGGCCTGTACAAAATCTTTGATGAGATTCTAGGTAAATTGAATCACAGGCTCATCTATAACTACGTTAAAATCAGGATTTATTCCCCAAAAATACAACAAAAAAAGTTCATCAATTTTCTCTGTTTTGTGTGTATGTGTAACCCTATTAAACATGTCATTTTATTTGACCTAAAGACAACTTTTATGATATCTTCATAAAGTAAATATAATTGTATGATGTAATGTATCCTAAATTTAATTGTTTACCTTTACAGTCAATGCCTCCGACAACAAACAAAGAGATCCCAACATGAACTGTATAAAGATTGACATAGATCCGTAAGTTTGTATGGACATTGGCTACACAAATTACTGTATGTTTTCTCTACAAAAATAATGAATTCCTAAAAAATGGCCAAAACAGTTCTGACCTAATTTCAGAAGCGTATTTTAAGGAAAATTCAAGTTGAATTAGCATAATTCTGTGTCGTCTAATTTCTATGGATTCTGTACAAACTACAAGGCAAGCCTTGTTTTTGTCCAACATTTACATTTTTGAATTAACAAAAAAGTTATTTGATTGGCACCTTATTAATGGACTGCACAAAGAATTAACTCTCCAATAAAATTTGCAATGGTTTGACACTCAATGGGACTAATGTCATATACATTTCTGTTTTAATTCACTTTAATGGCAATTGGAAATTGAGAATTACCATGAATTTGGGTTGACAGAGAGAACAACAAAATAAAGATCTGGAATAACGGCCGGGGTATCCCAGTAGTGGAACATAAAACAGAGAAGATGTATGTGGCTACCATGATCTTTGGCCACCTCCTTACCTCTAGTAACTATGACGACACGGAGAAAAAAGTCACAGGTAAGCAACTATAGTGACTATATCACTAAATGTAATACGCTAACAGGTGGCAGGCTAGAAATTAGGTTTTTGAATACAACTAGTACTGCGGAACTAGTTGTTTTGGGTAGTAGTTTCCTATTTTTACTAGTCCATTTCCAAATTCCACGTTACCAATATTATTCAACAAGATAAGCAATATTAGATTTTGACACGTCAATCAGGCTAGCGCTGTTTTGAATCACTTTTCCAGCGGGAGATGTCGCTAGTCTCTGACCATCAGGCTACCCTAATTGTCTAGCCCTGATGTGGAGAATGACAATGTTGATACTGATAACTGTTTTGTAGTAATTCCCAGAGTTCATGATAGTGCTGTGATATTATTTGACCTAATTGATATTTCCCCCTCTTACAGGTGGCAGGAATGGATACGGTGCCAAGCTGTGTAATATATTCAGCACTAAATTCATTGTTGAAACATCTTCAAAAGAATACCATAAAGGATTCAAACAGGTAAAAGTGAACACCTAGTGTTGGCCTGGTCAAAGTGATCCCTGAGTTTTCTAAAACCATCATTTGATCAGATGATACATTTATGCTTCTTTGTAATGATTCGATCAATTTATTGAAATAGAACTTCTGTCATGTTTATGCAAAGTTGTCTTTGAATGGGTTATAGATTCTAGTTTTAAGAGATTTTTCATCCTATAAAATTACACAATTTCGTATGAAGAATATTAATGTAAAAAAATCATACCCATTCAGTATATTTTGGTACACCTGGGGCCTGTTCGTTTATGCAGAACAACCGGTACGTCTGTATTTATATACATTTTCGGGTATAAATCCTGGTGGACCTCCAAAAGTTTACGCAGGCCTTGCACTTGGCTTTGTGAAGGCTCGCAATAAATGAAAATGACACAGATTATATGCACAACATAGGGTCAGTCTTTGAAGAGTGAAATGGTTACAAAACCAGTGTTTTGACATGTGATGAAGACCATATTTTTTGGATTGTATGTCATTTATATGGGTTGTTGTAGACATGGATCAACAATATGGGCCAGACAAAGGAGCCTACAATCACGGAGGCCAAGAGTGACGACTTCACTGCCATTACGTTCTATCCAGATCTGTCCAAGTTCAAGATGGAGACCCTGGATAAGGACACAGTGGACCTTTTTACGCGTCGAGCCTATGATATCGCCGCAGTGTCTAATGGTGTCAAAGTTTGGCTCAACGGAAAGAGGCTACCTGTAAGTCCTGACAGTAAAAACATCACACATTAATTGCTATATATGACAAGCCGTTAATTAAAAATCATGACTCTAAATTTGGGTGTAAAAAGTTAAGTACCAATTCCTTGGTTAGCAATTTCATTAATTATGAAATATTAAAATTTAGGCAGATGAAATAACAAAACAATGACAGTGGTGGTTATTTTGTCTGTATATTTGATGTCATGTCTTTTGGTTTAACATGTTGTCTTTAAACTTGACATTATTCTACTTATCTGTCAATCAACTGTTACTGTAAACGTGGAATACTATGCGTGGGGGTAACTTACGCTTATTACGCAGAGCTTGATCGTCTGCGTAAATTTCCCCCGCATGTTTGGTTTCCACAATAGTGTAAGGAACGACAACTTTGGTAAATATTGGTACGTGTGTGTGTGTGTGTGATCGCCTCCTGTAATATTGTTTTGTCAACGTAATACTAATTAACGTACATTGTCGAGTAAAGTTATAAATCAAAACAATAACAAATAAAATAAATTACTTGATTCATTGTAGTTTTTTTTTTTTTTTTTTTTTTTTTTTTTTTTTTTTTTTTTGCACTCAGTGTTAATCATTCAGCATCATCAATAACAATACCGTGACAGTGTGCGTTTTCATTATTATTTGTTTACGATTGCTATTGCCAAATAATAATAATTATATAAATACCATTTTGAATATATTTTTTCCATAAGAAACACCTTTCTTAATATTTTTGTTTTGTTTTTATTTTTATTTTTATTTTTTGTAGAGTTATTCTATATATAATATATATCATATTATGCATTGCGAGAACATGATATATTTTGGCATTCCTTTTCTTTATACTTAATTATGTTTTCCAATACATATAATGATAATAATGTGAAGTATGTTTTAAATCACATAGGTTATTAATGAAATAAAATAATAATATATAGCAAATAAAGAAATAAAAAATAGGTTTTGATATGTTTCATTTAAATAATATATCCAATATTTGAATGCAACAATAATAATTTATTATATAAGGAGATCGAAATAAAAGATAAACAAAAATAAATATACCATTATATTTAGTATTTAGATAGATTTTAAAAAGTTATCCATTTAAAAAAAAAAACACCACTGTGTTGGTCATTGTAATGAGCTGTCTTGATTGAAATGTTCATCATAATGCTTGTTGTCTTTTTTATTTTTTATTTATCCATTCATTATTTCAAGTACATGTTACATTTACTCATTACTTTTTCCATTTGTTCATCTTCATCTTTCATTCCATTCATCTATAAATCTATCCATTCACATATCCAACTATTCATTCATTTATACCATAAACATTATATGTAAGTTCATATTTTTTCCATGAAATACTTGATTGTACCTCTTATTCTAATATTTTGTATGTAACATTTTTAATTCATGTCATGGCATACATCTATCACTCTGTCTATATACATTATACATAAATTCATAAGTTTTCGATGAAATAATTGATTGCACTTTTCCTATTATTCTTATATTTGGTATGTAACATTTTTAATTCATACTTAAATTGGGATAACAAATTAATTCCTTTCTGTTTCTGTTCGCTAATATGATATACTTTATAAATGGTGTATCCAATTATAGTAAGTAAAATATTGACCTCTGTGTAACTATTACAATTAATTTTGTAACCAACTACAATGTATTTTAGATTTTGCATATTTACTGTATATCCAACACCTTTAAATAGTTTTGTTATTCTTGCCCAATATATACTCAAATAGTCACATTCAATAAAGTAATGTCTATAATCCTCTGTGACATTACAAATGTTACATAAATTATTATCCTCGATTTTCCACTGATTTAGCAGTACTTTATTTGGTAATATGTTTTGAAAGAGTTTCCATCTATACATTTTATGACGGTTATCTTTCAGATTATAAAATATAAATTGAGTCAAATCATTAAAAAGTTGTGATCCTGCTATGTTCAGCACTCTCTTCCACTTTTCAATGGAGTGCGTTTTTATACACTTTTTTGCTATAAACGCATTGTACAAAAATGTATTATTAATAGTTTCTATCTGTTTATACTGTTTTCCATCATATGTTAGAAACCCTTTGCTACATTTTACTTGTGTGCATCTTGATTCATTTGTTTTTAATAAATCTAACCACGTTTTTGGTATTGCATTTTTTAAAGTGTTTATTTCACTTATCCAATTTCTAGTATCTTGTAATTTATTCAATATGTTTTGTTCGTCTATTTTCCCGTGTCTATTAATAATATCATCGATTGTTATTATGTTACTATCAGCCCAGTGTTTGTAAACAAGTGATTTTCCTTTGAATTTTATATTGCTGTTCCCCCAGATAACTTCCTTTCTTACATCATAAAATGTTTTACAATTTCGTTTCAATCCCCCTCCTAGCCGTATCCACGCCTCTAACATATCAATGTAAAAATCAGATATATCAGTTTTCCCAAGATTTGTTATTTTACCGATGTTCATTTTAAAAATGAGATATTTTTTTCCATATCTATCAAACATTTTTTCTGGTAATGATTTCCAATTTGCTTCACTGCCATCAATTAATCTTTTCACCCACCCCACTCTCAACATATCTATATGTGACTGAATATCTCTTATTTTCAGCCCGCCCTGTTCATACGGTCCTATCATCGTTTTTCTCTTCACCTTTTCACTACCTTCCCATATAAACCAAAAGACCTTTTGCTCTAATTCAATTATTTGACTCTTTGATATTATTTGCATATTTGCTAAATATGTTATTTTTGGAATTAAAAGAGTTTGTACTATAACGGATTTTCCGATGAAAGTGAGTTTTCTTTTTTTCCAATTTTTAAGCATTTCATCCATTGTTGTCTTTTTACTTTCCCAATTCAAATTATTACAGACTTTTGTATTTGTCCCAAAGTATATTCCAAGTGATTTAATTTCCGTTTTCCATTTAATCCCCTCGTAATGTTTTCCTTTTCTTTTATTGCTACCCAACCATAAGCCCTCAGTCTTATTTTTATTTAATTTCAATCCTGAGAATTTTCCAAATTCTTCTACAAGTTGAATAGCTTTACGAATATCATTATACTGCAAAAATAATGTAGTGTCATCTGCAAGCTGCGCTATTTTGATGTGTTTTCTGTTTAATTTAAACCCTTTCACATCAACAGTATTTCTTATTTTGGTAGCCATTAGCTCCACCGCAATTACAAAGATTAAACAAGAAAGCGGACAACCTTGTCTAATTCCTCTTGAGATCTTATATTCACCTGATATCCAATTATTATTTTTTACCAATCCTTTAATATCTGAATATAATGTTTTTATCCAATTAATAAATGACTTACCGAATCCAAATCTGTGTAAGCTAGCATACATGAAGTCCCATTCTATTGTATCAAATGCCTTTTTAAAATCTAGAAAAAGTATACACGAGTCTATATTAAATTTTTCTGAATAATCAATTACATCTTGGATTTGCCTTATATTAAAGCCTATAAATCGATTCTTAATGTACCCATTTTGATCTGTGCTTATTATTTTAGGCATCACCTCCTTCAGTCGCGTCGCTAATACATGTGCTGCAATTTTGTAGTCTATATTCAGCAACGATATAGGTCTCCAATTTTCCAGCTTTTCAATTTCATTTTTCTTATAAATCAATGTTACTAATCCATATTTTTGGGTCTCACTGAGCTCTCCATTAGCATAAGCTTCATTTAATACATCTGTTACTAAGGTACCTATTTTTTTCCAAAAAAACTCATAAAATTCTACTGAGAGTCCATCCATTCCAGGACTTTTGTTTTTTTTCATCTTTTTTACCGCAGCCGTGCATTCTTCTAATGTTAATTCTCCATCACAAAATTCCCTATCTTTATCTGTTAATGTCTTAATTTCTTCGATAGTTTGTACGTATCTATCTATGTCATTACCATTCTGTTGATCGGATTGGTATAATTTCTCATAGAATTGTTTTATAGTATTCATAATTTTCCCTGGTTCTTGAACTCTTTTCCCATTTTCGTCTTCAATTTCATGTATCACTTTTTGTGTTTGTCGGTGTTTTTCTAGGTTTAAAAAATATTTTGTATTTTTCTCTCCTTGTTCTATCCAGATAGATCGAGCCCGAATCTGTGCGCCTTTTGCTTTATTTTCGTATAAATCTTCAAGCCTTGATTCATTTTCTTTTATTTTTACCTGTTCATTTTCTGTTAAATTTATTTTCTTATGTAAGTGGTTTAACCTATTTTCCAATATTTCAATATCAGACTTTCGTTGCTTTGATTTGTTAACACAATAATTAATAGTTTCGTGTTTGAACATTGTCTTGCAATAATCCCATGTTGTTCTCTTATTTAAATTCTCCTTGTTACATATTTCAATTGACTGCTTTAAACTGTCTTGTATTATTATATTATATTCTTCATCTGCTAAAATACTATTATTTATTTTCCATACACCCGGCCCCTTTTTGTCACCTATAAATAGTTTCAGTGATATTGCTTGATGGTCTGTAGATTTAATTTGAGCTGGACGGATATCTGCTGATTTTATAATACTGCAATTTCCCTTTTCTGTTAAAAAATAGTCTATTCTACTTGCAGCCCCTTGTCTGTTTCGTCTCCACGTATATTGTATTCTATCTGTGTTCTTATGCCTCCAAATATCTAATAAGTGTGCTGTTTGTATCAATTGTTTAAGTCCATATGTTATATTTTTATGTCTAATCTTTCCTATTGTTTTTCTGTCTCTTTGATTAAGTACCTCATTAAAATCACCCCCAATAATTGTACTTCCTATACTCTTTTCCTTTATTTCTTTTGTTACTAATTTAAAAAAAGCGTTCCTTTCATTTTCAATATTTGGTGCATATATATTTACTAAAGTAAACATTTTATCACCAATTTTCAAATTCATTAAAATATATCGACCATTATCAGAAATACTGTGGTTAATAACTACAGCATTAAGTGATTTTTTTATAAGTATCGATACTCCTTTACTGTTTCGTTCCCCATAATTATGGAAACAATGTAATACTTCATTTACCTCATTATCTATTACATCACATAATTCATTAGTGAAGTGTGTTTCTTGTATCATTAATATGTCAGTTTGTTGTTGTTTTAACCATTCGTATGTTCTCAGTCTCTTTCCTTTGTCTCTTAGCCCTTGTACATTAAGGGAGAGAATATGTATATATTTCTTCATCGTGTATTACCATCATTCTCTCCTGTGCCTTTCTTTGATTTTTTTGCGTCATTCAATTCTGTTGCTGAAGGCGGTCTTTTTTTTGACAGGCTTCTCGTTCTGTCTTGCCCCGGTGTTTTAGAACCTTCCTTAGCTGAGACTAAAAATTGTTTGATTGAGTTTGTCTGTCCATTTCTATCTTTCCTTGATGTTCTATTCTGTTGTTTTTTCTCTGTTACAGTATTGCCAGTCTCCGCCTTATTTTCGTTGTCTCGTTGTTGATTGTCAGTTTCGTTGTTTGTCGCTGTCTCTGTGAATATCTCTGCCTCTGTCTCTGATTTCGACTCCGTCTCTGACTCAGACTCTGTCTCTGACTCAGACTCTGTCTCTGACTCATTCATGTCCTTGGTACAATCTTGTCGTTTATGTCCTCGTTCCTTACAGATGAAACATGTCCAGTCATTCTTACAATCTATCGTACTATGTCCTGTCTCTAGACATTTGTTACATTTTTGTTCTGGTTTTTTTTCTGTCTGTCTTTCCGTCTTTGGTTGTCCGTAATACCAAATGGTACTGTAGTATTTTCCGAGTCGTAGCGTTCTCGGCAGTTCTGATGTCAGTTTTTTTACAAACACTATACGATCTCCTGTGTCACAATTGGTAAGTTTATTGTTAATTCTTAGTTTTTCCCTGTAAAGGTCTAGTATAACACATCCTTGCTCCTCAAGACCTCGCTTAATCAGCCCGTCGTCAGCTGATAACGGTACATTTGATATTTTAATTCGCGTTGTGCTAATTGGATCATGCCTCGGGCGTCGCGGATTTTCCGGTATAAGGAACACGTGTTTCCCTCTAACGGTTACACCGGTCGAGAGTAATTTCACGCGATCAGGAATGTTGTCTGGGTATATTCGCCACACATTACCGGTACGTTGAATACCACTGAGTCGTTCTGCTGGTATTACAGCGCCCAAACTCATATACATCTCAGTGTGGTTTAACCATTGTTTATTAAAATTGTTAATATTGTCAACTTCAAAAACATCCGTTTCTTTCAAAAACACCGGTTTAGCAGTGCCGTATCCCGGGGGGTATAGGACCCCATCGGTCACGCCCGCATCCATCGTGTTGTCATTACTGGCATCCAGTGTGACATCTTTGTCACGTACATCAATACCCGGTACACCTGTATTGTTCATAGCCTGTGCGTATGTGGGCTTACTGGCCGTCTGACCCACTTTCTCACCTACCGATGAGCTCACCTTACTCGCTATGTCCACTAGCATGGCCATTACCCCGGCCAGGTCCGTAGGCCCTGTTGAATTTTGTGAGGTCATATTTTCAAATTGCTTCAATATTATCGTATTCAAGGTTCACAATGTTCATGTACAATATATGATACAAACCGGTAACCTACCCAAGTATCTGTCCACCACTTGTAAATAGGTAAATTTTTTAAACTCCGATAAAATTCTTCTGATTCGAAGTATCCACTACTGTACCGTAGCTAGCGGCAGATAACTCCAATGAACAACAAATTTGAAAATATACATAAAGGCACAGAGAAATTCATAAATAAACCTGATTGCATTGAGGTTCAATGTTATTTGGAAAACGTGCTTGATTACGAAATCAGCTGGTATAAGACATACACATGAAAACAGTTCACCTTTATTTTCATCTGTCCAATGACTAGTCGTTACGCATACATAACATGTACACAGTAGCTACTAGTATTTTTACCTGTACACATTTTGTAAAGTGAGGGAGATAGCTCTGCAGAGTAAACGTCGTACCGCGACAGCGTAAATAACCCCCGCGCGTATAGTTTTAACCTTCAAATTGCATAAATTTCACCCAGCGTAAATAACCACTTCGACAGTATTGTTATTTGACAAGACAATACATAATTCTTATCTCCATGTGAAGAAACCAAGTACATAATGCCAAATGAACAGACAGAATGTTCAGTGACATCCAATCTAATTAAAATTATATCTTCACATCGCTCCCGTTTACTGATATGTCGCGTTGAAGATCTAACAACATCCCGTAGAGGGTCATGTTCAGGCGACCTTTGCATTAACCAATCAGATGAGAGCTTACGCATTTCTGTAAGTGATGATGTAATGATTTCGGAACACACTTGCTATGATAAAAGACCGAGAGGTGTCAAATGAGCATCGAAAATGGCGGCGCCCATGACACCACGCCGTGTCTATCTACAAGACAACGTTTGTACAATTTGTGGATTTTGCTTTGAAATAAGAGAGACTTCCTCTTCTGGTGATGTTGTCGTTAAAAAGTTTAACAACCTGAAACTAAAATTAACCAATGACAGGCTTCGCAATATTCAAACTATCACTGGACCAGACGAAAAAGTGGATTTTGGGCTACGAGGTGTCTGCATTAAATGCTACAGGTCCTGCTTTCTGATTGGTTGAAAGAAAGAGTTATGTCGCGTTTTGATTGGCTTGTTATAAATACGATAATGCATTCATGTTGACCTCTGACGTGACCCTCTATGGGATGTTGTTAGATCTTCAACGCGACATATCAGTAAACGGGAGCGATGTGAAGATATAATTTTAATTAGATTGAGTGACATCTACCAGAAGAGGATATATCACAATCATGATATGATTTTAACTGGTTCAGGTTGACGTCAACTCATTGTTATGTTTCAGTATTTTTCCACGAAAATAAACAAATCTGCTACTCCCTTTGCTTTACAACACTTGGGAACTATAAGATACATATAGACTTTTTGTTTGTTGGTTCTTAGGGATCTTTCCCTACTTCATTTATAACTATTTTTCTATTTCCTAATGACTTAGTTGACAGTACCTCACTTTTTGCCTGGATTCCTACTTCATTTATAACTATTTTTCTGTTTCCTAATGACTTATGACTTAGTTGACAGCACCTCACTTTTTGCCTTACTATTCAGTATTGAGTGTTTTTGCAATTGAGGAACAATTTGAATTCTGTCTCCTAAGAATCAATGAAAGTCCTAAAGATTTCCTGCTCTTTGCTTTAGATTCAGCTTTACCAAGTCAATGGAACATGGTAATGTTAGCTTATTATCTCTATCATGTGACTGGTTGGAATACCATGCTTCTGTGTTTAGATCCTGACATTTCAGTGAAGTAGCATTGTTAAGTGGCCCTGTTACCCCTGGACATTATATGTATCTGACCTTGGCTGCTGTGAGGACGTAAAACCTTAATACAGTTTTGTGACACATTGTATTAAGACTAAAGTAGAACAGACAGACACATGATGTTGGAAGCCTTTGCACTTTAAACTTCAAATGGTATCAAAACTAAATTAACTGCATTTAATGTGTCTCAAAAAGGACCAGGATAACCCTCACTTCCATTCAATGTTTGCTGTTTGTGTTTTTCTGCAGGTGAAAAACTTCCAGGAATACATCAACTTGTATGTCAAGGACAAGATGGATGAAAATAACATGCCTATCAAGGTATGCTACGAGAAGGCCCACCAACGCTGGGAAGTGGCAGCCATGCTCAGCGAAAAGGGATTCCAGCAAGTCAGCTTTGTAAACAGTATTGCCACAACAAAGGTGGGTGGTGGCTTGAAGGCCCCGGAGATCTGTCTTACCAAGGAAACATTGATCATTTATAGTTCTCTTAGTCACAAAGAATCCTTTGTTAGCAACAGACACCTCTAGCTTTATTTTCAATACCATAAGATAATGTTTAAGTTAGATCTACCGGTATATTCTTTTGTGAGTTATTTTACTACATCTGAGATTTATGTTTTTTAGAAGAAAAATATCAGAGAAAGTCTGTGGCAATATATAGAAAATACCATTTTGATTGACCAGTATAAAAGCAATGCTCAACCTTGAGGGAAGGCAACTTCCCTCACGCCGACTGAACACTGACTTCCGTCAGTGAGATGAAACCCGTAAGGGCGGATTCATGTAGGCGCAAAACCTGTTAACCAACCAACCAACCATAAATTCACATGTTAAGATATAATATTTCATAGAGCTTCACTGATAATTTCTAAAATTTCACTGGGGATACTAAATCTTTACTTGAATAGGGATAGAAATACTGATAGATGTTTCCAATTTTATGTTGTACATTGCTTTAATTAAATTATTCAAATATATATATATATAAATTGAAGAATTGTTTCCAAAATATAAAAGTATAAATGATTCTGTATTTCACTCATTACAGAGGAGACAGGGGTCACATTAATATCAGTTTGACATGCATCTATTTTTTGTTATTTGATTGGTTGTACTTCAATCCAAGGTGCATTGTGTGAGGATGGTTTTAGTGTCAGGCACATTAGTAAATTAATACAACCAATCAAATGGCCTTAAAAACTATTTTCATAAGAATCAGAATTATTACATCAGAGTAAAATTGTTGAAATGGGAAAAATGCATGGTATTGCTACAAGAGAAATAACTAAAATTCAGCTGTACACTTACTGAAATGTCCTGATATTTTCCTCCATCAGGGTGGTCGTCATGTTGACTACATTACGGATCAGATTGTCAACAAACTCATTGAACTTGTCAAGAAGAAAAACAAGGGAGGAGTTGCCATCAAACCATTTCAGGTAATCTCATACTAATGAAAGGAAGTTATGTTCTGGACAATCATCAAATGGCTGGTCAGCTGTACCTTTGATCTCTAGCATTAGAGATCCATGCAGACCAGCCTTGCTACATATTAATACTAGTCTTTCAAGTGAATTTACGAGTAAATGAGTCTCAAAAAGGCATACATTCCTCGACTTTTGTTTACATCAAAGCAGCATTTCAAAATAGATTTGAGTACCAACCGATAAAAGTCAGAGTCCTATCCTTGAAATATTAAGGATCCCTATTCCCCTGCCAATAAGTTAAACTGTACTGAAGTATTGGAACAGTGTTGCTTCTAGGGCGCGGGATCGCAGAATTCCCGCAAAAATATAAAGAACCCCGCATAAATCAAACCTCAGTGCGGGCCTAATGCCGCAACTCTTTGATAAATCCCCCCTTTCAGACAATCCTTTGCGTTCATTTATTTCTTTCGCGGTTCAATCGTTGTACGATAACAAAGTCGGCCATGTTGTGCAAGAGACCGAAACGTCTTTTGAAATGACAGTTTTCATTGGCTGATTTATTAAAGCTACGCCAATCAGAATGGGGCTCTTAAAATAAACATTCTCGCACGTGCGGCGACCTCGTACTGGACCTACACGAGGTCTAAGGTGAATGTACAGCTTCTAAATGAATAGGAAAAGAACGCTGTTTGAGTTTAGTTTCACGGCAAACCGCCACCATTTAGACAGGGATGAGAGAGAGGTTACCGACGAATCTGAAACCGAAACAGGCGAACCAAACAGTGAAACTGGAGCAGACGATGTCGAGCCCTCCCCTGCCTTGTCACTTGGCTCCTCAGCTGCTGCCTTTGGCAGCAGCACCCCCTATTTCATACTGAAGGGGCCCAAGGCCCCCCCATTGGACAAATCCTAGAATCAGCACTGTTGGAAACTGTTTTCTGATATTGTACTGAAGTATTGGAAACTGTTTTCTGATATATATATAACAATGGCTTTGATGAATTATTTCTGAAAAGAAAACCATACCTTTCTCTTATAAGAAATATTGAAGGTGAAATGACAAAATATAATCAACAGTAGTGTTCTGAAAGTAAAAATTGAATGGGACTAGACCGGTATTTGATCTCTGGACTTCAGATTGTTATACTGTCACTCTTAAGTGATTGAGCTACCTGGTCAGTGGAGGTGTCCTGGTCAAACTGTGCTGGCCGAAGTTAAGGGGAGGTTACTGAAATTAAGGAAAATCCACAGTGCATTGCGACAGGGATCCTTAAGCAAAGTTTAATTTCATTGGTATTCTCTTTGTAGATATCTACTTGTATGAATTAACTAAGGTTGTAAAATGCATGGTCTTTGGCTGTTTTGAATTTCCTCCAATAACGTTTTTTTCCAACAAATTCACATTAAATCAATATTTCCGAAGGCATTTTTTTCTTTTATAAGATCTGATGCAGAATCTACTTCGCAATGAAAAGCAATCTTCATTTTTCTCCGATAGTTCTGTTTCTGCAATTCAGTGTTTCATCTTGCTCATGGCATTATAATTCTTCTGTTTTGTATAATACATCTGTGTTTCTTCTGTATTACAATATTATCATTGAAAAGTTTCTTCTGTATTTCAGATCAAGAACCATTTATGGGTTTTTGTGAACTCCATGATAGAAAACCCAACATTTGATTCGCAAACCAAGGAAAACATGACTCTACAGGTCAAGGCATTTGGATCAAAGTGTTCTCTGTCTGAAAAGTTTGCTACCTCGGTAAGAAATTTTAGATACTTTGTAAACTGAATAACATTAGAATACATTGAAGGTGAAAAAAGTTTTTGTTTTTAAGATTTCTTAAATGCCAGAGGTATAAGCAAAAGTGTTTACTCAAATCAGGGCTACAATGGTTATCTATAATGCCAGAGGTATAACCAAAAGTGTTAACTCAAATCAGAACCATGTGTCTGTGATATCCGTCCCATTGACTACAGGGATTGCTTTCCCTTCGCTTAGATGGAAATAAATCTCTTAAAATGAACCTAGTCAATACCTATGCAAATATAAATAAAGTTTTAAAAAATTTGTTTATTCCCAGATCAGCATGAATTGGTTTCCAGTAGTTTTGAATTTCCTGACTGGGAAATCCTAGCTTTGAGCATCACATAACACAGGTGTCATTAACGCTGTTACTTTGTGCAATTGTTTCAGGTCAGCAAGTGTGGAATCGTGGAAAGCATCATGAGCTGGGTGAGATTCAAGGCACAGGCACAGCTGAACAAGAAGTGCAGCGGCAGCAAGCACTCCAAGCTCAAAGGAATCCCGAAACTGGACGATGCAAATGAGGCTGGAACCAGGTTTTCCAAGGATTGTACCCTCATTCTGACTGAAGGAGACTCGGCCAAGACACTTGCAGTGGCTGGTCTAGGGGTTGTAGGGCGTGACAAGTTTGGGGTGTTCCCTCTCAAGGGAAAAGTGCTCAATGTGCGCGAGGCCACACATAAACAGGTACGTCACATAATCAAATTGTTATGTTTTACTTACTGGTCATTACACAAGAATTGATAACATTATTTTGGATAAGTCTGCTAAGAAATCAATTGAAGTCTTTGATAACTTTAAATGAAGTATAATTATGTGTATAACACCTGTCTCCTTCAAGATACTTTTTAACTGTAAAATTGGTCATTAGTACATTAAAAAAACCTTTCTGGGTAGCATTAATTCCACAAAATCAAACCACCAATTTGTATGTAAAATAACAAGTACTTCTGCTGAGAATTCAACACATTTTTGTTTAATAAAGGATAGGAAATCTTTTAAATGTCAGTATAACAATCATTTTGCACCCTGTTTTGAATAATACTGAATGGTGTCTTTATGAATATTTCTTCCTGTGTCATTTAATTACAGAATGTACCGTATTGTGTGAAAAGAAATATTTTGATCATTTATGATATATATATAAAATTGCTTCTAGATCATGGAAAACGCAGAGATCAACAATATCATAAAGATCATGGGCCTGCAGTTCAAACAGAATTATGACAGTGAGGAATCGCTGAAGACACTGCGTTATGGTAAGCTGATGATCATGACCGATCAGGACCAGGACGGTTCCCACATCAAGGGCCTACTCATCAACCTGATGCATCATTTCTGGCCCGCCCTGCTCAAACGTAACGTCGTCAACCAATTCATCACACCTATCGTCAAGGTAAAGCATGTTTTACTGGTGTCTTCTAAAGTATGAATAGATCACAGCATTGGGATTTCATTTATCAATGGTTGGAACAGACAAAACTACAGGCAACATAGAGAAGAACATTTTTCTATGAATAAATTGAAGACAGGCTAAGAACATCGTGAACAGGCTAAGAACATCTTGAACTGTGTAAGGTGAAAACTACTCAATGTCAGTGTCCATCACACCTAATCATGGCACTATATGTAGACAATCAATGACCAACAATAAAATCAATGAAATCATCCTGTTTGCTGATTGATCTGATTGATCTGATTGCTCTTATTAGCGTAGAATAACACATAAGATGGCAGGCAATGTATAAGGAGAAATGTTGGAATTCTTAAAGATGTTCATTTAAACCAAGACAATGGTAACGAAGAGTACAGTTGATCGTTTGTTAGGGTGGATTTAGTGCACTGTGCTTTAAAAGTATAGGTATGAAAGGTAGCTTATGTGAAACATTTTCTGTATATTTTTCATTTAATATGAACGTACCAATCAAAAGTTTATTGTACAGAGTTGCAGGAAGTATTGAGATAGCGACTTAAAGTTCTAGTTTTTCAAAACGTCCTTTATGCAATATTTGTACTGATATCTCAACTTAAAGTTCTAGTTTTTCAAAACGTCCTTTATGCAATATTTGTACTGATGTACTAATTAAATTTGAATTAAATTTATATCTTGTAATAATGTTTCAGATATGTCGACAGGTTCTGTGTGTAACATCTGTCGCTGAACTTTTGATTATGCATGATTGTTTATTGAACTGCCTTTGCAGGTGAGCAAGGGTAAGGATGAGCATTCCTTCTACAGTCTGCCTGAGTTTGAGGAGTGGAAAAGGGATACAGACAACTGGCACACGTGGAAAGTCAAGTACTACAAAGGTTTGCGTCTCCTCGTCTCTCACACTTGTTAGAGAATCACTTGTAAGTTACTCTGTATTTGAGAAAAGTCTAAACAACATTTATCACTGCATGGGGCTATGCCTAAGACCAAACAGAAATGTTTCTTCTTTCTTAATTTCCAGTGGTTTTAGTCCCTTTTCAGTAACTTTTGATTAAGAGATGCTATCTGTCATTTGAAATGATTTCTTAAAAAAATCTGTCATATAAATATTTTTCATTGAAACAGCTTTGCCAATTGAAAATATTTCATAGGAGGAAATACTGGAAAACTGACCTTAGTTGTTTGGGATGTAGGAAACTATAAATTTGACATGCTTTAGCTTGAAGTGTTATGTAGAAGAATACTGTGGTTGTAGGTTTGGGTACCAGCACAGCAAAGGAAGCAAAGGAGTACTTTTCTGACATGGAGAGGCACAAGATTGACTTCCGTTACACTGGTGTAGAGGACGACGCCTCCATTACACTGGTATAACGCCAATTTCATAGCCATTTTGTTGATGGGATTTTGACTATATGTTTCAAATCTTGTTGAAGTATTTGTGAAAGCAAATTGAGGAAAACCACCCCTGTTTAATGCAAATACAGTAGGAACAGCTCAAAGTTGAGACCACGAACAACTGGGAGACAAACTAGATTTTCTAGATAACCTGCGGTGGGACAGAAAAACAATTGTCAGACAATGGTTTGTTAATGTCTACTGTTAATGTCAGTTCAAGGCTGTTGGGTGTTTTTTAATATTTGATATAGTTGTACATCATCTTTTTTGACCTTATAGAACCCAAAATACATATTCATGATGATATTTCATTGCAGGCATTTAGTAAGAAGAAGGTAGAGGAGAGGAAAGAATGGCTGACTACGTGGATGGAGGAAAGAAAAAGGCGTGCTGAAATGGGTTTGCCAGAGGTATGTCTTTTGCTGTTACGCATACATGTAGCTTCAATGCTTAACATTTTGTGAAAAAAGTGGGACAAGCTGTTATATAAATTTGATTGCAACAATGCGTAAGACTTGCTTCCACAAAGTATTGTTAGCTTGATACTGTAAAAGGAGGTTAAGGCTACTCTACAGTAATACATCCAGCATTTATACATAATTATTATATTTCGAGGTTCTTATATACCAATTTGTCACAGCCCAGCTAGTAGGCCGTCTCAAAGGGGTTCACATATTATTATCCGTGGTTATTGGGCCTTTACAACCAGCCAATATCTTTCTCAACTCCCTTTGGAGCATACAGCCAGTGATGTCATTTAGTTGCTCACAGCAAGCATTCAACAATTCCAGCACTGCCCAACCATGTACTCATTTACAACTGAGTAGACTGGAACAAGTGGAGAAAAATATTGTTCCAAGATAAAACACAGTGCTGTGACGTGATTCAAACCCACAACCCTTCGGTCACGAGCCTGGCGTCCTACCACTTTACTGCCGTGCCACCAGTATATTTTTTCCCCAAGAATAATCCATAAATGCAAAGGTTTCCTTCTAACATTAAAAGCAAAAAACAGTTTTATTGCACCAAGAAATCAATATTTTCAATACCATTGGTTTTTACAGGTATTTATTTTCATTTTAATGTTAAAACAAGAAGATTTGGAATCAAATTGAATGAGAATGTCGCAAGTTTTATATTATATTTTCTACTAGACTAAGCGTCCTTCATTCCTAAACCTTGTCACCCCGGCCTGTACTGTTTGAGGACACAACACTGTAATTAATCCACCTGTTGTAGCTGTACCTGTATGGGAAACAGACAAAAGACATCACCTTCAACGACTTCATCAACCGTGAGCTGATCTTGTTCAGCAACGCAGACAACAACCGCTCAATCCCCTCCATGGTAGACGGCTTCAAGCCAGGACAGAGAAAGGTCATCTTCACCTGCTTCAAGCGTAACCTGGTGAAAGAAATCAAGGTTGCTCAGCTGGCAGGCTCTGTGGGAGAACAGTCTGCTTACCATCATGGAGAGGTAGTTTATACATCTTATTTTAGTAGAAGAACAGTTTTAAACTTGAAGTTTTAGCTATCATTGCACTAGCACAAGAATTTCAGACTTTTAAGTAAAGAAGAATTTCAGATTTTAATTTGAAAGTATTATCTGGCTGGTATGATAATTTTATCACAAAATCGTGTCTTCTTTGTATCAGATTCCTGATGTTGTTGCATTTTTCCTTTTGATGGCATAATGTGCATATTTGATTTTTTTATTTGACAGTTTTAAACCTTTTTTTTTTGTTTACATTTTTACACTTCAGGGAATTTTAGCTTTTATTTTACCCTGAACATTACATAGTGTTCCATTTACATGGGTGTAGCCTCCTTCAAAGGGAACAAGAGAAATGAAATATTTACAAGTAATGTTGTGGTAAATGTTTATACAAATTGTACTTGTTTTTGTAGGCATCCCTTATGGGGACAATTGTCAACTTGGCCCAGAACTTTGTTGGTTCCAACAACATTAACACACTAAAACCCATTGGTCAATTTGGTACCCGCCTTCATGGTGGCAAAGATGCTGCTAGTCCCCGTTACATCTTCACACAACTCAGGTATGTAGACCTCCTCAAACTAGAAATACAACTACCAGCCTCTGTACTGAGGATTTCACTTTAAAAGCAAGAACACCTGCATTCGTTGTCAGAAAGAAAGGACTTGGGGCATTATGGATCATTTTTGGCCTCATAAAAAGTAATTTTAAGTGAATTCATTGACCAATTTCTGTTATAAACATCATATCGCTTAATTAAGATTTTTCAATGTGCCTGCATAGGTGCCCTACCATAGCAACAAAATTGCGTTGGCATGCAGAAATAGCCAAATTATAGTGTTTTTGGACAGTTAGAATGCAGAAATGAAGCCTCCTCATGTGACAAACAAAAGATTACTTTCTACGCAAGGTTTGAACTTAATTTTTGAACCTACAAGCAATAATATTCTTGTAGATTTGAAAGTTAAAAGCAAAACAAAATTTAAACAAGTAAAAAAAATTTGTCATGTATATTTTTTATTTGTTTGTTGTTTTTCCAATGTAAGGAGGCAGTACCCAAATCGGATAACTTTTTGCAAAAAGACTTAAAAATAAATGTGTCAACAAATCAGTTATAACAATGATGTAGTCTTAGAATATATAGCCATGCACCATTGTATGTCTACAGATGATTAGTTTTCAAGTTCAAATAGCACAAGAAAATGTAATTAAAACTCATATGTCAGTGTTTTGATTACGCTTTAAAAAAATGGTCGTGCGACGGCTATGCATTCTATTTTGGACTATAGGAATAGATTCACACTATAGGAATAGATTCACACTATAGAAATGCTTTTTGTCATATAAATTCTAAAGGTCATCTTAAAATATTATTATGCTGACAAGAAAATATTCACTTGGAGCGTAAGATACTGCAAATTTGTTTTCAAAGTCTTGAGCCGACACATGATTTCTTGCTCCGATGTTTTGATTTTTTTCGGAGGATTTTCTGACGTACCATCCTCACTTTTGGTATTATCAGGGCGGATAGGCCTGTCTGATTCATTCTCTGTTGCCAATTTCCGTCTGAAAAAGTTGGTGATTTTAGTCCAACATGACATCGATGCCCGATTCGATGGGTAGTCTAGTCTGCGAGGCACAAGGCATCTGTTAACTTGCGGTTTGTGCGACCTTGACATTGATCATGACGCGCACGGACCCCGACTATATATGTTAGCCAATCAGAATAGCGCTTAACTCATATTCGGAAATCCCCTTCTTATTCTCAACACACTTCGAACAGGAAGCGGGCTGGACATATTCAAAACGCTTAAGTGTCAAGTATTAACGCATTTTGCGTATTAGCTTGTGTTAATTACAAACCTTGCTACGAATGAACACTGGTATTACAATGCTTTTTTTGCATGCGGAAGCTTTCAAAAAATGAAGAGGGTATAATTGATTTGCTTCAAAAGGGCCTATTTTCAATGTAAATAGCACACAACAGATGATATTCACGCAATTTAGTAAATTACTATGAAAAATGCGGACTTATACCTCTCGTTGTTATGTCATAATCTCTAATACCAGTTGTTGGATGAATTTGAATTTCATATTTGTGTACTTCATTTATTCCAGATTACATATATAACAACTAATTCTAAATCCCTGATGAGGCCAGAAATGACCCTTACCGCCCCTTGTCCTTTCACAAAGCATTATCTATTCATTCTTGCAGTCCAATGGCCAAACTGGCTTTTAATCCAAAGGATGAGCCGTTGTTGGAGCACCTGTTTGATGACAATCAGAAGATCGAGCCCTTTTGGTACTGTCCTATCCTCCCAATGGTTTTAGTGAACGGAGCCGAAGGTATTGGTACTGGCTGGAGTACTAAAGTCGCCAACTACGACCCGCGGGAAATTATAGCCAACATCAAGAGGCTTATGGACAACGACGAGCCTCTGCCAATGGTATGAATGATTGGAGAACCATAAGTTTTTAGGTCACCTGAGCTTTGCTCAAGTGACCTATTCTGATCGCTTTCCATCCGTCGTGCATAAACTTTACGTTTTCGACTTCTTCTGAAGAACCAGTCGATGGAACTTGTTCAAACTTGGTCAGAATCATCCTTGGTAGATGAGGCTACAAAATTGTAAAATTGGGATTCCTACCCCAATCCCTGGGGCCAGGGTCGGGCCCCAAAGGGAAAATTAGCCAATATTTAAAAAATCTTCTTCTCCAGACTAGTAATTTTCTCTGTATGGATGGAAAGATCATCATCAGCTTTATTTAAATTGTAAATTTCAGGACCCCGAAGCCTATAGTTTATGTAGGGAAATAACACTTTTGTGTATATTTTGACACTTTTCTGTAGGAAATTATTCTTACTTGGTGAGAATTATCCTTAGAGGAAGATGGTTTCAAATTGTAAAATTGGGATTCCTACCCAAACCCCTGGGGCCAGGGCGGGGCCCCAAAGGGAAAATTAACTAAAATTTCAAAAATCTTCCTCTCCAGAATCAGGTGTATTACAGTCACTCCTTGGGGAGGGGGTAAAGTTTACATAGGGAAATAACACTTTTGGGTATATTTATCCATTTTTAGCAGAAAACTATTCAAACTTAGTCAGAATCATCTTTGGTGGATAAGGGTTTTACGTTGTAAAATTTAGATTACTGCCCCATTCCCAGAGTCTAGGGAGGGGCCCCAAAGGGAAAATTTACCAATATTTCAAAATTCTTATCCTTTGATGAAATAACAAGTATTGTATTTCACTTAGTTTACATTTTGATTTCCACATCACATCTCAACAATGAAATTGAACTACCAGTCCCTACAATATATCTCAGGTGACCGCTAAGGCCCTTGGGCCTCTTGTTCACAATATGTATGGAAAAACTCTGTAAAGTGTTGAATCAAGGATAGTCCACATGATCATATAGGAGGTGACACGTTTGTTAAAAAGAAGAGGGGTCTGATACAATTGTTGGACATATGTATTGGGAATAGGCAAGAGGGAATGTGGGCGATGAGGGTTACATAAAGTGCCTCATTGCCCCTCATATATCAGAAATAATGCTGAGGCTTCCAAAAGGTTAGTTTGTTTCACAGAAGGTTAAGAAGTGTTGTCTTGATTTTTAATAAGATTTTGATTTCAACATTGAATCGGAAAATTGATTGTCAATTAAGACATTATCAAATAATACCACGTTTAAAACATAATAATATGGCACCAGGTAGGAATTTGATTATAAAAATATTGGCTCCAGACCAATATAATTTTAAACATGGGTGCATATTTCCTTTTGTGAATTCATATTTTCACAAATATGTCTTAGTAAGATATGTGTGTACACAAAAATTAAGTGAGGAGCAGTATGGTAGATTTGTTATATTTCAAGTGATACCTCTTTTTGTTGGATATCAAGTCAGGCTTTTAGCATGAATTAAAAAAAAAAAAAACACAAAGAAAACCTATTAAGCACAGAACATATATATTGAGTGTAAAAGTAAAAGATGCATGTTTTAAAAATAAATTGCCTGTTATGGTGGTGTGCCGATTAAATCAACATTGTTGAGTATTGGTTGGTTAGGTCATGTTTCTGATAAATCTGCTACAGATTCCTTGATTGATTAATCTCGACACTAGCTTAAGATTAAACCTGAGAGTGCGCATCAATTTGTCCTGATCAGATCTTTCTGATAGGTGAGCTGCATATTTTGGTTTTAATATATACTGCAATCTTCAGCGAAGAAAGATTTTTCTGAATGTTGTGTGTGTTTCACTTTCAGATACCTTCCTTCAAGGGTTTCAAGGGATCAATTCAGGAACTGTGTACCAATCGGTACCTAGTGTCTGGTGAAATATCCGTCATTGATGAGCAGACCGTGGAGATCACGGAATTGCCAGTACGTACCTGGACCCAGAACTACAAGGAGGATGTACTGGAACCCATGCTGTATGGCAACGACAAACAACCTGTAATGATCACGTAAGTCATTCAAATATACTCTACCATAACAAGAAAACACCTGTCATCGTAATATAAGTGATTGCATTTTGAGCTTTCGATTGAGAAAACACCAGTCAAAATGAAGTGATGGGATAGTGTGTATGAAACCATTGCTGATGTAAGTCATAAGATTGTGTATTGCACAGTTACAGTTTGCCGTCAACCTGATGTTTTGATACTGATTTCCTCTTCAGAGACTACAAGGAGTACCACACAGACACCACTGTGAAGTTTGTGGTCAAGATGACCGCTGAGAAAATGGCCCAGGCAGAGGATACTGGGCTCCACAAGGTGTTCAAGCTACAGACCAACTTGTCACAGAACACAATGGTGAGTGTACATCATAATCAGATTCACCAGCTTTTCTTTCTTGAAAACACAAATGGGCCTTTACGAATTTATTGATGTCAGGTTAAAGGTCATTCAGGAAAGTTATATTTTTTGTAACTCAACTAATACAACGTTTTTTTTTATTAGCTCACCTGCCAGAAGGGCAAGTGAGCTTATGTTATGGTGCGGCGTCCGTCGTCAACTTTTTGCTTTAAACAACTTTTTTTCGGTAACCAAAAGGCCTAGGAAGATGATATTTGGCCAGTAGCATGCTGGGATCAAGGGCTACCAAGTTTGTTCAAATAAATGACCTTGACCCACTTTCAAGGTCACAGGGGTCAAATATGTTATAATCTTCAAACAACTTCTTCTCAATAACCAAAAGGCCCAGGGTACTGATATTGGGCCTGTAGCATGCTGGGATGAAGGGCTACCAAGTTTGTTTAAATGAATGACATTGACCCACTTTCAAGGTCACTGGGGTCAGATGTCTTAAAATCTTCAAACAACTTCTTCTCAATAACCAAAAGGCCCAGGGTACTGATATTGGGCCTGTAGCATGCTGGGATGAAGGACTATCAAGTTTGTTCAACTGAATGACCTTGACCAACTTTCAAGGTCACAGGGGTCAAATGTCGTAAAATCTTCAAGCGACTTCTTTTCAATAAGCAAAAGGGCCAGGGTACTGAAATTGGGCCTGTAGCATGCTGGGATGAAGGACTACCATGTTAGTTCAAATGAATGACCTTGATCCACTTTCAACCTAATGTCCTTGTTCGACAATCAAGGTCAGAGGCGTCATATGTTTAAATCTTTTAATAGGTTCTTATGAAATCTTAAGATTACAAGTGTTAGATTAATAACAGGTGAGCGATGCAGGCCCATTGGGCCTCTTGTTAAGTTCATCATCATTTGGATAAAGCAAAGCATTTATAGACTTAATTCTGTTTTGTAGGTGCTGTTTGACCATAACGGTTGCATTAAGCGGTATGAGTCAGTGGAAGAAATCTTGAAGGAGTTTTATGCTCTTCGTTTGGATTTCTACCAGAAAAGAAAGGATTATATGATGGGGATGCTCTCAGCAGAATCTTTGAGGTTTGATAACATGGCTCGCTTCATCCTTGAGAAGATTGATGGCACCGTGGTCATTGGTAAGTTAGGCTGTGTGTGATATCCAGGACACATGGGTATTAGAATGGTTGTAAGGATCGGAGTACCTTATTTTGGAATATATTGGCGAAATATTTCTTAGCTCAAAATATGGTGGTTAAATGTTGGTACGATGTTGACGATTCTGTGTGCTAAATCTTGACGCTTTACTATGAGATAACTTACTGCTATTCTTACCGTATAGCTGTATACACTTGAACACAACTAATACAACAGATATGAAAACACTGAAAAGTTTTGACAATGTCAAATGAAAATATACCTTTATTGACATGTTATTTTTGAAGAGGGTTATTCCTGCTGAAACTATTCTAAATTTCACTTCAATGAAAAATACAGCCCACAGAAGTTACTAATTGATGTATAATAAATGAATTGGAAGATGGTTTTCCTATATCCGTATGCTGTGGCGATATATATTTTGGCATCATGAAATTTTTGTTTGTTTACTTTTGGCTCATTTACTTCAAGTGCTGGAAAAAAATAATAACCAAATCCAAAATATACAAAAATATGTTTTGGCAGTACTGATCTGTATAGTCCGAATTATTCTGACGTTTTATCGACTTTGTTTATATCTGTCTGTCTTCGATTAATGTCAGAACTCCGACCCTCTATAATATGCGGGAAATAAGCGACCCAGGCCCGGGTCACAGTTCAAACTGATATTTTAGAAACAAATCGTCACTTTCACACACATTACATGCCTCAAACAACCAATACAATCACTAAAAACATATTTTTTCAAACTTACTCTGTTTTACCTTATTTTTTTGATAGCCCCCGCCTTCTAAATGCCACATGACTAAAATCTCGCCGGCCTACGTCATAACGTTGGGAAATACCTTCGGTAACGCGAGATCTCGTAAAGTCATGTGACATTGCTCATAGAAAACGTTGGAAAATACTGTTGAAACCTGTTATTGATACCACCTGGTGCATAAAGAATAGATCGAAAGATTGAAAGGGCCGTTCTGACGTTAATCGACAACAGACCGATATAAAAAAAAGTCGATAATTTGGACTATGATCTGTACAGCAATACACAAGTACTATCAATGTTAAAAAAAATGTGCATCACCTTGCGCTCTAGCAAACAGATAACTAGTATATCATTGGAGAATCTTTCATGTATGTCATTGTAAATAATGACAATGGAATATTTATCCTTTTTTTCCCCTGATTTCTTGAACAAGCTTTAGATGATGATATAAATTGATCAAACTGAAATGTTATTTCCTCATTGTGATCGATAGAGAACAAACCCAAGAAGGAGGTGATATCAACGCTTGTGAGGAGAGGCTATGACAGTGATCCCGTCAAGGCATGGAAAGCCAAGCAGGACATGAACAAAAAGGTGGGTGTAGTCTATAACATAAGGGGCCTGTTCGTTTATGCGGAACAACCATTTTTTTCTTTTTCTTAAATGTAACATTTTCGGGTATAAACCCTTGCGGACCTGCAAATGTTTATGCAGGTCTTGCAAGGATTTGTCAGGGCTCGCCTGAAAGCAGCATCTGATTATTAGGTCCAACCTTATTTCGTTAACAAAGAACTCTAGTTCAACTGGTTCAGCCATTTGGATCGCGATAAAGGAAAGTGGCCCATGTTAAAGATAAAGGTAGATAACTCCACCTGATGATAAATCCAGGTGGTCATTGTACTGTTAATATTGAGATTCACCGGTCAGGCGTGATAAGGTATGGGGTCACTTGCCCAATCATGTGGGGTTTTCTTCAGGTACTCTGGTTTCCTCCTGTATTAAAACATTCCCAACCCTGTGTGCTTCAATTAGTATTGATCAATATAAGTTTATAAGACATGTTTCATAATATGAAATAAATAACGATGAATTAAAAATATCAGGTCTTGTTCATTATTTTTGAATTTTTACAGTAACACATGTTTTTAACGAAAACTGTGAAAAACAAAATTTAAGGAAAGATTTACCTCCAATTTCTTCTTGTCAGGATGATGATGATTCTGATGACGAAGACAGTGACGGTCCAGACTTCAACTACCTGTTGGGTATGTCACTTTGGAGTCTGTCTCGTGAGAAGAAGGAGGAATTACTCAAACAGAAAGAGGCAAAGGTAGGAAATAAGACTTTCAAAATGAGGGAGAGAGAACTGCTTGAGTAGATGGAGGCTGATGTATGGTCCGATTCTCTGTCAGAGATGAAAGGAGAATTGCCCATACACTTTTATTATATATGCCAAATTCTGCCATGTTGTGAAATTGATAAACCCAAAAAAGCCTTTATCACAAAGAAAACTGATGAAAGCAAAACTTGATCTGACATAGGAAGTCTGATAAGTAGAAAGAAATTCTATTGTCAAAGTTCAGCAAAACTTAAAATGAGCATGAAGGTACCGACTACACTAAAGCTTCTCATGTTTATCAGGTTTCCAGCTCAATTGTTTGTACTCTTATTATAAGTATCAGAGAATGAATGAAGGTTCTCTCCTCTGCTAAGGCAGCAAATAAAAAGGTATTTTACTTCCCCAGAGTAAGGAGCTGTCCGATCTCCGACATAAGACAAAAACAGACCTGTGGAAAGATGACCTGGAGGAATTCCTCACTGTTCTAGATGTAAGTTGTACTGTAGCAGTGATACTTTAAAAACAATTTTTCATAGTTACTTCAATCAATATTTCAATATTTTTAGGCCAAAAAAAATGTGTTTCAGGTTACATGACTGAAAAATGTAGGGTAGGTCGGAGGGATTTATTTTATATTGCAATACATAGGTATATCGTATTGTATCACAATACAGAGATGAAATATTGCTGTATCGCAATTTTTCAAAGGCATATTTTTATGTATCTGCATAGTGTTTTGAATTCTAACACTTTCAATAGGTTGGTTTGACAAAAATCTTAAATCTATGTCATCCATTGTATTGCTACCATCCTGGGGGCTACCATCCCAGGATGGTAGCTTTAGAATTGGTCGCTGTACCAGCAATATTGAGGGGTTTCCACATGGATATTAATAGTCTTGTCTACTTTGATTGGCTCGCTAACATACTTTACACGCAGTGATTGGTTACCTGTTGTCTGTGATGTCACCATTCGTAGAGGCACAAGTGGGGAAATTAATTACAAAATGTGATTGATAAAGTCAGAGAGATCCGAATGTTCATACAGGATTGTTGGACATTGTTCTGCTATTCCACGCATGGCGGCGCTGTTGTTTGGTTATGGTCGGAAATTGATAAAATCAGAGAGCCCCGAATTGGCATATATGTGTGCCATTTCAGGGTCATACTAATACCAGAACCAGACGGAAAACCAGGACCAAGTGCTTTAATGTGTTTCTTTCATGTTTTTAAATGCAACTACCTTAATGAGTTGATATGACATGAATAAAAATGTATTTTAGCACAAGTTTATATAAAAATATATACATTGCATTATGATTTAAAACAGAAATCCAAAACATATCAAACATACCAGTCCTGACATTACCAGTAAAAAGCAAAATCACAAAAGCCATAAAAACAAGTAAAAACAGTATTTGAAACATATCTTTTTTATTTTATTTATACATTTAGTATGGTGTTCTTGTATTTCCTACATGAAATAACAACATAAAATAAGCTTATTGAGTTAATAATACTTAAAATGAATAGTTGGTCCTGGTTATCCTGTTCTTCTTTTTAGCAATAATTCTTTTGGTCCTGGCAGGATTTGGATCACTAAATCATTTATTTTTTTCATATTCTAATTTATGTGTAAGTATTAATATGTTCTTTTAAATTATATAACAGATTTTTTTTTCTACCTTGCACAAAAACTTAAAAATAAATAAAAATAAAACCATGCTGGTCCTGACAATCCGGTTCTGGTATTAGTGTGACCTAATATCTTTAATTCTGTATTGCAATATATCATGATACACTCTTGGTGTATTGTGATACCTCTATGTAAGCATTTGTGTAAAGATGATAAACTTTAAAAAAAAGTTTTATTACTGTGCCTTGTATGTATGTGAACACTGACAGTCTTGTTATAATTGACATTATGTTGCACTTTGGTAGGAAGTGGAACAGCAAGAGAAGGATGATGAAGTTGTAGGCATCACAAAAGTGACCAAAACGAAGGGTGGCAGCAAGCCACGCATCAAGAAAGTGGCCATCATTGAGACACAGCCGTCCCCCATGGGCAGGCGTGTGGAACCACAGATAGACTCCGCACTGAAGAAGGTGACCAAGGCTACAAACGCTAAAGTAAAGAAACTGGTAGGTATCCTGGTCTGCGATGCTCCTTCCTACTTTGGTAAATAGATGTAGACCTTCTTTACAATGGCCAACTTAACATAAACTAAAGCAATAGATAGAGATCCAGTGTTTTCTCCACAGTTCAGGAAATGTGTAGATGGGAATCTGAAGCTTCTTTATATGAGCCTACTACCTTGTGAAGTGAAAATATTGGGGGGGGGGGGGGGGGGGGAAATTGATAGCTATCTAGAGCTTTTCTCTGTTTGTTCATTGCACAGTTAGTAAAGAATACTGTATAATTGATCATATTTGTGAGGGGCTTTATTTTTAGCTCACCATGAAGCGTAAGCAGTATCTAACTTTACAATTATGACATCAACACATGGGCTATGATATTAACAGTTTATTTGAACGCAATCCAAAGTTCGTAGGGTTATTGTAGCAGTGCCACAGAGTGGTAAATACTATGCTGTATTTAGGTCACTGTGACCTTCACCTTTAGGTCAAAACTAAAATAATTGCCAGTTGCACACGCCAAATATAAATTGACTCTTAAGTGGAGATCTCCAGTAACCCAGGCACAGGTAGATAACAACCTCCTGGCATTTTAATGAATTTGCTCATTTGTGTACATATTTGTTCCAGGGAAAGGAGGCTAAGATGCTAGACTTTAAAATGGAAGATGGCAATGATGAGCCCATGAGTCTTGCTGATCGCCTTAAGGCCAAGGAAATGGGCATGCCAGCAGGAGAGGGCAATGAGGAGAAGAAGAAGCAGCAACGTAAGACAATCATTGTCAAGGTGGAAGGGATAGGGAATATAGTACTAGAAAGGAATCTTTAAAATACTTGGTTTTCTGGTGTATCTGGAGAATGTTCAGCCTTCATATATATATGTGATATTTGATTTGATGTTGTGCAATTAATTAAAGGTATGATCAATGCTTAATGATTGATTAAGTGTTTCCTCTTTACAGCACAATTCAAATAACTTTGTCCTGTTACTCGGGTTTGGGATTGGGTCAGTTAACTCTCAAGTATTTAACAAATTATAACACTGTTTTCTTTTTAACAAATTATAACACTGTTTTCGGCTGTTAACTCATTCACCCTTAAAGACACATTTGAACTCTTCCAATTCAAAGGTTGGAATAGTTCATTATGAAATTTCAGAGGTAAATGAACACTGATGAATGCATAAAAAGTGTTAGGTTCAGATCAAAAGATTACATTTAGAGATATGGTCGAAGGAGTATACCAATAAAATATGCTTCTTTAATCTAGATTGAATATAAATAACAGGAATGATGACAGAGTGGTAGTCGACTTCTTATGCTGATAACTCTCTACAGGTCCCAAAAAACCAAAGGCTGAGCCAGGCATCAGTAAAAAATCGCCCAAGAAATCACCTAAGAAGGGCAAGAAACGCAACCCCTGGTCTGATGAATCCGAGGAGGAAATGTCGGATGTATCTGATGAGGATATGGACGGTAGCTTCCGTGAGTCAGTTGTAAGCAGGGACAGAGCACCTAGACGAACAGCAGGTTTGTGTGCCTATTTTGATTCTTTGCTGTGATCTTTTACATGTTTGCTGGTGAAGTTTGGGAAAATATCAATAGTATGAAAGTGATCATATCCCTTGTGAGTTGGATATCGTCACTAGCGATGATACAATACCAGGGGATATCTGGTATTAATCATCAGTCAAATGTCAATGTCACGTTATTTTTGACAGCACGTTCATTTTTGGAAACATAATTTATTTTATAAAACGTACCATGATGTTCAAACTTAACATAGATATATATAAAAACGATCTTCCAATGGTAGGCAAGCAATCAGTATTATAGTTTTGGCTTTATCGCATTATTTCATGTTGACTTAATCCATTAACCAGTTGTTAGCAATGACCAGTCTGTTTTGACCTAATTAAACCCTCACAATCCAGATTAATATGAAATACAGCAGTAAAACACTGAGTAACAAAAAAGTTGATACACAATGTCAAAAAGTGGGCTTTCTGAATCTTGATAAATGATAATCAATTAATATATCTACCTGTCCGCAAGACTCCCAACATGTATTTTTTATATCCATGGTTTGATTTCCTGCTATGACATTTCTTCTTTGCAAATTATTGACTGAATTTTAGAGTTGGTACTCTGTAAAACAGGATTTTAGTCCTGAGATGTTATAGCTGTTTGGTATAGCCTTGATTGGTAGACACATGTATTGCTTGTCATAGTAAGTCATATGTTAGTTGTTATATTTACAGCAACAAAGCCTCGATACAGCTATGGGTCAGACGAGGAAGCCATCAAGTCAGACTCTGATAATGAAGACTTCCAACCTGTGGGAGAGACGAGCTTTCAACCAGACCAGATAGATGATGAACCAATGAGTGATGAAGAAGATTCTTTCATTGGAAAGCCGGCCAAGTCGAAGTTAGTACAGCCATAATTTCATTTTATCACATGACTTCCAAATTATTCTGTGAATATATTTATATCACATTGTACATGAACTTGTGTAATATGACCTATAATTTTAGGTCATTCTTTTCTTGCTGGTAGTCGATTTCATTGTAAATAATAATGGAACATCTCTTGTACCCTGTATTGGAACTTGGTCTTATGACAAGGTCTGTCCCGTTGTTAGCTCATGTGGTCCAAAGGACCAAGGTGAGCTTATGACATACCGTGGTGTCCGTCTGTACCTCAACAATTTCTTTAAACGACTTCTTCTTCATAACCACTGATTGCAATTCAACTAAATTTGACTGGAAGCAAATGGTGGTGGGGATTCAAAATTGTACAAATGGTGGGGCTGAGGGGCGGGGCCAAAAGGGGGCAATTTGGCTATATTGCTTTAAGCGACTTCTCTGGAACTAATAGATGTATATCAACCATATTTGGATGGAAGCATCCCTAGGGAGTGGAGATTCAAAATTGTACAAATGGTGGGACTGACCCCTGAGGGGCGGGGCCAAAAGGGGGCAATTTGGCTATATTGCTACAAACGACTTCTTCTGTAGAACTATGAACTGGATATCGATCATATTTGATAAAAAGCATTCATGGGGGGCAGGGACTCAAAATGGTACAAATGTTGGGGCTGAACCCCCAGGCTAGGGGGTGGGGCCAAAAAAAGTTTATTACTTGGAAATGGTTGAGATCCCCACCATATAACCATATATACAATTGCTGAGTATTAAGAGAAGAATGCACATTTGCGTCTATGATGGCTCTAGGGTCTGGCCCCACCCTTGGAGGCATAGTACCAGGGTCATAACTTTGAAATGGTTGAGATCCACACCCCAAAACTATATATACAAATGTTTGGTATAAAGAGACGAATGTAGTCCTGATATTAGAATAGACCCTGGGGTCTGTCCCACCCTTGCAGACGTAACCCATGGGTCATTACTTTGAAACGGTTGAAATCCCCACCCCAAAACTATAAATATAAATGCTGGGCAAAAAGAGACATATACAGTCATGATATTAGAATTGATCCTAGGGTCTTGCCATAACCCTATGGACCTAGAGTCACAGCTTGGAAACAGTTGAGATCCCCACCCCATAACCATACATTAAATTGCTGGGCATGAAAAATCTAATACAGATATGCTACAAGGATTGGCCTTGGGGTCTGGCATATTCACTTGGATCTCATTTGGAGAATATTTTGCCATGATTGCTTAGATATCCAGGTGAACGATACAGGCCCTCTGGGCCTCTTCAAGGCTCTTGTTTCTTCATGACAAGCCTTGATAGACCCCTCTACTGCTGATAACAAATTTCTGTTGTGTCTGGTGAAAATCTTCTCAATACTTGGAACTTAACCTTTTCACCACTGTAGACCATCATTGACTCATCCAGATTAATGTATGGTACAGTCTACTCAAGTTACCTAGGGGTGAAAGGGTTAACAGATGTGGTCTTTGTCTGAATGAATAGTAACACGGTACTTAATTTTATACACAACACCACCTGAAAAGTTGTACAAAATAAAATTACTAGAAAATCATGGAACTATTTTTCAGACCCGCTCCTCCATCAAAGAAGGCCATCGTCTCATCAGACGAGGATGATGATGATGACAAGTTTAATGGGGACACAAACTCCATGGATATCTGGGGACAATCACAGTCTCCAAAATGTAAGTTGTTGCCATGTTTTTTTTCCAGGAATGCACTTGAGTAACTGTAGTCGCTTGTGTAAGAACAACATGCTGTCCAATTAGGGGATTTTATCCAAATTTGGTCGGGAACATCCTTGGGCAAAGGACTCTCAATTTTGTATAACCGGTAGATGTGGCCCCCCTGGGGACAGGGGCGGGGCTCAATAGGAAAAATAGAGGTAAAATCTTGAAATGCCTTCGTCTTTCGTAGGGATAAAGGGATTTTATCCTAATTTAGTCTGGAGCATCCTTGGCCAAAGGGGACTAATGTTTGTAGAAATTGTGGGTTTGGGGCCAGAGGGTTGGGTCCAAAAAGGGGAAATAGTGGTTAAACCTCTAAAATCCTTCTTTTACCATAGGGATTAAGGTATTTCATGCCTATATGGTCTGGAGTATCCTTGGGACAAGGGGACTCAATTTTGTATAAACGGTGAGTTTGGACCCCCTGGAGGCAGAGAGGCGGGGTCCAATAGGGGAAATAGAGGGAAAATCTTGGACATTCTTCTCCTACCACTTGCACTTAAGCATCCTTGGTTGAGGGGAAAAATATGTATAAATGGAGGGTGTGGCCCCTTTGTGTGCAGAGTTGTGGGGCCCAGTAGGGGTATTGAGGTTGAAATCTTTAAAATCCTTCTTCTGAACCATTGGAGATATTTTGTGTAATAAGAATATTTTCCCATGGTTGCAACTTGCTTTATTATCCAGGTGAGCAATACAGGCCCTCTGGGCCTCTTATTATTATGAAGAGAGATTCTAGTTTGAGTTATCTCCCCTTGCACATACTTTCATAGACCCCGGCAGAGTGGGGTCTCTAGAAATAAAGACCCTGACAAGGTATCCAATCAGAGAGAGTGTTACAAATTAAAAGGGTGACAAACTAGATTACCACAATATAACCTCAAGTAGATGAAAGAAATGTTGTTAATAAGGGTACTTCCAAAATGAATTATAAACGTAAGAAACTGATAAGTAAAAAATAAATATGGATTAATGATGTAGCTGCAGCATTGTTGGGTTAAATTTTCCATATTTTGGACTTCACAGAATTACCGTAAGGAGGAGTGGGAGGTACTTTTTCAGAGACCCCATCACCAATGAAATCTTAAAAGTGGTTTAATATAAGGAATGGTAGACAGATCTAGTTTTAACTCCACCACCCATTATTACAGGTGCCTTTCACTCTCTCTGTATGATAAATTATGGAATAGCCCTTCACTTTCTTTTTATCAATACACGACTTTTGTTGGGTTTTGAAATAAATCCATCTCCACAAGTATGCATCCCATATCTCTGGTGTTGCATGTACATCTGTTTGGGATCTAGATGTGTTGTAATTGAATAACTAAAATAAGCCCGCCCAATTAGATTTTTAGCTCACCTGCCTGAAGGGCAAGTGAGCTTATGTTATGGTGCGGCATCCGTCGTCCGGCCGGCTGTCCGGCGTCAACTTTTTGCTTTAAACAACTTCTTCTCAATAACCAAAAGGCCAAGGTAGATGATATTTGGCCAGTAGCATGCTGGGATCAAGGGCTACCAAGTTTGTTCAAATAAATGACCTTGACCCACTTTCAAGGTCACAGGGGTCAAATATGTTAAAATCTTCAAACAACTTCTTCTCAATAACCAAAAGGCCCAGGGTACTGATATTGGGCCTGTAGCATGATGGGATGAAGGGCTTCCAAGTTTGTTCAAATAAATGACCTTGACCCACATTCAAGGTCACTGGTGTCAGATGTCTTTTAAATCTTCAAACAATTTCTTCTCTATAACCAAATGGCCCAGGGTACTGATATTGGGCCTGTAGCATGCTGGGATGATGGGCTACCATGTTAGTTCAAATGAATGACCTTGATCCACTTTCAACCTAATGTCCTTGTTCGACAATCAAGGTCAGAGGCATCATATGTTTAAATCTTTTAATAGGTTCTTATGAAATCTTAAGATTACAAGTGTTAGATTAATAACAGGTGAGCGATGCAGGCCCATTGGGCCTCTTGTTTTCAAATGTGTTGGTAAATAATGGTGAAGACTAGTAAGCTTTGACCAGAAAAAAGGATAGAAGGCTTTTATAAGGTGTGGACTGCTTATTACAGTAATGCAAATGTCTTGATTTAAGTTGTTTCAGTTGTCTCAAACATTTAGAAAATAATGATAATATCTGCTTGCTTTCCAGCTGACCCGGTTACCATTGGTAACAGTGACGAGGAAGACATGTTCAAACCCATAGCACCACTCAAATTAAAGAAAACCACTGCCACGAAAGCTCCAGCAAAGAAAAAGACCGATAAAGGTATGACCAGAACGTAATTTACAAATTGATATGTATGCTATGTAGAGGTGTAACATTTCTTGATTGCCGATGCATTGTGGCATTCTCCGATAGTATCACGATGCTTTAAAAAGTTATATATGGCCAGTTACCGCTCTTTTAGACTTGTTACCAGTCCTGTATTGCGACCTATATTGGCAATATTTCAGACATTTTCAGAAATATTTAGAAAAGTTCTTGCTGCAATAAACTTGTAAAATTTCGCGTAATAATTCCAGAATGTATGACTCATTTTTCCATCACAACAAGTTGTAATTCAGGGCTACATTACACCGTAAAATACGAAAAAATGTAGGTCTCTCCAACGATTTAAACTGATAAGTACAGCGTTTTGGAAAATATATCGGCGTATTTCATGGTAATTTTAGTATTCTGAGATGGAAAATGCTGTAATGCTTCAATATTTAATTTTGGACGTTCAAGTGTGCCAAAATGACACATGGAAATATTGCAAAGAGTCAAGGTCGTGTGATACTATTGACCGGCAGGAACTTGCAGGGACACATAATTACCGTTTGAACCAGCAATGATGTCAATTACAGTTTAAAAGATAATTATTTAGGGACTGAAAGCAATCAAATACATATTATTTTTGTCTCTTAAAAAAAAGAAAAGCTGAAATCTTTTGGTTTGGTTTGGTTTGGTGTTTTTGTCACCATATTTCAGCTGTTAGCAGTCCTCGTCGGTATCTGATTGAGTGACTGCCTTTAAGTAAACACACTCTTCCAATATCGCTGTAGGGTCCAGTTGGATTTGCAGACGCTCAGAAAACAATTACAAATCATATATTTCAGTACCCCATCAATGGATCGAAGTTTCTCTGAAACATATTTTTGTAAAACCAACATTTTCTATTACCGACAGCACCTGCTCTGCCCATACCAGGTCAGGTGTCAACAGATCACCTCCTACTACAAGGGACAACACCTAACTTACCGTTAATTAACGATTAGGCTTTAGTGTGATCAGTTTTCCAAACATAATTAATCATCTGAATGTATGTGTTTATTTAGGATAATTGAAAAAAAGGAATATGCTTTACAATTTATGAGATAGATCACTTCATAACAAATTAATTGAGCATGGTGTACAAACACTTTATATTTGTTTCATATCAAGGTTAAAAGTTTCAAATCAAGGAAAACTATGGTTACATATTTGTGCAGTTAGTTGTGACAAGTATCGCGATACGTATCGTATTGTGATATGTATCGTATCGTCACAACCCTTGCGATACACACCTAGTGCTTTGTAATTTTAAATAGATATAATAGACATTTACTGCCAGGGACCATTCTATGTAAAATGAAGATCTTCACCTCATGAAGTTAAACAGTTTAAAACAATTATATCAGGTTACATAACATATTTGTCCTAATGAGGGACCCATCAATTACAATTTTTTCAAATTGAGGGAATTATTTACAGAAAATTCATCAGGGAAATTTTACCAATGATAAAGAACCTGAGATTAAGATTGGTCCATAACTCGATGTTGATTTCAATTATAGCATAATATTAATAGTATTGAATAACTGTAGCAGTATTTCCTCAGTATACAAGACATCTTGAGGCTGTTAATCAACCTGCCTGACATATTTGCTCTCAATTACATTACAAAACATTTATTGATTTTGTGTATATCATATTCTGAGAATATTTATAAAGTCGATTTGTCAAGTATATTTGTGCTGTGCCATCCCTGTGTCCACTTGACCAGTAGGTATGTGCTCTGTCCCTCTGTTCACTTGACCAGTTCTGTACCCCCTACAGTTGACCCCAAACAGCCTTCCATTGCCATGGCCATGGCAAAGACCAAACCAAAGCCCAAGGCCAAGCCTGCCACGAAAGCCCCCATCATATTGGACAGTGACGAAGATGATGATGGAATTTTACTTCCCATTGAAGGTCTATTGGCTTTAATCAATTGAGGAGTTAACCTTACATACTAAGTGCATGTTGTGTTGAAATGCATGAATAATAATATTCTTCAGTTCTTTAATCAGCAATAAGCAATTTTGATGTGGGTATGCAGTACACTTTTCAGAAGTTGCATATATCCTAAGGAATTATTCAGGCCAAACAAAATAATGGTTGTGTTTCTCATTTCCCAAATGTTTCCCAATTGTTCACTGCCTTATCGGAAGTATTTAAGGGTTTGGTTTAATTTTGTTTAACATCCAATTAACGGCTAAGGTCATTCAAGGGTTGGACAAGGCCAATATTACAAACCATGTGGCCATGTATGTTTTTAGATTCTATTTACCTCCCCTGATAATGTTACCGGTGTCACTTGCTATGTGCATAAGTGGTGTTGAAGTTACTGTGCCCAGTAATGTTACCTGTGGCCATCACTAATTAATTGCGGTGTGGTGTTGAATTAGCCACCCTATGATAATCTTTCCGATAAGCCATGTATGTATGTGGTGTTGGAAATACCTCCCACTGATAAACGTTACATAATACCAGCCAGTATTCAGTCACCGGAGGCGATTAGCCTTTGAAGTACAACAATACGAAAAAATTATTTGTACTAATGCCGACAAACTTGGAAAAAATGGGGAGGGGGGTCTATTACCGAGCACCCAACCTATACACAGAGAGTAAGGAAAGGTAGGGGAGTGGTGTTATTTCTGGTAAAATACGGTACTTCCAATCCTAACAATTTCAGCCTTTCAAGTAAACTTCTGATATATCAGTTTTCCTTTCCTGTTTCCAAGATGAGTTATTTATATATCGGTGTTCAGAGTATCAACATGTTCCGATATTGAATTTATAGTGCGCATCATAGATTTGTTTGAAACTAACCACATCTTAGTATGGACCCTTTCATTTGAGAAGATGTTATGTCCTTCGTTTGGGAAAAATGAAAAAAACCCACCTACCAACAGTATATTTCTTTTGAGCTGCAACAGGAATCAAAACTATGACTTTGTTTGGTCAAAAGAGTAGATGTGACTGCCTTATGATGTAAAAGATGAGTCATAAATTTAATTTTCACACAGTTGATATGAGAGTCTGCTGAATTTTCAGGTGAATGCCATTAACCCAAATAATTTACTGTAACTTTGTTGTCTCCTCTTGTCTGGCAGCCCTATCTTGTATGTCTGTAGGAGGTGGACAGTCCCTTCTATTGTCCTGTAGCTAACTCCTACAGGCTCTATTAGGGGTGTACTGGCAGAAGTATGCCTAGCTGTAAGGATACATTAACCTTGTAATGTGTTGTATATGCTGGGTGATTCAGACTTTATCAAAGGAATCAACCTTACTTCAACGTCAAAGTAAAATAATTTTGTCACATGAACAATGACCAATTTGCAGTCACATATGGACAACCTTTATTCTAGTAGTTGTCTTGCCATTGTTATTGGTGCTTATGAAACCCTGAAAGTGAAAACTAAGTTGCAAATTAACCTCCCAGTTATGTCAAGTTTTAGAAGGCATGGGAGGGGTTGTGTTGTAGAGAGGCACTTGATATGAGATTTGGGGTCTGAAATAACCATTTCATTTGTTGAGTATAATAAAGATGGATGAGAAATACTCTCCAGTAGCTCAATTTGTACCTTTGTGTTTCAGATGCACCACCCAAGGAAAAGAAATCTAGGAAACCTAAGACCAAGAAATCCACAGACTCGGATGATGAGGACAAGACCAAGAAAAAGACAGTAAACAAGAGACCTGCAAAGTTTGTTGATTCCGATATTTCTGAAGACGAATTTGTGCCAAAGAAGAAGAAGGCAACAAAAAAAGCAGCAAAGGTAAAGTAAATATTATGTCAAGACTTCTTATTTGTCATACAGTGCATCATATAACCTATCTTAAGTAGCTAATTTATTTTCATTTAAAGCAATGAATGTATTAGCAAATATTGTTATGGTCCTATAACACACAGACAAGTGTGTTATAGGACCATAACAATGTTTGCTACAATATTCATTATTTATTTTCCCATTTTGATAGAGTAGTTAGTAACTACTAGTTACGCTTTATTAAGTTATTTCAAACAGTTCTTTGAACAGCAAATAAAGTTTTCACAATAATAAAATTGGTGACGTCACAAGAGAGATTCATGATGTTACAATAGCAAATGTTGTTATAGTCTCATAACAACATTTGTCTTCTCAATGTATTGCAATGGAAGGATGCAGAGCAAATGTAAATATATATACTTGTAGGTTCATGAATTGTGTTTGCCTTGTGACTAGCATTATGTACATGAATTTCCTTTGCCTTATGGCAAGTAGAATGTACATGAATGTTTATATAATATATAATTCATATTAATGACTGCAAAATAAGAAAGCAAAAGTAGTTCAATTTTGAATATCAAAGCCAGGTCTTTGTATTACATCAGTTATATGTAGGTTTTAAATCCTGTTTCATTTACATAATGTTTACAGAGCAAGAAGAAGGCTTTTTCCAGCGACGATGATGGCAGTGACGTTGCTGGAGAGGTGTATGTGCCGCGCGCCACCACAGGACGGGCTCGCGCCACTGTCAAATACACATTCGATGATGACGACAACAGCGACATGGATTGAACAATGCCACATAGTGGTAGGACGTTCCTTTACTAGAAATGATATTGAATGCAGGTTTTACCCTCCGATGTTCTCAAAAGGTTTTGTTGAACACTGAAACCGAACTATCAGGTGTTCCTGTAAGGTCTTAATGGAAAGGCATCACTTGTTAATCTGGTTGTAACAAGACCTGTTTCAATCTCAGTCAGTGTTGTCTGACATTGCAATGATTGGAGAAGGCAGAAGGAGGTGTAACTCGCACAGAGACGGCATATTACTGCAGACATGTGGGTTGTGTAGAGAACAGAATCTCAAAGCACATAATCTGTAATCATAGAATTAATTTATTACAAACTGAAATATCAATGGTTTCCATAAGGAGATTGTGTCATTTCCGTTGAAGGAATCACTCTGATGTGGGTAGTTATTATGCATATATATAATATGTATGAAATATATGTCATTTGGGAGAATCTTTGAAAAAAACAACATTTTTCATATTTGAAAGGACAGTTAAAATGTAAAAGATAATTTCACATAACAGATGGGCAGCTTTGAAATCTGAAGTGAACAGATGTACTATTGTTGTGAGGGTACATGTTTAAGTACAGCCCGCCCCATGCCTACTCTATCTTTTATGGGCAAATCTGTACAGAGGACAAGTTGTGGTGGAACCGATACAGGCAGTCATTGATGACGAGATATTTTAATGCTATTTTGTAAGGAGATAAGAAAGCAAGTATTAAGAGTTTTTTGAGAGTTATGTCATTATTTATGGTTTGTGATCCTATGTCTGATGTGTGATTTTATTATAACCTGTGTCTGATGCTGTAGATACTATTTTATGTTTTAATGGTATTGTATGCTCGGAACAGATCATCATACGATTCATTGCCAGTTAACGACTTCTGTTGAAGGAACTCATGTTTAGAACTTGCGTAAATATTGATGTGAAGCGTAAAACACAAGTTTTAATTTTGTTGTTGAAATATTGGTTTTGTGCTGTCGTTCAAGAGCAAGAAAAGACACTATTTCTCCGAGATATTTTTCATGGAAGAAGCTGATTTTTTTCATAGCTGATTTTCATTAATAATTTTGAAAATATCAAAAACTTGCCCTGACCATCAATAGTTCATTGATATAAACAGATATGCTATTTTTAATACATTGTACCATGTGTATGTTTAAAAATTAATGATCAAACCGTGAGAGAGGAGAACTGATGCCTATGACTGACTTTGTTTCATAATAACATCCCATGTTTGGAGTCTTTTATCTCATTAAGACATATTTGTCATTTGTGTCCACATATTTTACATTTGAAAACTGTGACAGTTTGATGCTTTGTTTTAAATACTCTGTATCATCATCAACATTCACTATTTTGAGCTGTCTTGATCTTTTTTTGTGTCTCTCTGTTACTCTCCTGTCATTTCTTTCCATCATGTTGTGTGTGCGAGAGTATGATGAGCATCAGACAGATTTATTGTGCGAAAACAAATCACTGTCATTGTCCATATGTCATTAAATCATCTTCCAAACTTTTGAGTGATTTGTTTTCTTTAAATTAAGAGTGAAGGCTGCATATATTAATTTTGAATAAGCAAGAGGCACAATGGAACTGTATCCCTCACCTGTTATCATGTGGTATTGCAAAACATTTTGGAAATGTGACGTTTGAGGTAGGTCAAGGTCAAAAAAAGAAAGACAATCATATTGATATATATCTTGAATGCAAACGGATCCAATAGAGTGATAGGTTGATCAGTGTACAAGTTAAATTTCAATTTGTTATTTTTAACAGTTTTGAGATCATGCTCCAGAAACCTCCTTTTTCTATGGAAACAGAAAAAGAAAAAACCTTTATCCAAAATGAGAACTCCTCCAGTAGCAAAATGTACCAAGAGAGTGCTAGCTTGTACAAAGTTTCAGGCAGCTCTTGAACAATTTTGTTGCCATGCTCTGGAAACCGTGAAATTCGTTATTTTGCCTAACTAGAGTGATAGGATGATAAGTGGACAAAGTATTAGGTACATGTAGTTATGTTGAAAGGTTTTGGCATTTTACTCCGGAAACAGCAAAATTTGTAGTTTTGCCTATCTGTTTCCATGGTAAATAAAACGAGAACTCCTCCATAGCAAAAGGCACTACCAGAATGCTAGCTAGGTAGTTATACAAAGTTTCAGGTAATTATCTTGCAACGGTTTTGGACTCGTGATCCATACAACTGAAATTTGTAATTTTGTCTATCTGTTTCCATGGTAACAGAAAAAGTGTTTAAATGGAGAACTACTCCCTAGCAAAAGGCACTACTAGAGTACTAGCTTGATAACTGTACACAGTTTTGAGTAGTTATCTTGGACGGTTCCAGAGGTTTGGTCCAGTAGTTATCTTGGACGGTTCCAGAGGTTTGGTCCGGAAAACCCCCATGCACGGATGCACAGACGGACAGAGCCCAATTTAATATCCCCCGCAAAGACGTTTCGCGGGGGATTATTAAGTAAATGCGAATTCAATGTGGTTTTGAATTAGAGAGAGAATATTGTATATTTTTGTTGCATGGTGGGCTTTTCAAATTGCCTATCGTCTGGTTTGTCGTCTTTCTTCAACAATTCTTGTTATGACTTTCTCAAAAAAAAATGCTGGATGGATTTTCCACAAATTTCTATGAAGATTTCCCTTGATTTGTAGCTGTGCATATTACATTTTAGAGAGAAAAAATGGCAGCCATCTTTATAGATATTAACAGAACATGTATGTAACTTTGGTTTGATCTTGAAATGGAGATCAAATCTCTGGTAGAAATCTTAATATATGTTTGGTAAATGTATAATATTAACACTTTTGAAAAATAACTTTTTATTTAGACCTCAGCTCATATATTTTCTCTAGTTCCTTTAATCGATCATGCATATGCTTTCCATCAGCCTCCGTTTGACTTTCAATTGATGATTGAAGTTTTTGAAATAAGTCTGAACAAACTTGCTTTTCCTTTGAACTCAAAAACTGCACTGAGAGGGAGAACCTGTTTGCTGAACATAATCCGTCAACAACAGCAAGGACAGCAGTAGAGTCTGATGATGAAAATCCATGACACAGAGCAGAAAGAATATCACCCAACAGTCCAAAACTGATCTCTGTTTTAAACATCTCCCCAAGACGTGCTCCTCCAATTTTTAGCAGGTAGCCATATTGACTTTGCACTGTTTTGTGATGTCGTCGCCAGTCTCTTGCAAATTCTGGTCCGTTTTTGGGTAAATCGTCATTCTGTAATACAAACAGATGATCCTAATAGAGACTGAGCAGTAGATTAAAATAAATAGAAACTGAGCAGTAGATTAAAATAAATAGAAACTGAGCAGTAGATTAAAATAAATAGAAACTGAGCAGTAGATTAAAATAAATAGAAACTGAGCAGTAGATTAAAATAAATAGAAACTGAGCAGTAGATTAAAATAAATAGAAACTGAGCAGTAGATTAAAATAAATAGAAACTGAGCAGTAGATTAAAATAAATAGAAACTGAGCAGTAGATTAAAATAAATAGAAACTGAGCAGTAGATTAAAATAAATAGAAACTGAGCAGTAGATTAAAATAAATAGAAACTGAGCAGTAGATTAAAATAAATAGAAACTGAGCAGTAGATTAAAATAAATAGAAACTGAGCAGTAGATTAAAATAAATAGAAACTGAGCAGTAGATTAAAATAAATAGAAACTGAGCAGTAGATTAAAATAAATAGAAACTGAGCAGTAGATTAAAATAAATAGAAACTGAGCAGTAGATTAAAATAAATAGAAACTGAGCAGTAGATTAAAATAAATAGAAACTGAGCAGTAGATTAAAATAAATAGAAACTGAGCAGTAGATTAAAATAAATAGAAACTGAGCAGTAGATTAAAATAAATAGAAACTGAGCAGTAGATTAAAATAAATAGAAACTGAGCAGTAGATTAAAATAAATAGAAACTGAGCAGTAGATTAAAATAAATAGAAACTGAGCAGTAGATTAAAATAAATAGAAACTGAGCAGTAGATTAAAATAAATAGAAACTGAGCAGTAGATTAAAATAAATAGAAACTGAGCAGTAGATTAAAATAAATAGAAACTGAGCAGTAGATTAAAATAAATAGAAACTGAGCAGTAGATTAAAATAAATAGAAACTGAGCAGTAGATTAAAATAAATAGAAACTGAGCAGTAGATTAAAATAAATAGAAACTGAGCAGTAGATTAAAATAAATAGAAACTGAGCAGTAGATTAAAATAAATAGAAACTGAGCAGTAGATTAAAATAAATAGAAACTGAGCAGTAGATTAAAATAAATAGAAACTGAGCAGTAGATTAAAATAAATAGAAACTGAGCAGTAGATTAAAATAAATAGAAACTGAGCAGTAGATTAAAATAAATAGAAACTGAGCAGTAGATTAAAATAAATAGAAACTGAGCAGTAGATTAAAATAAATAGAAACTGAGCAGTAGATTAAAATAAATAGAAACTGAGCAGTAGATTAAAATAAATAGAAACTGAGCAGTAGATTAAAATAAATAGAAACTGAGCAGTAGATTAAAATAAATAGAAACTGAGCAGTAGATTAAAATAAATAGAAACTGAGCAGTAGATTAAAATAAATAGAAACTGAGCAGTAGATTAAAATAAATAGAAACTGAGCAGTAGATTAAAATAAATAGAAACTGAGCAGTAGATTAAAATAAATAGAAACTGAGCAGTAGATTAAAATAAATAGAAACTGAGCAGTAGATTAAAATAAATAGAAACTGAGCAGATTAAAATAAATAGAAACTGAGCAGTAGATTAAAATACACACATATGGTGACTTTTTGATTAAAACATGAAAGATGTCTATTGTGATTCAAATATCAAAATTATATTCTTGCTATTGTAACTTTCTTTAATTCAAATCCTTGCCTATACCCCTTAATAATACTGCTTGCAACAAAATCAGAAACATATAGTATTTGTGTACTCACTTCTGTCCGAGCTAAATGGGGTTACTGGAGCGTAACTTTGCCACGGTTTCAAGAGGGGGCATTGATCTTTGAATAGAAGTACATCAAGGGTTGGGGGAGTGTCGCATCATATAATGAGGTTTCTATGACCCTTGACCTGGACTTCACTTATATAAAGAGCAATTTCATCCACTGTTTCATGAATGTAGGTCAAACTTTGTATATCGGTACATCAAAGGAAGGCAGTGTGTCGTATCCTAAATGAGGATACAGTGATTTCTTTTTGACCTTAAACTCAAGTACTCAATAATTGTTTAATTACTAAAATAAGAGTAATACAGGTTTCCAGAGTATATTTCTGCCAGTGTTTCATGAATATGCATCAAACTTTGTATATTACCTATATGACACACCTCCTTCCTTTGATGTACCGATATACACAGTTTGACCTACATTCATGAAAGTTAGGTGTCATAACCTAAAATGTTGTGATCTCAATATGACCTTTGTCCTTGATCTATAGTACTAAGTACAGTGTAAATTCATATATACTTCTTGACTTCTGACTTGGTGATATGGTACTACAAAATGTATGTATATAGTCGACTCAAGTCGAGCAATATGGTGCGTAATAAAAACGGTTCATTGCAACCTCAATATGACCTTAATATTTAGTGAAGCCTAGCCGTGAGTTTCAGGAGGATATTTTGGCTACTGTTTTATGTATGGATGTTGGACTTGGATGTAAAGGCCATGGTAAAGGTACGTATGCTGTGTGAAGGAAAGAGGTCAACCTGTAACTATTTGACCTTGACCTCAACTACCATACACTATGTATTGAGGAACAGATATCTGAGGAATACAGTTCATGGGTGACAAACCTGTTGAAGATCACCTCCTGTAGATTTAAGGGGTGCAGCATTCTTCATTTTAATTGCATGTGAATTCCAGGGCTGATCAAACACAATACCGTTGAGGTTATCTCCCTTGTCCAAAGGTTTCAGATGTGATGCTTTGACAATGTCTCTGTAAAATAAGAAAAAAATGTCATGATTTGTTCAAAACTTGCTGAGTTAGATGCAATACATGTACATGATGTTGGTTTATTTTAAAACTTTGGATCATTGTTTAAAAAGAATATGGATTTAAGAAGCATGATCTACATAGGTGTAATGACTTTTGCTTATTTTTCTGCTTGGGGTTCCTTTAGTATGAAAGTATTATTTATATTTATTTATCTATTTTTTGGTTGTTTGGTAATGGGATATTACTGTTAGTACGGAGCAGAACTAGGTGAAGCTGATTAATTACTTTGTGGATGATTCATGGGATATCATATTACGAAATGCAATAATATTTTTACTGATGAATGGAGCCAGGCAGATAGTTTAGTCTTAAGATACAATACCATTATTCCTCCTCAATATACTCACTGAAACTCTTCGTAAGTTTCAACTTTTTGTCCAACTGCCCGGAACTTTGCATCATTTTCTCGCCAATATTTCTTATCTGCATCTACAGCTGCGTACAGTTCCTTCTCCAATTTGTCAAAATTTAAAGAATCCTTATCATGAGACTTCGGTTTTTGTGTTGACATTCTGACTTCAAGTGTTTGTTCACTATAACAGAAAACAGATCAATGCTATGAATGAACTGTACCAGATTCAGAATATGCACTATATATATAGATTAAGGGCAATATAAGTGAAATGTATCATACCTTATGATACACATACTTGTAATGTTGACATTTTTTAGTGATTTTGGTATAATAAATATAGTATAAATAAGTTAAAAGTCTTATGTGTTGGGCATCCTGGGTTTCCCCTAGACCACAGGCATCTGCGTCTAGTATGTGAATATGTAAAAAGAAAAAAAAGAAAAAAGTCTTCCCTACCCTACTATATTGACAATATTGAGTTTGGTAGTCCTGGAAAGACTCATTAATTTGGGTTTATATTTACATACCAGTCAGATGCAGATACCTGTAGCATAAACATGTTTTCCCATTTTATGAGATTATCAGGTTACAATCTGTAAGTCTTAAGACACTTTCACAGATAGATCATCTGTCAAAATGTCTAAGTCTGGTGCCAGGTGATTCTCGGGCTAGTTACAATATAGACGTATAGTAAATTGCATTAAAACTGACTGAAATATCGGCTTCAATTTTTTTTGATGGTTACCTGTTTAAAAAAGTTTCCTAAACATATTGTAGTCTTACATTGACAGAGTGTATTGTAACGTACAATATGTAAATTATGTGGGCCAGTCTGGGTTTCTTTACTGGGGCACCGACAGAAAAAACCCACTATGTTTAGAAAGGCAAGGAACACATGTAGATATATTTATTATGGTTTGGGACAAACAAAAAATATCAAGGCCCATAATTTTGAAAGTATTGAGCTGCAGACCCAGAATTTAGTATGTGCTAAGATAACATGCCTAGGATATAACGTTACATGTACGACCACACCACACGATCCTTCAAGAAATATGGTTAGTAATCACAAGGCGTGTAGTAACACTCATCAAAATATGTGAGGTGAACATAATTACAGTATATAAATATATCATAAATAACCAAAGTTTACCTAGTAATCGATATACCAGTCACTGATTTCTCAAAGCGTCCTTACCAACTCCACCATGTTCTGACACGTTGTCACGTGACATTATCTACGTCATTTTAACGCTTCTTTGTTTTGATGTTAATTTTACGTATGTTACTAGCGCGTACTATTTACACATTAGTTACATCTGGTTTAAATTTTTAATCATCGATTGTCTTTGTTATCACACTATAAACTATGAAGCAGAAATAACAGATTCGTGTGTGGTGTGTTGATTGCAGCAAGGTGCACTATGGGTAATACATCTATGTCACCCAGGCGCTTTGACGTTTGGTTGTTTGGTTCCTGTTACTCGTGAACATGTAGTAGATGCCTGCTATACATCGTTTGTAGAGAAGACCGTTCTTGACAATTAAGAAGAATCTAAACATGGTAATTAGCTCTCCACTTATTCAGAGAATAAACCAATATGTATTTGCATAGGGAATCACATCGCTGATTAATTTAAGGATTGCGAAATTCACTTATTTCCCCGACATCTTGCAAAGGGTTGTCGTGAAAACTGATAATAATGCATTAGTTTATTAACTCGTATGCTAAGTACGGTAACCATTCTTTCAGGAAACCTCATGACTTTTATTATTGTGTTAAAACTTTTTTTTGATCGTGTGAACTTATCAGCACGGTATACCCTGTTATATTTAACTGCACATTAAGCTTACAGCTTCAGCAGCAGCGATGAATAGCCACACCCGTTGAGACAGTTAAACTCAAAATAGACAACTATTGTGCGACAAATTTAGTATGCATTTGACATGAAGCATTTGTCAGGCAAGTTGTAAAATGCAAGTTTCACTGGTTCAAATTCTAGTCTTGCCTGTTACATGTTTATGCTCAGAATGTTAATCAGGTCCAGTACACTGTCTATATAGCTGTAAAAACCTATAATAGCTCTATTGACCTATCTGAATTGGTCTTTTGAGCTATTTTCATGTGACTTTCTTTTTTAAGGTAAATGAAACAGTCACTTTTAAAAGATGACTTTATCATTAGGTTGACAACAAAAGACATTAAATATATAAGCATTCTTTTTAAAAAATAATGATGTAAAATAATCGGAAATTTTGCATTTATGAAAAATGAAAAAAAAAAAATCTAACTGTATGCTTTTTTGTAGTCAACAATACCATCAACCTTATTTTTTTATGTGATTTTATTTTAATTTAATGAAAATCGAAATCTAAGAAAATTAGCTCAATACAGCTATAAATTATAGGTGAATATAGCTATATATAGGTCTTTATAGCTTTTAGCTCAATTGGCAGAGTGTACGGGACTTGTTAATTGATTCTTTTTGTTTATTTTATTTTGTTTATTTTTTTGCAAAGATATGTTTAATGGCATATAACTTATAATATAATAAGAGTGCTACAGGCGTCTGCCTTTGACAACCAAAAGTTTGGTGAAGTGGGACGGGAATACCCCCTGATTTTTGGCCCCATATCAATCCACCATCACATATTAAAATCTACTAAAACTATGTATTTTTAAAGTTTAATATCTGTAGATTTCATACAGTGTAAAATAAGTCTATCTAAGAAAATTACTCAGAGGCATTGTATTCAACTGAAACAAACTTAAGGTAGGGATTACAATCATATGAAACACTTCATAATTTTCTTTTACAATCTCAAAGTATTTTTAGCTCACCTGGTCTGAAGGACCATGGTGAGCTTATGCCATACCGCAGCGTCCGTCGTCCGTCCATCCGTCAACTTTTCCTTTAAAACGCTACTAGTCAGACTTTGACCAAATTTGTAGGAATGAAAGGATTTGTTCCATATTTGGTCAGAAGCATCCTTGGGTGAAGGGCAAACAATTTTGTATAAACCGTAGCTCTGGCCCCCCTGGGGGCTGAGGGGTGGGGCCAAACAGGGGAAATATAACAAATTCTTTAAAGTCCTTGTTCTTCTGTAGGAATGAAAGGATTTGTTCCATATTTGTTTTGAAGCATCCTTGGGTGAAGGGGAACCAATTTTGTATAAACCGAGGGTGTGGCCCCCCAGGGACCTGAGAGGCGGAGCCCGATAGGGGAAACAAAAATTAGCAAATTATTCTTTAAAATTCTTCGTCTGTAGTCCCTGAATGAAAGGATTTGGTCCATATTTGGTGTGGAGCATCCTTGGGTAAAGGAGAACCAATTTTGTATAAACGGTGGGTGTGGCCCCCCTGGGACCTGAAGGGTGGGGCCCAATAGGGGAAATATAGGTAAAATCTTTATAATCCTTCTTCTACCATTGGGATTAAGCGATATTATCCTAATTTAGTCTGGAGCATCCTTAGACAAAAGGGACTCAATTTTGTATAAATGATGTGTCTGACCCCTCTGGAGGCAGCGAGGCGGGGCCCAATAGGGGAAATAGAGGTAAAACCTTTAAAATCCTTCTTCTACCATAAAGATTAAGGGATTTTCTCCTAATTTAGTCTGGAGCTTCAATGGGCCAAGGGGACTCAATTTGGTTAAGCAGTGGGTGTGGTCTCCCAAGGGGCAGGAGGGCGGGGCCCAATAGGAGAAATAGAGGTAAAACCTTTAAAATCCTTCCTCGACCATTGGGATTATGGGATTTTATCCTTATTTAGTCTGGAGCATCCTTGGGTCAAGGGGACTCAATTTTGTATAATTGATGGGTATGACCCCCCTAGGTTGCATAGGGGTGGGGCTCTGTTTGCAGTTTGTTCTCACTATATCTCAAGTACTGGATGGATCTTTCTGAAATTTCATATGTACTTACAGCACTTACTTCATACCAATTATTTTAAACATATTCAGGTGAGCGATACAGGCCCTCTGGGCCTCTTGTTTTAAGGATGGATTGAGAAAACCACAGTTTAATGTATGTGTAGATGGATGGACAACTATAAATTCTATGTACATAATATTTAGATTACATGTACAGTGATAAGAACCTTGAAAAGCCTGTTTGTTTATTTTCTTTCTATTACTATAGATTTAATAATAAGATCAAACACAAGACTGTTTACTGACTGACAATGGCTGAAGGCGGTGATCCAAAGGACCGGGTGGAAGGCATGGAAGGTGAGTGCTCCTGTATGTTCCAGCTGTCATACTTTTGTTGTGAATTTGACTCCTTTAACACTGATGCTTGAATCAAATGTTCAAGAATTAAGCCAAAACCTTGAAGAGCTCTTATTGATTTTCAAATTTAAAAACTAATAAACAGATTTACTGCCTTTAATATGTTTTCCAAGTATTGTCTTTAAATTTACAGTTTTTTGTGGAAGCTTTCTTCAGAATCAATAAGATATCTTAATGGACTTGAAATAATATTAAACTGGTGTGATTAACATTTCATGTTCAAACAAGAGAAACCTGTGTATGTCTGTGCTTATGTGTTATAATCATATATATTGTATTTGTATTGATTTATATGCTTTCAATGCCACTGCTTGATTTTGTGATATGTTGAAGAACATTTTCAATCTGCCTCCCTTAATCCCATATTGATTAAATCTGGTAAAATTTGTTCACTGTTTTGGCTAAAATAAGAAAGAAAAGATAACTTTTTCTGTCCTTTTCGTTGTTTTTATTGTAAATATACAGTTGGTGTTTGATGGGGATCCAAATCTATCAAGTTTAATTCTGTTAGGTTACTTACTACACACTGTGACTAAACAATGTAATACTGTATATAAATACATGTACCCAGGTTACTTACTACACTCTGTGACTAAACAATGTAATACTGTATATAAATACATGTACCCAGGTTACTTACTACACTCTGTGACTAAACAATGTAATACTGTATATAAATACATGTACCCAGGTTACTTACTACACTCTGTGACTAAACAATGTAATACTGTATATAAATACATGTACCCAGGTTACTTACTACACTCTGTGACTAAACAATGTAATACTGTATATAAATACATGTACCCAGGTTACTTACTACACTCTGTGACTAAACAATGTAATACTGTATATAAATACATGTACCCAGGTTACTTACTACACTCTGTGACTAAACAATGTAATACTGTATATAAATACATGTACCCAGGTTACTTACTACACTCTGTGACTAAACAATGTAATACTGTATATAAATACATGTACCCAGGTTACTTACTACACTCTGTGACTAAACAATGTAATACTGTATATAAATACATGTACCCAGGTTACTTACTACACTCTGTGACTAAACAATGTAATACTGTATATAAATACATGTACCCAGGTTACTTACTACACTCTGTGACTAAACAATGTAATACTGTATATAAATACATGTACCCAGGTTACTTACTACACTCTGTGACTAAACAATGTAATACTGTATATAAATACATGTACCCAGGTTACTTACTACACTCTGTGACTAAACAATGTAATACTGTATATAAATACATGTACCCAGGTTACTTACTACACTCTGTGACTAAACAATGTAATACTGTATATAAATACATGTACCCAGGTTACTTACTACACTCTGTGACTAAACAATGTAATACTGTATATAAATACATGTACCCAGGTTACTTACTACACTCTGTGACTAAACAATGTAATACTGTATATAAATACATGTACCCAGGTTACTTACTACACTCTGTGACTAAACAATGTAATACTGTATATAAATACATGTACCCAGGTTACTTACTACACTCTGTGACTAAACAATGTAATACTGTATATAAATACATGTACCCAGGTTACTTACTACACTCTGTGACTAAACAATGTAATACTGTATATGAATACATGTATCCAGAAATGTTGAAAACTTTTCATTAAACTGCACTTAAGATGATGAATATGTCGAGGATCGTAAGAAAACACAGGATTTTTGGGATACTGTTAGGAAAGTCATGCAGCAGCAGCAAGCCCTACAGGTTTATGATGACCAAGGGCCGATTGTGACCCTGCCACAGTTGGTCAAGAAATGGTCCTCTCACATAGACGACACTATCGGTGAGGAATTCTTGACTCAGAGATTTAAATATTTAATGAAAGTTAGACACTCTTATCAAACCAAAATCATTCTTGCTTTACACGAGTGGACAGTTCACTAACCTGACATTTAGAGTAGTTTACAAGTAGAAGTATGCTTGAAGACTGAATGTTAGACAATAGTTGTTATTAGGGCTGCACCAATATATCTTGTGCCAATGTATTGAGCTATTTTGAATACAGTAATATGTTTTAGGAGGTCGAAATACACCTACAACGTTTTCCGGATTTTGTCGTTTCTGAATTAAGCCTCCAGTTTGAATTTAGTATCCGTTCCAACATGGCGAGTGGCAGCTCCAGCTCGGTAGCATGTTGAAAGACGTGATTATGAAACTTTTTAAGTCATGCCCATTTAGAACCAAGTCTATTTCCAGTGGTTATATTGCCATTAACAATCTGCAATACAAACAAATGTAAATGTTTTTGCTTTGCTTCTACTGTTACTATGTATCATGATACGTTACGTATCGTGACCACAATATCATGATACATATCATATCGTCATGTTAGTGTATCGTTGCAGCCCCATTTGTTATACCCACAGCTTAGCTTTAGGTAAATGTAGGTCATATAATTATAGCTTTGTAGTATGTTTGTCTGTCAGTGTGTGTAAATGTGTGCCAAGTTCATTTTTAGGTCACCTGAGCTTTAGCTCAAGTGACCTATTGCTATCCGTTTTCGTCCGTCGTCGTCCGTCGTCCGTCGTCCGTCGTCCGTCGTCCGTTAACATTTTACATTTCAAACTTAAAGTCAAGTTCTGCTGGGCCGATTGAACTGAAAGTTGGTAGGAATGATCGACTCATGGTCCTGACAAAGTGTTGTTATTTTTTGGGTCGATCAGAAATCCAATATGGCCGCCACGGCCGCCATTTTGAAAACCTATTTCAAACTTAAAGTCAAGTTCTGCTGGACCGATTGAACTGAAAGTTGGTAGGAATGATCGCCTCATGGTCCTGACAAAGTGTTGTTATTTTTTGGGTCGATCAGAAATCCAATATGGCCACCACGGCCGCCATTTTGAAAACCTATTTCAAACTTAAAGTCAAGTTCTGCTGGACCGATTGAACTTAAAGTTTGTAGGAATGATCGACTCATGGTCCTGACAAAGTGTTGTTATTTTTCAGGTCAATCATAAATCCAATATGGCCGCCACGGCCACCATTTTGAAAACATATTTCAAACTTAAAGTCAAGTTCTGCTAGGCCGATTGAACTGAAACTTTGTAGGAATGATTGACTCATGGTCCTGACAAAGTGTTGTTATTTTTCAGGTCGATCAGAAATCCAATATGGCCACCACAGCTGCCATTTTGGTAAACTATTTCAAACTTAAAGTAAAGATCTACTTGGCCGATTGAACTGAAACTTTGTAGGAATGATCGAATCATGGTCCTGACAAAGTGTTGTTATTTTTCGGGTCAATCAGAAATACAATTTGGCTGCCATGGCCGCTATTTTGCTACTAAGTTCTAATAGGCCGATCTCACTTAAAATTGGTCTAGGAATGATCAGCTCATGGTCCTGACAAAGTTAAGTTAACATTATACTATTTTTTACTCAAATTGGTACATATTTCAACAACAAAAATAAATACTGTAGACTCAGGTGATCGTTTAGGCCCATGGGCCTCTTGTTTTGTAAAATGCTTGCATAGAAGATACTCAAATTTACACCATAGGATGGTAACAACAAATTCTGTACAGGATGCGGTTTTGGTGGTCATCAGTCAAGTTTAGAAGGTCAAAGGTCAAGCTCATGTTTAAGAAATTAAGTCTTCCTACTAAGTTTCCCCATCTCAACCTCGATCACATCCTTGAGGGGCTGAAAGGCTTTCATACACTAAACAGATGTATCTACATTTCACCAATATGAGATATCATTGTCTCATCTGAGGGTTGAAACAAGGGATTCTCTAATCACAACAATTGTATCATTATGTCAATTGAATATCTCATAAACATGATGTCACCATTGCATTTTTGATTGAGCCAAAAGCCTCACAAATCTCCTCCCTTGGGTTTAGTTCCCCACATCTCATCCCCAATATTTGCACATTTTCCTAAAAATTAATTCTATGTTCTGAAAAAATGTCGAAATTGCAGGTGTATGCAGCTTTCCTTCTATGGTGTGGATACTTCAATTGAAATATAAAAAACAGACCAGAAATCATAGCTCTGTTATTTCTCAATTTTAACAGGCCAATTATATGTGTTTTTTCGTTAATTTATTTTAATTGGTTAGGTCCGTCTGTTATGTTGATTAACTCATTCACCCTGAAATTGTTATAGTGGACTGTTCCAACCTTTGAATTGGAAGAGTTCAAATGTGTCTTCATGGGTGAATGAGTTAATGGTGAATTGTCATACTGGAAATTAATAAGTAGCAATCAAACAAACTGTTTTTCTGAGTTGTTATGGTGGAGACATAATTAAAAAAGATAAAAATGAGTTGAAGACATACCACATATCAGAATCTCCATCTATATGAAAAATGTATTAACTGAATTATCAGAATTTAATGATGAAGTATGATTTACATTCTCATATAACCAATTGGCCATTCATTATCATGAGCTATGGTACCTGTGTCTATTGGTCTTTACATGTGTACATAATATACCTATTCTGAAACAAGCCATGCTAATTCATTCATTTTGATTGTCACAATTTTATGCTAGCCCATTTTTGTTTTTTCATCAGATGGTGTGGGAGAAGGTAAGAGTGTTCATACTTTAGAACTTACAACCAATATATATTTGGTTTCCCTGCTTTTGCTTCTTTCCTTTTTGGTAAAAAAAGCAAATTTTGTACAATATGCTTACCACTTTCAGGGTCTCAAATTTATTTCTTGTGCCGAGCCAGCTGGTGATGATAAATTTCAAGCTAGCTAAAACTATTCCCTGTGCCAAGCCAGTTGGTAATTACAAATCTCCAGCTAACTAAAATAATATTCTTGTGCTGAGTTATTCAATTTGTGGTTTCTTAACACTAGTGTAGGGTTTTCATTAGGATTTCAAGTTAGGTGTATCCAACGCCAATCAGGCAGCTAATTTCAGCACATTTCATAGCACTAGTACGTCATTACCATTTTCTGAACTTTTCGTGAACATAGCCGGAGAAATATCTGTAGTAGGAAGGTATTTTTACTGGCTGCTGGCTACAAATGAAACCCTTCTTAGTGGTCAGTTAATTCAGGTTCAGTTCACAAAGAAATTGTATACAGTGAGGGAACATGAAAAGTGGTCTGTTAACACAGGTGGTCTCTTAATAGAGGTGGTCTGTTAACACAGGTGGTCTCTTAATAGAGGTGGTCATATGAACAGGTTTGAGGTGTTTTTTTGGAAGTCTAAACACCCCATCAGAAGAATCAGTTCATTTAAGGCCACAAAGTAGACCATGAATAAACTTCATGTGGGACAAGAGAAACATCCTGTGATAAAAAGTTTCAGTAAGGAAGACAGAAAGACAGGAACTCTTCTTTCAGTTGTAGAAAGTTTTTGACCCTTTTCAAAACATATCACACATCGAGTATTCAAAACAGAACACTGTCCCAGAAATGGAGAGAAATCTGTTAATTTAACCATTTTGTCCCCCCACCAGCTATTGGGCATTATTAAGTGTGCACCTTTTCCATCGGTCCAAATATCTTGGTTAGACTTTTTATTTAGCTTAATTACTCTACTAACAGAAATCAGCCCCCATACTTCATATGTTGATAACATCTGAAGGAGTACTACAGTTTATCAAATGTAGGTCACTGTGACCTAAATTTTCTGTTTAGAGTAGAGTTTTGGATAGATTTTGCATAAAGCTCCATTCCTTTATTTCAGTTTCTGTATATATCCATTCCTATCAAAGCTGGTGCAGGGACATATTCATGTTTTGCATGCTCTAGTTTTCAGTAACGATTAGATTCTGTCATACTAACAAAAAACAAACAGCATATCTGTATTCCAAAGTTTCATATTTGATCAGTCTTGGAAACTTGTTCTTTCAAAGTCCTTGGTGCTGTGTAAAAACTTCTGAGATGGCTGCTGTATTCCTAAAATGTAATTCTACATCTCTTGATAAAAATGTTGGATAAAATAGTTGCTAGTCTATCATAAAATAAGGTAGACAAAGTGAAAAAAAAATCAAGGCCTGTGTACAGTAGAAAAGAGGTTTGGACTCAACATAAATTCCTGTATGAAATAAACTATTGGTCACATAGTGGGTCTTTCTACCTAAATGCCTTTTACAGTTAAACGTTATTTGTTGAGACTTTCTTCCATAAAGTTTGTATACAGTAGAAAGTAATGAGACTATCTACCTTAAGGCCTGTATTAATATAAATTCAGTTGGAAATTGATGGGCCTTTCTTCCTTAAGACCCTGATACAATAGGGAAAAGATGGAACTCATCCATGAGAAAATATGCATCATATAAAATGTTAGTAATTTTTTGTAAAGGGATACATAATATTTTTCCTGCACAAATGGTTTAATTGTTTTTTTTTGTATTTTATTATACCAGGTGATGTACTCAACGTATGACACTTTAAGACAATTCCTTTATACAATTTTGAAATTTCAGTGCACCAAATCCATGTACAGCACTCATACTATTTACATATTTAAGGAAACGTTCAGATATTGATAAAATGTTTGATGCTGGTAATGGAATTAAGTGTAGTCATCATATTTAGCATGTTCATGAAAATAATTACATGTAATACATCAAGGACAAGCATGTTAACCCTTTCACCCCTAGGTAACTTTAGTAGACTCTACCATACCTTGACCTGGATGAGTCCATATGGTCTACAGTGGTTAAAGGGTTAAAGACATTAACACCCATGTTCACTTGTGATCTTTTCTTTAGTCCCATACAGTACCATTTGATAATATTTAAATGCTTGAAATAGAAATAAGAACTATGACAACCTGTCAAACAATTAATCTAATAATGTTTTCATTGTTATTTTGAAATGATACTGAATTCATGTTCTAACTCTTGGCCCATGGGGATTAATTATGTGCTTTTGTCCTATCACCATATTTCTTGTTTTCAGCTCACCTGGCCCGAAGAGCCAAGTGAGCTTATGCTGTGGTGCGGCGTCCAGCGTCAATATTTTACCTTAAACAACTTCTTCTAAATAACCAAAAGGCCTAAGGTAATGATATTTGGCCAGAAGCAAACTGGGATGAAGGGCTACCAAGTTTGTACAAATTATTGAAAAACAATGTATTTAACATAAACAAAATTAATATTACATGTAGCATGATTTGTCCAAGGTCAAGGTCACTACTATTGAAAAATTAGAATCCCAATGTCACAACCTTTATCATTACTCTTGTGGCCTTAAACAGGGAATACAGTTATGTTCTTTGTTTTTGGGACAAGTGTTTGGGTAATGTTCTTCTGACAAGTGTTTGGGTAATATTGATGGAACAGGCTCATGGGTAATGTTCTTGGGACAAGCTTTTGGGTAATATTCATGGGACAAGCTTTTGGGTAATATTCTTGGGACTTGCTTTTGGGTAATGACTTCTTGGGACAAGCTTTTGGGTAATGTTCTTGGGACAAGCTTTTAGGTAATAATTCATGGGACAAGCTTTTGGGTAATATTCATGGGACTTACTTTTGGGTAATATTCTTGGGACAAGCTTTTGGGTAATGTTCTTGGGACAAGCTTTTATGTAATAATTCATGGGACAAGCTTTTGGGTAATATTCATGGGACTTACTTTTGGGTAATATTCTTGGGACAAGCTTTTGGGTAATGTTCTTGGGACAAGCTTTTAGGTAATGTTCTTGGGACAAGCTTTTAGGTAATGTTCTTGTGACAAGTGTTTGGGTAATATTCATGGGACAAGCTTTAGGGTAATGTTTTTGGGACAAGCTTCTTGGTAATATTCTGGGGACAAGCTTTTGGGTAATGTTCTTGGGACAAGTTTTTGAGTAATATTCTTGGAACTTACTTTTGGGTAAATTTCTTGGGACAAACTTTTGGGTAATGTTTTTGAGACAAGCTTTTAGGTAATATTCTTGGAACTTACTTTTGGGTAAATTTCTTGGGACTTACTTTTGGGTAATGTTCTTGGGACAAGCTTTTGGGTAATGTTCTTGGGACAAAGTTTTGGGTAATGTTCTTGGGACAAAGTTTCGGGTAATGTTCTTGGGACTTACTTTTAGATAATATTCTTGGAACTTGCTTTTGGGTAATGTTCTTGGGACAAGCTTTTGAGTATCGTCTTGGGACAAACTTTTAGGATATGTTCTTAGGATTAATGAATTATGAAATACATCTGAAAACGATCATTAAATCAAAGAAAAATTGTTAAAATATTACGAAAAGGCAAGTTTTTTCAGTGAGCATCATAAACTATATCAATTTCAGATTATTATGCTTTTTGGACTGAATAATTTCTTCACAAAAAACAACAACATCATTTTATCTCTTTCCGCGAGTAATTTTTTGTATAGGGATACATAATATTTTTCCTGCACAAATGGTTTAATTGTTTTTTTTTTGTATTTTATTATGCCAGGTGATGTACTCAATGTATGACCCTTTTAGACAATTCCTTTATACAATTTTGGATATTCAGTGCACCAAATCCATGTACAGCACTCAGTCTTGGGACAAACTTTTAGGATATGTTCTTAGGATTAATGAATTATGAAATACATCTGAAAACGATCATTAAATCAAAGAAAAATTGTTAAAATATTACGAAAAGGCAAGTTTTTTCAGTGAGCATCATAAACTATATCAATCTCAGATTATTACGCTTTTTGGACTGAATAATTTCTTCACAAAAAACAACAACATCATTTTATCTCTTTCCGCGAAAGATCTTTAGATAATGTGTTCATTATTTCATGAAAGGATCAATGCTATAATATGGTAAAATATATTTGTATAAGGCAAACAAATCAAAGAAAATATGTAAAGATCTTTAACAGTGGCATTTTTAATCAGTGAAAGTTCCAAACTGTATTTGGTTCAAATTACTACGCCTCGTATTCCAATCCTCTAAAGTGTGTGTGTAAGAGTTTTCTCCCCCTGTCCATCATTGCGTAGTTTCATGCTCGCGACTTGTTGAACGACTGTTTGATAACTGTCCTTGATAAAGTAGGCTTCGTGTTTTCTTTGTCTCAATGGAAAGTCTCCAAGTGAAAGAGAATGTTGACTTATACTAAATTAGCCGTCAGCAGCTGTGCCTAACAAGTTTATAAATAGCTTCCCAATGTGATAGCAGCGCTGAGCCTAACGAGTTTGTAGATACCTTCCCAATACAGTCTCTAGATAATGGCCTGATTAGTATAATACAAGTGCTTCGTGAATATATTATATTGAACATCAAAAATTAAAACCGTATTTACATATTATTCACATTAACCAGAAACTGAAGAATTCTATAGGTCTTTAACCTTCGTTACAATATCGAGAGAAGGAAAGATACACAAGGGACTTGCATAAGTCTGTGATTCTGCGCTGTAGCAGCTTCATTCCTTGAAGGATTTCCATCAATTTGAAACACTAATTAAGGACCATACTATCAGACAAGTTTCAATTTCAGGGCTGATGGGTCATGGTCATCGTTACTTATTTTTTATGCTGCTAATGGTAGCCATTAGGGGAACTATATTGTTTTAGCAATAACCTGCTTGTTATATATATTTTTATTGAAAATTATGATTAAGGGATAGACTATTATGACCCTTGCTCAATAACATGTTCTTTATTATTTACTGCCATTCTGTACTGATATACCACTTCCTTTATTCCATTATTTGAATCCTTCATACACAGCATCCCTAAGTGCCCTCGGCACTTTGATGCTTTTTTTACTGTGATACTATATGTTCTTTCAGCATTTCCTTCTAGAGACTCACCACAAGAAGAAATTTGTAGTCCCCCTCCACCTTCAGAAATGTCACCTGAGGATTTCCATCCACCTCCTTATTCTAAATCGAGACCTCCCCCACCCCTATATCATGAACTAGATAAACCAAAGCTCCCCTCAGAGTTTGGTCACACGTATGGAAAAAGCCCCAAGAGGAAGTACTTATATACAGATCCTGAGACCCCAGAGGTGGAAGTGGAGCTGGTAAGTATTGGTATAATACATGTATAAGTGAGAATATTTTACTGTGAAATTGTTCAGTGGATTTTCCTGGATAGATGCTTTTGTGATTGGTTGTCGAGAAATTGATTTTGCAAAAGGAGCAAAAAACGTGATATACTTTCATTACAAATGGATCTATTTATCATAAAAGATGGTGGACAATAAAGTTATGTTCAAACACACTGTATATCGAGATTTTTTTTTGTTGTAGTTGAAATTTTCACCTTTTGTAAATTTATCATTTCAGTAAATTTATTTAGATAATATAATATACATAGTAATTTTATGTGAAGAGCAAAATTTTACATAGGGCATAAATTAAGTTTATGGGTGAAGGGCGAAAGTTTGACTAGAGCAAAGATTTCTCTGTCCTGGTGTTGTCATTTGGTTCATCATATACTTGAAACAAACTGTTTGTTTAAATGGTGGAATAGCCTTTTTTATGGGAAAAGGTCAAGGTGATGTTTTCTGAAGTTATCGTTTGGCAACAAGTGTCAATCGAATCATTCAGGAGTTTCTATCAAAGTTTGAATTTGATATTCTGAAATTATCATTATTTGATAACTGTTGGACAAGAACTGTATGTAATAGTTCTTCGGGACTTTCACTATAAAAGTTGGTTAGACCATTTAGAGAATGCAAAATGGAAATGTAAGTATTTTTGTGTTAATGCATCAGAAAAATATCCATGAGATAAGGACCTTATATGTGTATTGAAAACTAAGTTTGATGTCTGCTGTTAAATTAAACATTAGAAGAAATAAAGCTTTGACATCAGGAAATGTTAATACAGATCATGAAAGTCTTCGTGAATGTTCACCAGAAACCAACATCAGACTATTTAAAAGTTGTAAAACTTATATACAAATATGTCATTTTAAATCTGCATGTTTCAAAAAAGGGGAGATGTTTTATTTATTTCTATGCTTAGAGTAAGTGTTAGAATATAAAAAGTGAAGACAAAGTTTGGTTGTTACAGATCCAAGTTGCCCCTGTCGCTACCATGGTAAGACTTACTATATGGGTGTTGTTTGTGTTGTGCGTGCACTGTTGATTTAGACTTTGTTGAAAAATCCTTTTCCGCACAACTCCTCCAAAACTGCTAGGCCATTTTCAACGAAAGTTTTCAGATAAGTTGAGAAAACCTTTGTCGCCTCCTTAACTACAGAGCCAATTTCATTGAAAGTCTACTGATATAGTAATTATCCCATTGACACCATGCATCTAGGTAGTGTTTTTTCATTCCGACCCTTTTTACAGAGTTATGGCCTTTGTTGAAAAATTCTTTCCCAGAGTATACAACTCTTCCTAAACTACTAGGCCAATTTCAGCAAAACTGGATCATCTGGTCTAACAAGATTTGGTTTGCAAATATGTTTTGGCATGGGTGGAGAGTACAGGAAGTATGTCAGTGACCTATATAAGTGTACAGCTCAGAAAATAAAGAAATCATTACTGGTGAGGGACTATGGATTGCAGAAAATAAAGAAATCATTACTGGTGAGGGACTATATATTGCGTTGCAATACTACCATTGCCTTTGGCTTATAGTTCTGGTTTATATCCTGGAGTCAGTAATATGATAGAATGTGAGAGTCAAGAGGAGTGTCTCTGAGTCAAGCTTTAAGTAAATATTATCTCGAAGTGAAGATTGTAGGAAAGGACAGTGGAGACTTTAAGGAGGTCATGGGTCTATAACACTCCAACAGGGAGGTCATGGGTCTATAACGCTCCAACACGGAGGTCATGGGTCTATAATGCTCCAACACGGAGGTCATGGGTCTATAACGCTCCAACACGGAGGTCATGGGTCTGTAACGCTCCAACAAGTCAACATCTGATGTACTACAGCTAAAGCTAAAAATAGGTTGATGAATCAAAGTTCACGTGTGTAACATCACTAGAGCATCCCTGGTGAACTGCTGTCACGACCTTATTTGGTCAAGATCACGGCATATTGTTCACGTTTTTATATATTTTACTACCAGTTTGTTTGCTGTTGATGTAATTTTGCATCTTTTACACTTTGTAATCTATTTAGTTTTACTTAGATGTAATTTTTTGGTGAATATCTATTTTCACAGTTTTGTTTGGCCCTAAATGACTTAATTTGTCGGTGGGATGTAAAACAATACAAAAATATGGATGCAAAACTTGTGCTAAATTAAATGGTAGCCTTCTTTCTCAACACATTGTCCCTCTCTTGTTAATGTTTCAACATGTTAACAGCCTGCACTGTCCTAACCATTATTTGTGACCATCAACTGACATCAATTTATCATCGCAAAATCTATAAAACACAGAACATGACAAGTTCCTGACTCCAACTCACAATACATCTGGGCATAGTAAAGCAGTTTTCCCACTCGGACACCACTGTGTTATGTCAATAAAAGGGGATTGATGGAGTTAGTCTGGTACAGTATATTGATGTGAACTCTAGGTTGTTTATCAAACGGATATATGCATTATTATTATTTTTTAAATGAAATATGTATCCTCTTACCCGACTTAATGGAAATATATTGATGAACCATTCACAGAGAAGTTAGCATAATTGAACGAGAACTTTCTATTATAACGAGGTTATGATGTGATAGTTTGAACAAAACAAAATTGTTTAAGTTCCGCGTAAAGAGTTCCATCAAGTTAAAACTAATAATTATTGTCACTAACATAAAACTACTGTCAAAGACCTTTTTATACGTCCGTCAAATTTGACGGGAGTATTATGGTATGGCGTTGTCCATCCGTTCGTCCGTCCGTCCGGTGTTAACTTTTGTTTGTCCGGCAATCTCCTCCTACATTTTTCGATCGATCTCTTTGAAACTTGGTATACATTATAATCATGATATGAAGTTGTGTCTCCCTTAAAAGAATTTTGATTTGACAATTTTTCCAAAAGTAATTGCCCTTTGTTCATTTCAGTATTTGATTTTTGTCCGGCAATCTCCTCCTACATTTTTCAACGGATCTCTTTGAAACTTAGTAGGCTAAATAATCATGATATGTTGTTGTGTTTCCTTGAAAAGAATTTTGATTCAACAATGTTTGCAAAAGTTATTGCCCTTTGTTTATTTCAGTATTTGATTTTTGTCCGACAATCTCCTCCTACATTTTTCAACAGATCTCTTTGAAACTTGGTATACATTATAATCATGATATGAAATTGTGTCCCCCTTAAAAGAATTTTGATTCGACAATTTTTCTAAAAGTTATTGCCCTTTGTTCATTTCAGTATTGGATTTTTTGTCCAGAGATCTTCTCCTACATTTTCGACAGATTTCTTTGAAACTTAGGAGGATAAATAATCATGATATGTCGTTGTGTTTCCTTGAAAAGAATTTTGATTCAAAGATTTTTGCAAAAATAATTGCCCTTTGTTCATTTCAAAAAAAAATAAAAAAATCCAGAGATTTTCTCCTACATTTTTATAGCATGTCAGCTAACCACTCTTTGAATGATGCAGATCTTATTTCAATGTAAGAAAATATATAAAACTATATATGACATTCGACGGGCGTATATTGTTCCGCCCCGCGGTACTCTTGTATAAATATTTGATAGAAATACATCTAGTGATGAATATATTAAATTAAAGTTATTAAAAAAAATGCTGTTAACCAATGAGAAATGATACACTACTCTGACTTATAGTTAAATTTGTAATAAGTAAAAGTTAACCAGCTATGTGTCCTGGGATCAGAATGTCAACATATCATAAGACAGTCAAACTGTTAACCCTTTCATCCCTACGTTACTGTGGTAGACTCTACCATACATTGATATGGATGAGCCCATTATGGTCTATGGTGGTAAAAGGATTAATACTAAATAAATATGATATAATATAATATTCAAATCTCTCCAGTATGGAAATCTCTTTCATCCTATATCAAAGTTTTACTTTCTACACAAACAATGTGCTATAAAACGTGTCGCAACGTTTCATGACCGACAGAGTTTCATTCAGTCATAGCTTGACAAAGGGACCAGTCGGTCTTGAACAGTGGGACATTTGTTTGTGTAGAAAGTAAAACTTTGATATCATATTTCCAAACTGACGAATCTTGTTGAAGACACTTTCATCCTACCTACTCCAATTCCAGACTTATGACTTCTTTATGGAACATTTAATTAGAGAACATTTTCTATACAAAAGCATTACAAAAGTTAAGGATCCCCATACCACTACCAATAATTGTTACTACACATAGGAAATCTTTTTTTCTGGCATGACTGTAGATATGATATTTAATCATATCTGAAAAGAAAACCTTACCTTGCAGGACTTTCATGAAAAAATAATAATGGTGAAATAAACTAAACCTAATCAACATCAATGTTTTGAGGGTAAAGGGTTTTGCACAGGGCTAGACAGGATCCAAACTCTAACTTCCAGTTGTAATGCTATTGCTCTACCTGACTGAGGCGCTACCCGGTCAATGGATAGGGATCATTGAGGGGAGGTTACTGTAAATACAGAGACCACAGTGTAGTGGGATAGGGATCATTCAGGGGAGGTTACTGTAAATACAGAGACCACAGTGTAGTGGGACAGGGATCATTGAGGGGAGGTTACTGTAAATACAGAGACCACAGTGTAGTGGGACAGGGATCATTCAGGGGAGGTTACTGTAAATACAGAGACCACAGTGTAGTGGGACAGGGATCATTCAGGGGAGGTTACTGTAAATACAGAGACCACAGTGTAGTGGGACAGGGATCATTCAGGGGAGGTTACTGTAAATACAGAGACCACAGTGTAGTGGGACAGGGATCATTCAGGGGAGGTTACTGTAAATACAGAGACCACAGTGTAGTGGGACAGGGATCATTCAGGGGAGGTTACTGTAAATACAGAGACCACAGTGTAGTGGGACAGGGATCATTCAGGGGAGGTTACTGTAAATACAGAGACCACAGTGTAGTGGGACAGGGATCATTCAGGGGAGGTTACTGTAAATACAGAGACCACAGTGTAGTGGGACAGGGATCATTCAGGGGAGGTTACTGTAAATACAGAGACCACAGTGTAGTGGGACAGGGATCATTCAGGGGAGGTTACTGTAAATACAGAGACCACAGTGTAGTGGGACAGGGATCATTCAGGGGAGGTTACTGTAAATACAGAGACCACAGTGTAGTGGGACAGGGATCATTCAGGGGAGGTTACTGTAAATACAGAGACCACAGTGTAGTGGGACAGGGATCATTCAGGGGAGGTTACTGTAAATACAGAGACCACAGTGTAGTGGGACAGGGATCATTCAGGGGAGGTTACTGTAAATACAGAGACCACAGTGTAGTGGGACAGGGATCATTCAGGGGAGGTTACTGTAAATACAGAGACCACAGTGTAGTGGGACAGGGATCATTCAGGGGAGGTTACTGTAAATACAGAGACCACAGTGTAGTGGGACAGGGATCATTCAGGGGAGGTTACTGTAAATACAGAGACCACAGTGTAGTGGGACAGGGATCATTCAGGGGAGGTTACTGTAAATACAGAGACCACAGTGTAGTGGGACAGGGATCATTCAGGGGAGGTTACTGTAAATACAGAGACCACAGTGTAGTGGGACAGGGATCATTCAGGGGAGGTTACTGTAAATACAGAGACCACAGTGTAGTGGGACAGGGATCATTCAGGGGAGGTTACTGTAAATACAGAGACCACAGTGTAGTGGGACAGGGATCATTCAGGGGAGGTTACTGTAAATACAGAGACCACAGTGTAGTGGGACAGGGATCATTCAGGGGAGGTTACTGTAAATACAGAGACCACAGTGTAGTGGGACAGGGATCATTCAGGGGAGGTTACTGTAAATACAGAGACCACAGTGTAGTGGGACAGGGATCATTCAGGGGAGGTTACTGTAAATACAGAGACCACAGTGTAGTGGGACAGGGATCATTCAGGGGAGGTTACTGTAAATACAGAGACCACAGTGTAGTGGGACAGGGATCATTCAGGGGAGGTTACTGTAAATACAGAGACCACAGTGTAGTGGGACAGGGATCATTCAGGGGAGGTTACTGTAAATACAGAGACCACAGTGTAGTGGGACAGGGATCATTCAGGGGAGGTTACTGTAAATACAGAGACCACAGTGTAGTGGGACAGGGATCATTCAGGGGAGGTTACTGTAAATACAGAGACCACAGTGTAGTGGGACAGGGATCATTCAGGGGAGGTTACTGTAAATACAGAGACCACAGTGTAGTGGGACAGGGATCATTGAGGGGAGGTTACTGTAAATACAGAGACCACAGTGTAGTGGGACAGGGATCATTGAGGGGAGGTTACTGTAAATACAGAGACCACAGTGTAGTGGGACAGGGATCATTGAGGGGAGGTTACTGTAAATACAGAGACCACAGTGTAGTGGGACAGGGATCATTGAGGGGAGGTTACTGTAAATACAGAGACCACAGTGTAGTGGGACAGGGATCATTGAGGGGAGGTTACTGTAAATACAGAGACCACAGTGTAGTGGGACAGGGATCATTGAGGGGAGGTTACTGTAAATACAGAGACCACAGTGTAGTGGGACAGGGATCATTGAGGGGAGGTTACTGTAAATACAGAGACCACAGTGTAGTGGGACAGGGATCATTGAGGGGAGGTTACTGTAAATACAGAGACCACAGTGTAGTGGGACAGGGATCATTGAGGGGAGGTTACTGTAAATACAGAGACCACAGTGTAGTGGGACAGGGATCATTGAGGGGAGGTTACTGTAAATACAGAGACCACAGTGTAGTGGGACAGGGATCATTGAGGGGAGGTTACTGTAAATACAGAGACCACAGTGTAGTGGGACAGGGATCATTGAGGGGAGGTTACTGTAAATACAGAGACCACAGTGTAGTGGGACAGGGATCATTGAGGGGAGGTTACTGTAAATACAGAGACCACAGTGTAGTGGGACAGGGATCATTCAGGGGAGGTTACTGTAAATACAGAGACCACAGTGTAGTGGGACAGGGATCATTGAGGGGAGGTTACTGTAAATACAGAGACCACAGTGTAGTGGGACAGGGATCATTGAGGGGAGGTTACTGTAAATACAGAGACCACAGTGTAGTGGGACAGGGATCATTGAGGGGAGGTTACTGTAAATACAGAGACCACAGTGCAATGGGACAGGGATCATTGAGGGGAGGTTACTGTAAATACAGAGACCACAGTGTAGTGGGACAGGGATCATTGAGGGGAGGTTACTGTAAATACAGAGACCACAGTGCAATGGGACAGGGATCATTGAGGGGAGGTTACTGTAAATACAGAGACCACAGTGCAATGGGACAGGGATCATTGAGGGGAGGTTACTGTAAATACAGAGACCACAGTGTAGTGGGACAGGGATCATAAAGGGCAGGTGACTGTAAATACAGAGACCACAGTGCAATGGGACAGGTATCATTAAGGGGAGGTTACTGTAAATACAGAGACCACAGTGCAGTGGGACAGGGATCATTAAGGTAATAGGATTGTGTCGCCATTTCTCAGTAGAATTTCTTCTTATTTTGTAGTTATATTGCTTTGAAGTAAAGAATTTTTTTCTGCCACAAAAAAAATAAAGGTTGTCAAAGGGTCAAGGTCAAGTTTTGTATTTTTCACTGAAGAACATTTTGTTATGATCTTCAGAAGCAAAGTTGGTCAGAATTAAAGAATAAGTCAACTGACCAAAGATCAGGGTCACTGGGTTAATGGTCAAGGTCAATTGGGTCCAAAGGTCAAAGACAAAGTGGATCTCTGACTTTGACCCTGGCTCTTGATGGAGGAGGTGTATAAGGTGAAATAAAACAAATCAAAGCTAACAAATGAGTATTGCACTGGTATTTACATTTCTGTTAGCCTAGCAAATATGGAGGTGGAAGGAAACAAGACTCACATCATAGTACATGTAAAATGTATATTTTGCTTCCTTGCGATTCTTTTTGAAGTCCAAATGTCAAACGTCAAGCTCAGCTATATGGGCAGATTGCATCTTGATGTTTATGGGGGATATATTGCCACAAGACGGGGCCCTTACTGACCTGTCAGTGCTCTTATTTCCTATGGAAACATCTTAATTTAAGGAATTTCTTTTCATTAGAGAATGTTCCTGAAACTGGAGACTAACAAATCCACATATTCTACTGGTAAAATGTAATAAATTGTCAATATACTCTATTGACAGAAATTAGTTCATGAAATTGTAGTATAAATAAAACAAAATGACTAAGTGAGTCTTTGTTTTTGACTTTGTTAATCTTTGTTTTCAGTTAATTACTTTCTGTTTGATTTCACTTGACTGTTACAGACGGAAATGCCTCCAAGGAGGACACAATATATGGAAACCTCCATCAGTGCAGGGCCTACAAGGGAGTCCTACAGGAGACCCTCGCTGGATGCTGCTGTGAACCTGAGCCGCATTCCTGGAAGGGCCTCTCCAGAGGTGTTCGCTGACACAGAGATAGATGATCTTCCGCCTGGTGTGGAGGACAAAAATCCACCACCTCCAACACAACTAGGTATGGTTTCAGTAAATGAAGACAGTTTTTAGGCCCTGCCATACTATGAGGGGGGGCTTATTAAATTGTTACCCATGTCTATCGGTCAAGTCCCGTCCCATCCCTTCACAATTCTTTGTCACTACTCATCTGACTTCTTTTTATTACAGAGTTTCATTAAAGTTTATACAAAGGTCAGGTCTGGGAATATCACAGATCAGTTCGGGTTCTCACAAATAGTCGATTGCTTGCAAAAGTAGCCTGATATTGATCATTTTCAACTGGCTACTTTTTCGGAATATGTATAGGTCAACATTATAGCGTGTGAACATGCAACCTGCTATTCTTTTCAAGTCAACCATCTATTTCAAAACTTAGTGAGAACTCCAAAATCAGTATTTCAAGGTCCCATTAAGGTTAATGCCAAGGTCACTGTTGCTATTTATAGGTCAGCCACAAGGCCATGTAGGCATTCATGTCTTACAGATATTATCTTTTATTTTTGAATTGATTTTTTTTGTACAAGAATTATTGTCCATATCGAAAATATGATTTTTGTTTTTGAGTTTTAAGTGTTGGACTTATGAGAATTAAATTTTATAATATTATTTTATAACAGTTATCAGATGGCCATTTCCATATTGTATGGTTTGTTTTCATTTTCTCAGGAACAAGCAAAACTGTAGTACTTTTGAAAGATATAGGGTTTTTGATAAACTAACAAACAAATAAAAAAATTCTTGAGTGCATAATATTTTCATAAATGATAAGTTTCACCATTCAAATTGGACTGTTTTAGCTACTGTTAGAAGGGATGAAGCTGCAAGGGACGTGGAGTCAGCAAGAACCAGGGAAAGGTAAGCACACAACCAGGGAAACTTATCCGCAAAATCCAATACTTAGCTGCACAGAAGATATGTATCAAGGGGGGAACCCTTTGAGTTTAGAAGATGGGGTAACTAGGTCACAACAAACATGATTGACACACCGAAGGTAGTACATCAAAAGTGATACAACAGGCACAAGTTTAAATCTTCTGCAAATATTTATTCCATTTTAATGCATACCACTATCATTGTACTCGAAAATCCTTCTCTTAATTACAAATTTAGGTATTCAGGAATGTTTCTTGAAATAAAGTAAATTTGAACATAAAGCAATTTACAGTAATCATTAAATTGATGACTATTAAGATGACAATATTGCTCATAATCAAAATCTGATCACAGTTCAAGTATTAAGTGTTTTTTTCAGTGTATAGTGTACATTTTTTAGCTCACCTGGCCCGAATGGCCAAGTGAGCTTATGCCGTGGTGTGGCGTCCGGCCGTTGGCCGTCTGTCCGGCCATCGTCCGGCGTCAATATTTTACTTCAAACAACTTCTTCTTAATAACCAAGAGGCCCAGGCTGATTATATTTGGCCAGTAGCATGCTGGGATGAAGGGCTACCAAGTTTGTTCAAATAAATGACCTTGACTCACTTTCAAGGTCACAGGGGTCAAATATGTTCAAATCTTCAAACGACTTCTTCTCAATAACCAAAAGGCCCACGGTACTGAAGTTAGGCCTGCAGCATGCTGGGATGAAGGGCTACAAAGTTTGTATAAATGAATGACCTTGCCCCACTTTCAAGGTCACATGGGTCAAATGTCGTAAAATCTTCAAACGACTTCTTCTGAATAACCAAAAGGCCCAGGGTACGGATATTGGGCCTGTAGCATGCTTGGATGAAGGGCTACCAAGTTTGTTCAAATAAATGTCCTTGACCCCCTTTCAACCTACTGTCCTTGTTCAACATTCAAGGTTACAGGCATCATATGTTTGAATATTTTAATTGGTTCTTATGAATCAAACACTGATATTCTGCTTGTAGCTGTATAAGATTACAACTGTGAGATTAATACCAGGTGAGCGATGCAGGCCCATAGGGCCTCCTGTTTATTTATCCTATAGCAAGGATTCAAAAAAGCCTTTTCCATCTCTGTAAGGTATATGAGTGTATATAAGTATACGGTTATGATTAAGAGGATCTCATGAAATGACTTCCTGTTTCCTTAAGATATGAATTTGATCTTCATGAAAATAAGGCAGAATGACGTTAAGTTGAAATGTGCATTCTTTTTGCAGTGAGACCTACGAGTGCACGTCCTGTGGCAGGTTTAACCATGTGGCTACCAGGGTCGGCCGATTCTTTTTGCGACAGAAGGAACACTCTACAGGTCGTTTCCTGTTGTTGGTTGGAGCCATTGTCGCTTTCCTGGGAATCGTCGTTTTCCTGGGGGTGTTCCCCAACAGTTTTGTATATGTGGAACACTATGAGGTCAGTAAACAAACTATCAACAAATAGTGTTAGGGTGATTTGCTATCTGACTAAGAACTGGATCTAAAGTCACATTAATCCAACATGTTAACACTCCTGTCTTACACAGTAGTGATGATACATTCAAGTTCTGTAGCACTATTCCGTCTTTGCATATTGCAGAGTTATCTTCTCTTGTGAGCAGGTATTGATTGGTACGTCATTGGTTTGTGTGAGAAAATTTCGTCGTTTCACAAACCAATGACGTAACAATCAATACCTGCTCACAAGAGAAGATAACAATGCAATACGTAAAGACGGAATAGAAATAAAATTGCGTTGGAGGCATGGTCCCATCGCAAACAGAAGACAGGAAGACATGTACACATTAACCTGTGTCACCCATTCTGGCCTGGGGAGGGGGGAAGTTTACTAGGTTTGATTTTACTTATATAGATATAGAGAAATAGCTCTGTTTGGCATACTTTCTTTGGGAAATAATTCTAACTTGGTTGAAATTATTTTCATTTGAGTGCAGTTTAGTTGTAGGAAAATTAAGACCATGGCCGGGTGGGCTTGAGGGATGATGTCCAAATGGGCCCATGAACATTCTGCATATTTGTAAATCCGTACACAGATTAATTCTGACTTTTGTATTGTTTAGATTGCCCTGCTGAAGAACACATTCACTGGAGCTGTAGACCGGAGTGTGACATACTACCCTGGCTGTTATGTGCTCGGGCCTGAGAGGGAGTTTGTAAAGTTTCCTGGGTCAGCGGTATTTGTATCGCTGACCGAGGCAGTCTTCACCAAGGACAAACTGGAAATCACCATCACCTTCCACTTCCAGTATTTCATCAGGTAACCTTATACACCATCCAGTTAAAAGCTATTATTATTTCACTTCCAGTAATGACTTCTCTTTAACTGGGGCTCTTCAGATCCTGGAGTGTCATTTTAGGTATGTGTCTTTTGTGAATTCAGTATAACCCTGCTTCAACCGAAATAGGGGGCATGTATCAATCACTTTGGCTGTGTGTGCTTCCGTCTATCTGTGCTGACATTGGTTCCAAAGTATATCTCAGCCATTATTTATTTCATGAATTGAAATCAAACTTTGTATATGAGTACATTTTTAAACAAAGTTACTGACGCAATGTTTTGACCTTTGGACTTGACCTCAAGTATAATAATAGTTTTCAGAGCATAGCTGCTGTTTTCTGAATAGGAATCAAACTTTGTATATAGGAACATCATGGGAGGACGGTGTCCTGCATCCTTAAACAAGGTTACTGTTACCTTGATTTGACCTTTGTACTTGACCTCGAATACAATAATAGTTTTCAGAGCATAGCTGCTGTTTCATGAAGGGACATCAAACTTTGTATAAAGGGACATCACGAGAAGGCAGCCTGTCGCACCATAAATGAGGTTACTGTGACTTCATTTTGAATTTTTACCTTGACCTTATATCTTTTCGTACCGCAACTCCGTCTGAATTCTGTACCAGATGTTCTTACTAGTCTCGCCCCCGCACACATTAAAAACAGCGGATTGTTAATGTACTTTTTAGACGAGCTGTAACTGCTGCAAGTAGTAAACAGGTAACCGTGAACAAATATTGTTATTGTAACATGTTGTTGTTCATAGACACACACTTCTTCATTTTTGCAGCATTATTTACTAACTGGCAGCTAATTATGACTGAGAAATTGACATTTGTCCGGCAACAAACGATACAATTCCTTGTATTCAAAACAACGTTGCAGTGCAGGTTCCCAATGGGGTTTGATTATGGTTTCAAAGTCGTTAAGGTTTTTTAAAAATACAAGTCAATTTTATCAAGACTTACATCAAAATATTAAGGCCAAATAAAATTAATTACTTGGTTCTCAGGCCATTTTTTTTTCAAAAGAGATGCGGCAGGGTGGTCTTTTTTTCTCTCACCATTTCACATGGCAAAAAGGAGACGAGGGCAATTTTTTTTTATTGTGTAGTTTGTAAAACGTTCATTGTGGGCATTACCTTGTCTTTTTATAGTTGTTTAGAGACCCGTCATAAAGCAAGCCTCAGAAAATCCCCCCATGATGTTCGAAAAAAAATGGGCAATGCCGTGCCCTAAAATGAAATAGGCGCGGGCCTGAAAACCAAGTAACCTTTTTTTTTTGCCTAATAGTTACTTCCATAAGTCTCAATAAGTATTTGGTGATGAATTTTCGAGTGTTTTAAAATTGCCCGCCATATTGTTTAAATTTGAGATACCAAACGTAATCATCTTGCGGCAAATTCGAAAAAAAAATAGGTCACATAATGAAAAGTATGTACTCTGCACATATAAAATAATATTTCTTTCCAACTGATGGCGCTGATTTTAAGGTCAATTGTTTGGAATACCCAACTGTCGTGTGATATACCCAGCTAAACATAAGACAGGTAACACCAAAGTCTCTTGTCGTGTATACACGACAACGGTACGGAAAGAGTTAATTTCTGAAATACAGCGTAATGAGGTTTCAGCAGCATGTATCTCAATGACTGTTTTATGATTGGGCTTCAAACTTTGAAGATATGGGGGGGAAGCAGGGTTATCTGTAAAGGCTACGTATTGAGTCACATCCAACTTTACTGGATGTGAAATATTTTAACATTGCTCCAATATTTATTTTGATGCACGTAATTATAATGTGAATGATTTAGAAAATAATGGAATATATTACTCCTGTGTAATGCAGACAGAGAAATTTCAACTTGACAGTAAGATTTCTGAAGTTCAGCACAAGTGCTAAAGATTATAAGACTCTTATAAATTCCACCCTCCGGATTTTCAAATTTGGCAAATCCCTCGGCACAGCCTCTGGTTTTATCAATATTTGAAAACCCCTCAGGTGGAGTTTCCCTATCCTACACCCCTGAGTAGGAGAGAGTATTTTTCTTTCTCTAACATCAAGAATAAGCTCAGAAACCAGGAAATGCTTTTTGACTGGGTCCCATTTTGAATATGTCAATTTTCCCTCTGAGCTTTTTTGATGAAAATGAATCTATCAGCGAGACAAAGCATACCCCATATTCTCAAACAGAGTTTGCACTGAAAAAGTGATAGATCTTTCTAACATGTACGGTAAATATATATCATAAAAGGTTTTAATTTCATCACATCGCCTTTTCCGCATTGCGGCATCAGAGTTATCTAAATTCGTGAAGTCACCTCATTTTGAACCATTGGGTGCAAGATTGAAATTTCTTACATTCCTTTCTTACCCTGGACAGCTTACATCCCTTTCTTACCCTGGACAACTTACATCCCTTTCTTACCCTGGACAGCTTACATCCCTTTCTTACCCTGAACAGCTTACATCACTTTCTTACCCTGGACAGTTTACATTCCTTTCTTCCCCTGGACAGCTTACATCCATTTCTTACCCTCGACAGCTTACATCCCTTTCTTACCCTGTACAGCTTACATCCATTTCTTACCCTGGCCAGCTTACATCCATTTCTTACCCTGGACAGCTTACATCCCTTTCTTACCCTGAACAGCTTACATCCCTTTCTTACCCTGGACAGTTTACATTCCTTTCTTACCCTGGACAGCTTACATCCATTTCTTACCCTGGACAGCTTACATCCCTTTCTTACCCTGGACAGCTTACATCCCTTTCTTACCCTGAACAGCTTACATCCCTTTCTTACCCTGGACAGTTTACATTCCTTTCTTACCCTGGACAGCTTACATCCATTTCTTACCCTGGACAGCTTACATCCCTTTCTTACCCTGGACAGCTTACATCCCTTTCTTACCCTAGACAGCTTACATCTATTTCTTACTGTGGACAGCTTACATCCCTTTCTTGCCCTGGACAGTTCTATCCTGATAAGATTTCTCTGCCAATTTCGCACACGAGTGTTATGAGAACTTTCCTTTTGCACAGTTAAAAACAAGTTGAACTATTGAAACCATTGCATCATGCCATAATTAAGAGTGCATGATATGTGTGATGAAATTGACCTGGCTAAGAAACCGTAAAAAGAGATGACGTAATTGGTGACATTATCAGAACCTATCTAGGTAAATATTAACCTGTGTCAGCTGTCTGTACCTATCTAGGGAAATATTAATCTGTGTCAGCTGTCTGTACCTATCTAAGTAAATATTAACCTGTGTCAGCTGTCTGTACCTATCTAGGTAAATATTAATCTGTGTCAGCTGTCTGTACCTATCTAAGTAAATATTAACCTGTGTCAGCTGTCTGTACCTATCTAGGTAAATATAAACCTGTGTCAGCTGTCTGTACCTATCTAGGTAAATACTAATCTGTGTCAGCTGTCTGTACCTATCTAGGTAAATGTTAACCTGTGTCAGCTGTCTGTACCTATCTAGGTAAATATTAACCTGTGTCAGCTGTCTGTACCTATCTAGGTAAATATTAACTCGTGTCAGCTGTCTGTACCTATCTAGGTAAATATTAACCTGTGTCAGCTGTCTTTCTCCTAGCTTTGTAAATATAACAACAGGTTTACATGTTATTTACCTTAGAAAACACAGGAAAGCACTTCTGTTTTGTGAGGTATGGGAGAATAAATAACATTTTCCTGACATGAAAGACAATTTTTTTTACACAAGTAGTGCTGTCGTTTTTACATATGTCTGTGACATCTGATCACATGTTGTGAAATGGTGCCATCTTTCAGGATGAACGCTTGTTTTCTTCTCGGGAGACAAACACAAACTTTTTTTACTCTTAACAAATACCACTGTTCACCTGTTTATTTAGGACCTAGATACAAAATAACTCCTCTTACTTGGGACTGTGGTGGACATCTCATTTTCAAGTAACTGATTCATGCTGATTTATTCCTTGACATATTTTTAACCCACCAACTAGACCATCTGAGCTTGGAGAATTACACAGAAAGTTTGGCACAGACTACAAGGAAGTCATTGAGAGTGTCATCAGGAGTCGCGTGAAGAATTCTGCAATCTATCTCAGTGTGGATGAGTTCCGCTTCAATAGGACCTATATAGAAAAGAAATTCTTCGATATCGTAAAATCACGTCTACAGGGTAAGTCCAAAAGTCTTATCCAGGATTCGTTACTCGTTAAGTTCGCGACATATATGTAAATTGTTGGAAGTGTAGCTACTGTCAACCTCAGCAAGAGACATCATTTGGTCAACTTTGGTGTCGGAGTACTTAAGAACTAGTGTGAGCTTATTTCCTCTCCATGCTAGTTAAATGTCTCTTTCTACTGGTCCTACCACTTGCTTTCTAAACTTGCTAGTAATCACAATTGTGACTCGTATCTCACAGACGGTTGAATTTGGATAGCATAGTTAGGTCAATAGATTAAATGTCATATAGAATTCAAGATTTGACGATGGCTAGACAAAAGACATTACTATTTTCAGAACATCTGCATAAATGTTGAGGGAGATATTATATAAAACATCTTTAATATGCTTCCGTTTTTAAAAGGGATGACTTCTAGTTTTGTATCACAAGTAGATGATGTTTTGTAACACAGGTACCTGTTGTGTATGACATTCTGTTTTGTAACACAGGTACCTGTTGTGTATGACATTCTGTTTTGTAACACAGGTATGTGTTGTGTAGGTGTTCTATAATATCTGTTTTGTAACACAGGTACCTGTTGCCCTGACTGCTGTCCTAGCTGTACCAACGCGACGGTGTGTAGTGTGTGTGACACATCTTCCATGTGTGATCCTATCTACCACGTTGATGTCCGCTACTTTCAGCTGTCGGCAGTGGTTATTGATCCTCAGGTGTCTGAGAGATATCTCCAATCCCTACTTCTCAAGGTAGATAACTCCAGCCATTTCTCTCTAAATTGAGGAGGATTATAAAACTGGAATGAGGATATAACAGTGGTCATTTCCACTAAATGATCAGTACTATATAATGGTAACTAGAATGTGCTCCTCAAAGTAGATTTCTTCATCATTTTTTGCATTGTTGTACAATATTTAAACACACTGTTCAATATTGGTTCTAATTTCCGTGATTTCCATGATTTTTGTTTAGTTTCCCAGTGTTTCACGGGGGGGGGGGGGGGGGGGGCTCTAGGTTTGCACTCCATCCGTCCTTCCGTCAGGGAAGTTTGTCCGGCGCAAACTTCTATACATTTTCGCCTGGAGTAACCAGATTTAGTGTAAATGGACATCTTGGGATGGCAAAGTGCAATAATAAGGTCACTGTGAGCTCTGACTTGACCTTTGACATCTTCTATACTATTTCACCTGGAGAAACCAGATTTGGTATACAAGGACATGTTGCCATGACAGACTGCAGAGTGCAAGACTAAGGTCACTGTGAGCTATGACTTGACCTTTGACTTTCACTTTGAAAATGTTTTTCCAGGGCACATCATGTTTCTATACTTTTTCACCTGGAGTTACCAGGTTTTTTGTACAAGGACATCTTGGGATGGTAGAGTGCAACAAATAGGCCACTATGACTTTACTATGACCTATGCTTCCTGACATAAGTGTACTATTCGTTAATTATAGAAATCATTACCGGTGAGGGACTAGGGTTTGCCTTGTTCTCCAAAAAATATTACCCACAAAAAATCAACTCTCAATGTAGCACATTGTGGCAAGGCCAAATGACCTGATGTGCATAAAAAAGAAATCCCACACAACTGACCAATTTTGGAAAATCCACAAAAATGAGGGACCGCAAAAACAGGACTTTTACCGTACTGACATTAAATATGGTAATGGACCATTCCGTAATTATTTGCTATGTCATTCCTGTTTCACACACCAGGTACTTTTTCCCTTAACCCTTTCACCCCTATGAAACTTTAGTAGACTCTCGCATGCATTGATCTGGACGAGTCCATTATTGTCCACAGTGTTGAAAGGGTTAAGTACAAATGGGTATTCACTTAGAGCTTGAATATGCAGACAATTCTCTCGCATTATCAAAAATAATTTGAAGGATAGTTTTACAATCATTAATGTAATATGTCTAGTTTTTGTGGCTTGAACTTTGTAATAAGTTCACAAAGAACTGTGAAGATAATAACCACAGTAAAAATATCCAGATAAACATATATGCTTAAAAATGCAGGCCATTTAGGCCTCCTGTTCTACTATAATGTTCTTTAATGTAGGTAAATGCTGAGAAAGAATTCTTTAGACAGAACCACACAGTGCTGGTGAAACAGACAGAGCAACAAGTGGAACAGATAAAAAACAAAGGTAAATTTTGAATTGGTTTCCTAAACTATTTTGTTTCTGACCCTAGTAGGGACTTTGTAAGTGTTGTTTGTTTGTATACAAGATAATAATAAATGGGGCCGTGGTGGCCAAGTGGTTAAGGCGTCTGACAATCTGCTACCACTAGCCCTCCACCACTGGGTCGTGGGTTCAAGACCTATGTAGGGAAGTCACCAGGTACTGGCCGTAGGTCGGTGGGTTTTTAGGTCACCTGAGCTTTAGCTCAAGTGACCTATTGCTATCCGTTTTCGTCCGTCGTCGTCCGTCGTCCGTCGTCCGTCGTACGTCGTCCGTCGTCCGTCGTCCGTCGTCCGTCGTCCGTTAACATTTTACATTTCAAACTTAAAGTCAAGTTCTGCTGGGCCGATTGAACTGAAAGTTGATAGGAATGATCGCCTCATGGTCCTGACAAAGTGTTGTTATTTTTCGGGTCGATCAGAAATCCAATATGGCCGCCACGGCCGCCATTTTGAAAACCTATTTCAAACTTAAAGTCAAGTTCTGCTGGACCGATTGAACTGAAAGTTGGTAGGAATGATCGCCTCATGGTCCTGACAAAGTGTTGTTATTTTTCGGGTCGATCAGAAATCCAATATGGCCGCCACGGCCGCCATTTTGAAAACCTATTTCAAACTTAAAGTCAAGTTCTGCTGGACCGATTGAACTTAAAGTTTGTAGGAATGATCGACTCATGGTCCTGACAAAGTGTTGTTATTTTTCAGGTCAATCATAAATCCAATATGGCCGCCACGGCCACCATTTTGAAAACATATTTCAAACTTAAAGTCAAGTTCTGCTAGGCCGATTGAACTGAAACTTTGTAGGAATGATTGACTCATGGTCCTGACAAAGTGTTGTTATTTTTCGGGTCGATCAGAAATCCAATATGGCCACCACGGCTGCCATTTTGGTAAACTATTTCAAACTTAAAGTAAAGATCTACTTGGCCGATTGAACTGAAACTTTGTAGGAATGATCGAATCATGGTCCTGACAAAGTGTTGTTATTTTTCGGGTCAATCAGAAATACAATTTGGCTGCCATGGCCGCTATTTTGCTACTAAGTTCTAATAGGCCGATCTCACTTAAAATTGGTCTAGGAATGATCAGCTCATGGTCCTGACAAAGTTAAGTTAACATTATACTATTTTTTACTCAAATTGGTACATATTTCAACAACAAAAATAAATACTATAGACTCAGGTGACCGTTAAGGCCCATGGGCCTCTTGTTTCCGGGAACTCTGGCTTTCCTCCACCACTAAAAAAACTGGCACACCCTTTCACCCCTATGTAACTTCAGTAGACTCTACCATGCATTGATATGGATGAGTCCATTATGGTCTACAGTGGTGAAAGGGTTAAATGACCATAGCTGTTAATAGGACGTAAAACACAAACAAACCAAACCAAAGATAATGATAAACACTCCTTCAGGCCAGAAAATAAAAGATCCTTTTCTAAGTTTTGTAAAGGAAAACTTTACAAAACTAGTAAGATGTTGGTTCAAACCGGAATTTTATGTTCAATTTTAGTTAGTAGATTTACATGTAAGCAAATAGAATGAATGACTGAAGGATTGAAGAAAAAAAAAAAAAATGGAATGATAATTTGAGAAACAAAGAAAAATAAAATGATAGAGAAATGGAAAGAGAGAGAGAGAAATGGAAAGAGAGAGAAAGAAGGGAGACAGACACCCACACAGATTGTGGTTGTAGACTGATAGGAGCTGAAGAGTTCTGTTTTCTGTTTACAGCCAATGAGATGGTGAGGGCAGGTGAAGCTGAGGGTGCTGCAACTTTGGTAGTAGCCGAGGCGAACAGGGAGGCAAACATTACCACTAGTTATGTGGCCGCGCTGTGGACTATGTACACCCGACTAGGCATCACAGATATGGACCACAAGCTGTCTCTAATGATGGTTCGGGCCCTGGAGGATGTTAATGTCAAGGGCAATTTATACCGGGGTTATCGCTATGCCAACCAAACCCAAACTTTCGTGACCCCATCAGGGTAGTTAATCGGAAATGGTTGGAAAAAAATATCATCCCTTGCAAGGATCTGAAACATTAAATACTGAAGAAGGTTCTTATATTATAGAGGAATATTAGTTATTTAAGGAACGGGGCTTACTTTATACTTCAACAGATAGACTATCACTAAACCATTCAGGTTTAAGGCTCTGTATACTATATATGTTTACAAACATACCAATCAAACTATGCATTCCTCAGGACCCCAGTAAAGCTGAGTAATACCTCATGGTTACAATGAATGTTGACTGGTCTCTGCTTACATTTTTGTATCCCATACACATAAATAACAAATGTATTTCTTAATTGTGTATGTCTTTTAGAATATGGTTGGATTTTTGCCCTTTTTCTATAACATTACACAAACAAACAAAATTGTATCTGATGTTTCGAAGTTGTTGGTTGAAGACTGTTTTATATATAATAAACATGTATATATAGGTTTAGGGTAGAGTGTACGCTGTGATTTCTTCAATGGTGGACAAATCTGGTCCTCGGCCCTTCCTCTAGATACCGGAAAGTATGCCGGGCGATTGAGCCTGTTGTCATTTAATCTGACTATGTATAAGTATATGTAATAACTGTAGTCGAATATGACTATTTACACATGAGTTGAATTTTTCGTAACATTATGTAATATAGCTTGTTATTTATTTGCCCCAAAAGACTGATTTCTTTGTCCTTATCCCTTGGCTGTTTTCGTTCATTGCAATTTAAATGGTTGAACTGGTTGGACCAGATTTGTTCGTTTATGAAATAAGGTCTAACCGAGTAAGCGGACGTACCGGTTCTTCTGCATAAACGATTTTTTGTGAACATTCTGTGATATTCCGAACAAACGATCCTGTACCTCATGTTATTCCTCTAGTTATGAAGAATTCATTACATATTTTTTGTTAAATATTTTTGTGGTCAAGGAAACAATGCATTATGTTTTTTTTTGCATTTTGTACCATTTTGTGTAAAAGGGGAGGAGGATGCCTGTTAGACCAATAAGCTGATGTTAATCCAAGATGTTAGCTTTATCCAAAAACTGGTAAAGTATTAGATGTGTCACATAAACACAATCTACAGTCTTGTTGTGATGAGAGAATCACTTGAGATTTTTTTTTTTTATGTAAACTTGATTTCTTTTACAACTTATATTAATCACTTTTGAGATTTCTTCTTGTAGTAAATGTCTTCTAGAAATAAATAGAGAGAGGGAGGCAGAGAGACGCATTTTTCTGACTCTCCACTCATAATTATGTTCGTGCATGGGCCCAATGTTTACAGTAACCAATAACTACATACAACGTTTGTATATATCTAGGAGCTCCCCTCCCCACATATCATATACATATATGGAATGTTTATGGATATTTGTATGTTTTACACAAACCAGAAATCATTGTATAGTATTCTTTGTATACATTGTGTACTATTTTGTTATCATGATTCAAAGCTCAATACATATTGATATGTTGCAATACTTTCACAAATAACTCTATATGATATTTATTTAAACTTTCTTTTACAAAAGTATATTGATGTGATAACGCACATATATATTTATATGTTGAATAAGCTGTCAAATAATGTTTGATTTCAAACTTTATCTTATAAAGTATCTTATAGATAGTTTTAGCAGGAAAAGTAAGTACTCGTATACCTTGGTGATTTCAACACCGGGCAAATTTGTATTGAGAAGCCAGAGAGTAAAAATTTAGTTCTGCTTGGTGAATATATTACCACTCACAATATATCATTATGGTTTTATTAGTACCAGCAAAATGACCTTTGCATGGAATATTCATATCACACAATTGCATTTATCTTTAACTATGCCTACCTATTCATCGTCCAGATGAATTGAGTACATCTGTTTCACCTGTTACTTGAGGAATAGATAGACCTATATTCAGTGTAAGAATATTCGGTATTAATACGCTCAATGATTGTCAACACGACAGGTCAATGCGGTCTGACAAACTAATTGGTGGACAAATCAATGTGCCTTTATGTGGAATCCATCTTTATACAATTGATGACAAAGACATTTTATTGTTTTATTTGCATCAATATGTTGAATCACATTTAGTTGAAATAACAAAATATTGTGTTAAGAGTCCCCTTTCTTTATGTAGAATATTTTGCATACTTAGTAATAGTATTTACACATGAAAATTAAGGTTGTTTGATTTTACACCAGCTGTAGTGACCTAGAAGTTTACGGTTTTCAGTTTCTGTAGCCAATTGTATTTTTACCGTCACAACGGAACTTGCTGTTTCTGATTTAGGTGTTAGCTGTGAATATACCTGCTATAGTATTTTTGGAGTTTAACTTTGGAGAAATTATAGTCAAAGTTAGTGCTTCTTATTGAAATAGTTTTTGAGTTCTTGTAGAAGTGATAAGCAAATTTCATATGCAGGTTTCTCATTGAGATTTCCACTTTGTTATCACTATTTCTGAAGAAGTACCCAACAGATCTTACTCCAATTTTATTTGTATGTTTCCCATTGTTAATGGTTGTGCATGTTTGATTTTCTGACTGATTGACGAAGAAAAAAATGGCAGCAAGTTAGCCATCTTGGATTTTGACAGTTTATGTTTCTTATTGCTATTTTTCAAGAAATAAGGCGTGACCTCACTTTGAAAGAACTCATAAATCATGTATTTTGAAATTTAAATCAAAAGTTACAGCAAGATGCATTTTAGCACTATAAATCCAGCAGCTAATAGAAAAAATGAAGGGAAAAGATCAAACTTCTGGGTTATGAAGATCTTACGATGGTAGGTGCCAAGATCCGTCTTAGATCTCTTGTTGAACTCACCCTGTTGTAAACCCGTTATACAGAGGGTAGGTTTTGAAATCCATTGTTATTGTGTCCCTGGAATCCTCATCATGTCATGTTTTCATTGATTGCCTAACAACCCATCAACAATAAAGCCATGAAAGCTATTGTGTCAATAACACTTACACGATACACCTAAAGAAGCAGGGTGATTAAAGGGTTAAAATTGGCTTGCATTTATATGCAGCAAAACAGTTAATGATGTAATTGTCACTCATACTTTGTTATTTCATATCTTTTGTAATAGACCAACTTCAGATAATGATCAAAAGATTCTTGACAAATTGGTAGTACAAAGCAATGTTTACATGTAAGAGACATGTTGAGACAATTATTATAATGTCTCTAGGTCGGCATTAGTGAACCCACTGGGTTGTATTGCATCAAGTTTGTTATATCTTCTGACTAAACTGTCACTTTATTTGTACATTTCGTATTAAATGATAACAAAGTACCTTCATATTGTTTTTTTATGAATCTATAACATGTTATACACCTTTTGTAGAGTAACAATTTGTTCCATTGATTAAGTAAATTTATATTTTCTGTCTATCCATTTTGACTAATAAATGTGTTTTTAATGATGTACCTTTTGTTCAGATTTGTTTGACATCAAACACAGGACAGTTTTATGGTAGAAGTTTTCCTCCGTTAATGTTTATCAAATCAGCGGGAAAATACGCACTGTGTATACCTAACAAATTCTGAAATGTGTATTGCTGCAGGAGTTTCTACTACCTATAAGGTTGAAGGGATAATACAAATACAACTCCCCTTAGGAAACAGTTTGAGGAGTCAAAGCACAAAAAGGACCTTTCAAAGATATACATTGTATGAGAGGATTTTATATCGCAGAACTTTCTTTTTGCAATTTATGTAATGTCAAAAACGCATCATTTAGATAAATATGCATCATTTCAACAGTATTTAAAAACATGTTTTATCTACTTATATTGGCCCTAATAACATTTTTTGTGTTTATTGGACGTTAAGAAATCAAATAATAATAATAAAAAACTTTTTGACAAATGTGTTAGGTTATGCTGGCATGCCAGAGGATCGTGTACCAAGACGTCTGCTTAACGTATACATGCCAGAATTCTGAAATGTGAGTTTTACATTCATTTGAAGGGAATTGAGGTCAAAATAATGGAGGTTTTTCTCGCAGCGTATTTCACCGCGTAAAATCCTATTTCATCAAGTAAGTAAATGAAATAAAGTACATCAGAAAGTTTATATATATATATATATATATAATAGAATATCAGTGACAAAAAATTCACAAAAAGAATATCACATAGTGGTTATCCATGTTTCAAAATCATGATAAAGGAAATTTTTCATTGGGTGGTTCATAGTCACAGCAGTCACTGTTACTTTTAACATTAAACTCTAAGTGGTGGTTTTTGATAGGTTTTGCCTCCAGTCAGATTAGAATGAGCAATGCTCAACACAGCAAAGGCCAATTTGGCAAGATTTGGAAAATATCTTTTGCATTTGGTAGTTTTTTGGATGCTATTTCATTCCAAAATAAGTCTATTCCAGAAGAATCTGGGAATTGGTAGGTCCTCATCTGGAGAAAGGATGTACGTAGTCTGGTGCCTCATCTCCTAGTTCTACCCTTGGCAACTAAGACAGGAAACGTTGGGCAAGTTCTACAACTGTAAAAGAAAAACATTCAACAGTGAATCATGAACACAGATTTCAATACAATTTGACAATGTTTTGAGCACATTAGATTTATTTCAAAAGTATAAACCATCTTACGATCACTTGCAGCCACTTGAAGTCGCTTTGAAGGATTCATGAAAATAAGTCCAATGTTTTGTCATGGAAAGGAACCTTCTTTATCATCTTCCCCACCACTTTCTCATAAACGGATCCCGACATGTCTGTAACAAATACAATCAAGATTTAGCTGAACAATTGTACTTTATCTCAACACATTGATTTGCAATACCCGAAGAACTTCTCAATTGCTGATGGAGAGAGTTCATCCTCATGCTGTATACGGAAATTTCAGGTCTCCATACCAGTGGTAAGTTTGCTGTCATCCAACTGCTGACTTTTATCACAAAACTCAGTGAAGTTCCCTGTGGAAGTGCTGGTCGGACATGCTGTTTTTAAGAATTTTGCCATTAGCCTCCTAAGCAGTCTTTTCATTTGGCTGATGAGTTGTCCAACCAAACTGTCGTCACTGTGCATTGACAAATAGAAAAAGCAATTTTAATTAAATGATTTTATTTTATTTTATTAACGTACTTACCTGGAATCAAGTATTAAATTCATCGAGGATTGGTAGAAAGAACTGCCGAAAAAGGAGAGATAGGTGCATTTCCATGGTTGTCAAACCATATGCACACCTCTTTACTCTCCCTACATCGCTGTGACTGGTAAAGAAGCTTTGAAGGACTGGCCACTGCACACCTTTTTACTCTCCCTACATCGCTGTGACTGGTTAAGAAGCTCTGAAGGACTGGCCACTGCACACCTCTTTTCTCTCCCTACATCGCTGTGACTGGTAAAGATGCTGGCCACTGCAAACCTCTTTACTCTCCCTACATCGCTGTGACGGGTAAAGAAGCTCTGAAGGGCTGGCCACTATACACCTCTTTACTCTCCCTACATCGCTGGGACTGGTAAAGAAGCTCTGAAGGACTGGCCACTGCTCACCTCTTTACTCTCCCTACATCGCTGTGTCGTGAAAAGATGCTGGCCACTGCACACCTCTTTACTCTCCCTACAGCGCTGTGACTGGTAAAGAAGCTCTGAAGGACTCGCCACTGCACACCGCTTTACTCTCCCTACATCGCTGTGACTGGAAAAGAAGCTCTGAAGGGCTGGCCACTGCACACCTCTGTACTCTCCCTACATCGCTGTGACTGGTAAAGATGCTGGCCACTGCAAACCTCTTTACTCTCCCTACATCGCTGTGACGGGTAAAGAAGCTCTGAAGGGCTGGCCACTGTACACCTCTTTACTCTCCCTACATCGCTGGGACTGGTAAAGAAGCTCTGAAGGACTGGCCACTGCTCACCTCTTTACTCTCCCTACATCGCTGTGACTGGAAAAGAAGCTCTGAAGGGCTGGCCACTGCACACCTCTGTACTCTCCCTACATCGCTGTGACTGGTAAAGAAGCGCGGAAGTGCTGGCCACTGCACACCTCTTTACTCTCCCGACATCGCTGTGACTGGTAAAGAAGCTCTGAAGGCCTGGCCACTGCACACCTCTTTACTCTCCCGACATCGCTGTGACTGGTAAAGAAGCTCTGAAGGGCTGTCCACTGCACACCTCTTTACTCTCCCTACATAGCTGTGACTGGTAAAGAAGCTCTGAGGGACTGGCCACTGCACACCTCTTTCCTCTCCATACATCGCTGTGACTGGTTAAGAAGCTCTGAAGGACTGGCCACTGCACACCTCTTTTCTCTCCCTACATCGCTGTGACTGGTAAAGAAGCTCTGAAGGACTCGCCACTGCACACCGCTTTACTCTCCCTACATCGCTGTGACTGGAAAAGAAGCTCTGAAGGGCTGGCCACTGCACGCCTCTTTACTCTCCCTACATCGCCGTGACTGGTAAAGAAGCTCTGAAGGACTGGCCACTGCCCACCTCTTTACTCTCCCTACATCGCTGTGACTGGAAAAGAAGCTCTGAAGGGCTGGCCACTGCACCCCTCTTTACTCTCCCTACATCGCTGTGACTGGAAAAGAAGCTCTGAAGGGCTGGCCACTGCACACCTCTTTTCTCTCCCTACATCGCTGTGACTGGTAAAGAAGCTCTGAAGGACTGGCCACTGCTGGAGAGTCCTCCCAACACATTTTCCCAGACTCGACCATCTGGTGCTGCAGTGCTTGATCACTTTTAAAGCATCAGTTTGGGTGAACTCAAAAAACTCCGTATACTCCTTCTTTCTTTTTGCATTGAAAATAGAGAATAATAACTATCATTTGATGAAATCTAAGTAATAAATTATGTATGCCTTTTAGAATTTGTATGGATTGTTGCCCTTTTTCTATAATATTACACAAACAAAAAATGTTGGATCTGATGTATCGAAGTTGTTGGTTGAACACTGTATTATATATTATAAACATGTATATATAGGTTTAGGGTAGAGTGTACGCTGTGATTTCTTCAATGGTGGACAAATTTGGTCCTCTGCTCTTCCTCTAGATACCGGAAAGTATGCCGGGCGATTGAGCCTGTTGTCATTTAATCTGACTATGTATAAGTATATGTAATAACTGTAGTCGAATATGACTATTTACACATGAGTTGATTTTTTTCGTAACATTATGAAATATAGCTTGTTATTTATTTGCCACAAAAGACTGATTTCTTTGTCCTGATCCCTTGGCTGTTTTCGTTCATTGCAATTTAAATGGTTGAACTTGTTGGGCCAGAGTTGTTCGTTTATGAAATAAGGTCGAACAGAGTAAGCTGATGCTGCTTTCCAGCGAGCCTTGACAAAGCCTTGCAAGGCCTGCATAAACTTTGCAGGTCTGCAGGATTTATACCCAAACATTTTACATGTAAAAACGGATGTACCGGTTCTTCCGCATAAACAAACAGGCCCCAGGTTTTGTGAACATTCTGTGATATTCCGAACAAACGATCCTGTACCTCATGTTATCCCTCTAGTTATGAAGAACTCACTACATTTCTTTTTTTTAAATATTTTTGTGGTCAAGGAAACAATGCATTATGGGTTTTTTTGCATTTTGTACCATTTTGTATGAATGGGGAGGAGGATGCCTGTTAGACTTATAAGCCGATGTTAATCCCAGATATTAGCTTTATCCCAAAACTGGTAAAGTATTAGATGTGTCACATAAACACAATCTACAGTCTTGTTATGATGAGAGAATCACTTGAGATTTAAAACAAATATGTAAACTTTATTTATTTTACAACTTATATTAATCACTTTTGAGATTTCTACTTGTATTAATGTCTTCCAGAAATAAATAGAGAGAGGGAGGCAGAGAGACGCATTTTTCTGAATCTCCACCCATAATTGGAATAAACTCCCACCTGACATTATTTCGAGCCCCAGCAAAAAGCAGAAGCAACATAATACAGAAGAGACAAACGAATCTCGTCTTGTTACAAAGGTCAGATGGGTGATCTCTTTTTACAACATACACCGATGGCATGGTAAACGTAATGTAACAAAAAGGGAAGAAAAGTAATTAAGAAATAATATGAGTAGCAGCTAGCATTGAATGTAACAAATAAACCGTATGAAATTAACAAAAGGATTAACTGTTAATTGCAGGCATTAATTTGAACGAACAACTTAGTCTCTCTTTGCGTTTTCAAAGCATAAACTATCTGACCTTTGATCAGTGTAGCATGTCAAACGCCCCTCTTACTACTATAAATACTCTACTGAGCCTGTTTAATCGACATACATTCATATAGACCAATGTTGTCGGGAAATATTTGGTGTTAGGCAAGGAGATGCACTTTGGTCCTAATACTCTAAATCACAGTTTTCCAGTAGACAGTAATTTATATATGGCCTGGACCCAATTTTGAAGCTGTCGATGCTCCATGACCTTGACCCTTTGAATATACCT